TCCGAGCCAATCTGGTTTGCTTTTTTCGCATGTATCATACTTCACGCGCACCCTGGGAAAAGCAGACAGATAGGATATACGATCGACGCTGTTTTTCTTGAAAAGAATCCCTTTCTCTGCATCCACCACGCTTGCCAGCTTACGATTATCGTTCGTTAAGCTGACCACCGAGCGAGCTCAATGCGAGACTAAAGACGACAAGCAGTCTAAAACCACACCTCCATAAGCGTATACAGTGTAGTGTTTTCGCCTGGACGAGTGACGTCCCCCAACTTTGGTTCCATCCCCCCATCCAACCCCCCACCCCCAACTTTATTCACGGCCAGCACGGAAGGTCTGCGCATGAAGAAGCCGAGCATGACAGCAAAGTACAATGGAAACCCTGCGCAAAAAACATTGTAACTTGGCCTCAGAGCCTCGAAAAAACAAGGGTTGAGTATGTGCGTGTTGCTACGAGTCTGCCCATTGCGCTGGTTGCGGTTGTGTGAAAAAAGCGCTGCGAATCGCTTCGCAAGAGCAGCCGCCATTTCGCTCGGAATTGGTCAAAATGGGTGACGCGAATAAAATAAAATGTGTTTTGACATGCTTGTCCTGGCAACAAGCGGCTTTCAGGAACATGGATTGTCATGACTACTGAATGCCATGGCAATAAGCAGCTTTCTTATGCAGCGTGGTTATAAAGCAAGCCTCATAGAGAAGGATGTTAAAACGAGCAAACCAAACAACAGTATCAACCTGAAGAAGCAGCCTGTATGGATAATAGTAGCTCTAGGATGACGCGCATACTATGCTGAAATCAGCCATGCTGCTCCATATTCTGCTCTTGACAATCTATTTTAAGCTGCCCACATCCATCATTGCGGGCTTGGAGGATCAGCAATCGTTAATTGCCGTGCGCATATACTCGTACAAGAGAGCGTTTTTTATTTTCGTTACACACGCCACCACAGTCGATACAACGATGGCCGAGTCTTTCTACAATGTCTCACTGATCCCATGAAGACGCTGGCTGCGGCGTTCAGCACATGTTTACTCCAGCCCAATCCAATACACGCTCAGTCAACCTGGTGATAAGATATCAAACAACTTGCATAACACTATCCGCTATCATACCCCAGATATTTCTCCTTATTTTTATTTGAATCGCCAATATAACTTGTGGTGACAAGACATCCATTCTGAGTGCGTCATCAGCCGCCCTTTTCTTAGCAATGAGCGTATAAGAGATTTAAGAGATCACAAATGACATACGACTATGCATCATATCGCGTCAGTCCATATCGGGTTTTAGCCTTATATCAGCTGGATCATCCGAGTATAATGTTTACGTGCTTTTTTACACTTGTCTCTATGCGACAGTGCTAAGCTGGTTGCCGTGGTAATTGCTGTGTATGCTTTTGTTTGATATTTAAGCGAAAATCTTATGCAGAAGATGTTTCAGGCAGTGTAATAATGTGTTTCTTTCCACGGTGTATTTATATGTGTGTTTGTTCTCTGTATTCTCTTCTATTTTATAAAATAAAAAAACTTAGCAGCGAAGGTATTCTACCGAAATGCATGCACACCATAGCCAGTGCTTATTCATTGTGTAGTTATTAGGACTTGACGGTATACGTATGCAGGATCCGTTGAATTTCACACCTCTTTGATTTCGCACAAAATTCGGTAATCTTAACTTTGAAATTAACAGGTGACGACTGTACACAAGTACGATTACTTTCGGATGGTAGTCCAGCTGGTGTCAGGATACAGTGCCGCTGAGGGGTTGCCCAACTCTTTTGAAAATCTCTCCATTACAACAAACAGCACAATACTCTTACTTTGACCATTGAAAAAGACACTTCATTTTTTTTGACTCTATTAAAACAGAAAATGACGAATTGCCGAAAACGTCTGCTAACCAGGCACTCACGTCGAAAGGCTCAGCATTTGCTGTGAGAGCTCTACTGTATGGGATGCGGCTGTTGTTATTGCTCTTGCTGTTGCACGCTCTTCTAGCTCCTATTCTTGGTCACCAGGGTTGCTGCTGCCGTCGTCGTTATTATTATTATTATTATTATAGTTGTTGCTGTGATGGTGACGACGGTGGCGTCTGGTTTTCTTGAGTGTCGTGGACACTTTTGTCAAACGACGGATTGACTGGTTGTCGCCTTAATGGTGACAGAGCTAGTAAAAATCTTCAATCATCAATCAGCTTCCAGAGAGAGTCATCGTTAACGATACTCAAGGATAACAGTCGAACCGTGTTAACAGAGCCCAAGGATAGACCCACTTGGTCGCTTACTGCGGCCACCAGATGAAACCTGACTTCTTTTAACGACTTGAGATTCGATAAAACAGTTGCCAAAGCTTCATTAGGCATGTCGAAACACTAATACATTTCCAACGTTTTGGATCCGCTGAAGCACCGTACACCGCTAGTACCGGCATTCTCTAAGTACTGGTGTTATAAAACCGTATGTAAGACAATCGCGATTCGGCCCCGAGGAAAACGTGCTTGTCCAACAGACGTTGAAGCACGTTTTTCATAGCACAGTGTATGTATGTATTCAAAGTACAGTCACTTGAGTTTTTTCGCCTTGGCCAATTCGCGCGCTATAACGTCCATGTACCTATATACACAAAATAGACATTGCGTAGTTCTAAACAGTCGCTGAGCAGTTTAGGATCGCGAGCGCAATATGCTGAGTGTAATTTCAAATAAAACAAGAGACAAAATAAGTCAACGAGACCCGAAAGGAATCAAAATCGATTACTATGATAGCAGATCCTCACTACTTATAAGCAAAGTCTTGTTCTGCGCCACTACCACACAGTATGTATCATACAGTGAACAGATGCATTGATATTATTAGTTAAGCATATAGGATTAAGTAGTATGGGGTGCGTGGGTAAAGGGTACATCCGGGTCAATGCCTCAGATAGTAGCTAGTGTGAATTACGTGATTCATATAATGACAACTTCTTCCTTAACCTAGTTAATGCGTGTAACACCAGCATGTGTCGGGAAGACGTGGTGTTGCTCAACTACTTCTCGATTTTTTATAAAGTGAAGTAATGGCTATTTTTACCAAGCTACATATATATATGTATTTATATAATGTGCTGTATGTATATAATAGTTTGCAGTGAGTGTTGCCATAAATATTGTGTGCTTTGAATGTATTGCATCGTACATGTTTCTGCGCTTGACATATTGGGATCAGAGAATGCTTATAGGTCTCGAGACAAGCACAGGTGTCGATGACCACGTGGAGTGAAAAGGCATGGGAGAGTGTAGAAGACCAACTGGCGAGACTGATATATTTAAGTCGTTATAACCGATAACAAGGCCGTGGTGTATGATATAAGCTTGTTTTTTGGTTGTAAGTCTGTATATAAATTCCCCTGTAAGAAACAGAAACAGATTTACGTCTCTTGCTATAGGCAGGATGGCTTACCAAAGTTGGATGATCCGAGCTCTTTACCCGTTTCACAGCGTTGGAATTGAACTCTCACGATATCGTCCCAATGGCAGTTTCGCGACATTTTCCATTCGATATCACTGGTACACGAGGAAAAGACATGGCCATGTCCACTGAGGCTTGTCCGCTGGGTGAGCTCCCCCGGCGCTAGCAGTTGACGGCCGTCTTTTAGAAGATTGACAAAAGAATCAATTTGTTACCCCTCATTATCCATCAAGGGAATCATGTATCGTACTTTTGAAGTATACAGACCGCTCAATCAATACTGGCCTGGGTAGCCAATGTTCTTGTGAATAAGGAAAAGTGCAATACCAATGGCGACGGTAAGATGCTGTACAAACTCAATTTGAACTGGTACAAAGAAAAAGGGCTTTCTAATTCCTTGAAAGAACTTAATCATTGTTATCAGAACTTGTATTGGTATGTATATATAGTAGCCTAATACGGCAAAACATCGGAAGGCGGTCCGAAGCTTGAGAGCCATCATATCGTGCTGTCCCAAGCTTCCGTGGGCCAACTAATTACAGTCACTATTGTGTTCCATGCCATATGCGGGCGACAAGTGAAAGGTATGCCACGGCAGCCATTTTTATCGTAACTGTATGGACAAGCAGGATCACGGAGAAAAAGTAATAAAGAAAAGCGTTGCTGTACATGTGTCTAACTACCTCCACCTGAATACATATATGGCGCTCCAAAGGCAGCTCAATTTCAGGCGATCTCCCAAACAGATGGGCACATCCACGTGGATTTAGGCTTTGATAGAAAGCCATTTAAAACGTTTGTAAAACAATTCTACTAATGAGTATGTGCATTATCGATTAGTAGTCCGTATTCAAGACAACTGAAAAGCATTGCATCACATCCTCCAAGACGACAGCTCCTAACAAGCCGTTTTTTGGATCTCAAGTAGACCGTCTCGGTATGCTCCATGCTCTCGATGACTTCTGGCAACTCTTCAAGAAGTATAAATACGCAGCAGCTCGACCCATTATCGTTGTACATCACGCACTACGGAACAAACTGCTATTTACGCGCTCTTTATGAGGACAACAGAAGCAATTCCATTGACGAGGAAGGAGCATGATGGCTGGAAGAATAATGATAATATGCAAAGTTCAATTTCAAAGTGGATAGGCATATATGGGACCACCCAGAAACATCACCAGCAGCTGTCATTGTACGTCGGGATCTTTGCGTGGCTTACAGCAGCCTGGTGCAAAGAACTAAGCGATATAGAGAAGGCTCCCTTGGTTGCTACTTGACTACTAGCTATGCATAAGCTGTCATCAGAATGGGCCGTTAAACAATATGATTTACTAGCGGTCCATGCCTTGCAGCCCTCCAACACCCGGGTAGCGACAGCGTTCGAAACTGTATCTATAACCATCTATACATATTACGATTGGGTAGCTTTCTTTTGAGCAAGATATTTCATTATGTGTGCTCAACTCCTGTAGCATTATTCACCGTATTTAATATAGAAGATAACCGAGTCAAATAGCTAAATCCACGTATAATAAAGTAATTATCACTGCCATCATTGATTCGAGCAAGTATATTTTACAAAGTATCATTTACATACTTGTAACGCAGTTTTATTTTCTATTTTCTGACAATTGAAAATGCACCATCACCGAAATACTTTTCATTAGCCTTCTTGACCCGTTCAGCTGCTGCTGTTGGATCTATCAATTCAATGCCTTGAACAGGAGTGAATGCAAGCGAAGATGCTAAACCTGATGTCATGCCGCTCGAGCCATATTTCTGCTGTTGCTGTTGTTGCTTCTTGGATAACTTGACCTTGTTTCGTTGATCCGCCATAGACGCACGAATCTTGCCCACTTGCTTGACTGCCATACCCAGACCTTCGGTTTCATCACCATATTCAGCCTCGTCTTCTGCTTCGCCAAATGCCATTCGGTTACGTGCTGCACGCAATTCTGTCATGGCATAGGCTTCCTTTTGTCGTCTCACACTAAATTATAATTCCGTATTTAACAATCTGGAACCGCCAAAAAGCTTTAACGGTATATATTGGCAATAAAAAGAAAGTCAGGCTTACCGTTTACCACCACGTCGCTTCTTTGGGCCTTCATCGGGTACAGGAAGTGCCTTGGTAACCTTAGACGGCGGTGGTTCTTGTAACTTTTCAATCTTTTGATCAATCTCGTCTCTCATTTTCTGACCAGCAGCACCTATATCAAATCCAGAATTAGTGATGCCTCGTTTTCTTTATCCGCTCTCGATCCCCAAAATCTTGATGGTCCTACCTTGTGGCGAGGTATTCATAGCATCTATACGTGCAGCTAATACACATTTTGCAGCAATAATTTTTTGCACTTTTCGACGTAAATCAGACGGGACAGCCATCACCAGTTCTGATGAGTAAATGTAACCCGTATGTCGATCCATGCTTGCACTAGAAAACCCGGTATTTGTTTTTTTGTTGTTTCCAAGAACCTAGATAATCAAAAAAGCACTACTCAATTCTTCCATCGTCATTACATTTGACTTGAGTGTTATAGTAAAGAAAAAGCATATTACCTGTACGTTGCAAGCTGGAATCTTGCAAAAGGCGGTCAGCCCACCAGCAGCTGTCAAAAGTTTGGCAGCTGTTGAACTACCGACAACATTGGACAAGTTGGGTGCCACCAAAGCCATACGTGATTCAACGTAACCAATGATCTTTCGTTTTGCTGCGTCTAACGCAAATGCCAAATCACAGGCTTCTTCTGTATTCTTCCATCCGGTTGGTGATAGCGGTTTTCCTGCTGTCGTTGTTGCTGTCACACTGATCACCATGATGGTAGCTGATGGTAAAATGGGTCGTAATTCGTTTGTGTTGATATTGTCCGAGTTGCCGATCGCTTTAACGGTCCGTGCATAATCCATAGGGTTAAGAATCAATGATTCTAACTCGGGGAACCTCGAAGCATAATGATCACGAATATACTAGTAATAGAACAAGTAATGTGTCTTATGTATTAGCATCGACCAAGCATATTTTATACTCTAGTTTGTTACGTCCCCAACACATATACACACGCTGATCATCTTTTGAGATGTTTCCCCTTGTTTCTTTTTGATAACTTACCTTGTGCACTACTTGAATTTCGCCATCAATATCCGCTGTCATGCTGTTGGCATTGACAATGAGTTGGTATTCTTCATCCTCTTCTGTTGGTGCTTTGGAAAGCTGTGTTGTGTCACGATCTTGCGATTTGAAATAATCAATGCGCTAAATCCAGAAACGATCCAATGCAGAAAACCAAATAAGTACACGAGGTTTTTAGCAAATTTGGAAACTAAATCGAGCAAAAATGAGAGAATAGCTTTCTCTTACCTCCAAAGTCTTTTTTGTTTGCTCGTTTTGTAAAAAGTGGCTAACTTTAAAAACACTGTCTTCAGATTGTTCTTGACTGTCTTGTGGCATGGAAGCAGACGATTCAATTTGACGATCCTTTTCTTTTTCGTCCGTGTCCATGGCATCGTCTTGTTGTTGTTGTGATTCTTCATCGTCATGTTGTGAATGATCGTCGTCTGAAATGTCGAGATCGGCAGCAAGTTCGTCGGCTAGGGATGACATTTTGGTATGTGTTATGCGTAAGAAGAAAATAAAAGAGGGGAGAGCCCAAATGTAGTTCTTTTTTTGGTTCCGCCGATTTGATACCAGTCAAGAGCCAGTGTAAATCTTTAAATCCAAATCAGTCCATGACGATGTCTGTTTTGATACTCTTCTTCTGTGCACTGTGCACGCATATTAAAGTGGTTTTTACTTGGCACAACATACATTCTCATGACTGCGTTGTGTTCTTTCATACCCGCAGCCCTGGAGGACCATGTGCTCAAGGTGACCATTTCACTATTTCAAGGTTGTAGTAGTGATCATCTTTGGCCACCATATCAACAGCTCAAAGCTATGCAATATGATAACATAGCATGGAAGGTTGAAGTGGTAAGGCCTGGAAGACTGTGAGATAGTGTATAACATTCTATGAATGAACTATTTGCATCACGTACAGCAATAAATAAAGACACAATGTTCCACTATCTGTTGTTGTTGAGCTGAAGTTCTGGATGCTACAGGGTAGTATCAATGATCTTCTCTTTTTTTATCTACTAGCTACAAAATTTCTGGTATCTCGATATCACCATACATATTTTTCTAAACTTGTGTAGTTTCGTCGGCAGCGCGATCGGTATACATAAAGCATAAGAAACGAGGATTTCCTTAAACGTGTGAAATGAAAAAATCCAGGCCAAGACTCCGAAACACAAGCAAGCTGGTTCGCGCTTTAACATCATGAATGCACATGCAGGCAAGTGTTGAATTCGTTGTATAATACAAATAAGAAGGAAGCAAAGAAGGAAAAGGAAAAAGTGGAAAGCTACTTCTCTCAATGTAAAAAGTACCATTGGCTTTTGTAATTGAATTTCTTGTTTGCAAAACCACGATTGAGGTTTTTCCACAAAGTGCTTGCGATCGATCCCTCTTTTACTTTCTGTATACTGATATCGTTGACTAATGAGCCTTCACATGCATACAATAAAAGCAGGCGCCATGCCAACATCAGCTGAAGAGCTGGCACAAAAGCATCAAAAGCTTCTTCAAGAATACTCTCGGTAATAAACGCAAAAGGGGCTTCCTTCCTTTTGTCGGTTGGTGTGTCTTCATAAAAGGACTGTCACGCTAACTTTTCTTTTTATCAAATGAACTACCGGGGCTCAGGCTAAAGGCTCAGCATACTGTTTTGAAAAAAGGACTTATTAAGGTTTGTTGATAGCTGTATATAAAGGGGAGGGGTTGGAGAAGCAGGAAGATTGGGATAGCGCTTTTTGCAGGAATACGTACGTGCCCGCGTTTCGTTACCGAAAATTATTCGTATCCTCAAAAAGTCAAGCATATCTAGGAACAATCGACTACAGCCTCATTGCAAGGAAACGTCAAAGAGAAAGAAAAGGAATTGCGAAAGGTATATGTGTTGTCTATGAGTACAGTAGGCAGTGTCTTGCCTAGCAAAAGTGCCGAAAAAAAAGGGAGATAGTGACATATACTAATATCGTTTGATACCCGGCACCGGATCTAAAGCTACAAGAACAACTGGACCTTTTGGCATTTCATAATGAGCGATTAACAAAGCGTATCGAATCCGTGCAAGAAGGTGATCAGGTAGTTAACAACAAACTGTGAATATTATGGGGTATAGAAGTTTGTAAAGGATGGAGATCAGCAAGGACAATTATTGATTTTAATCTGGGTCTCAGAAAGGATCACATTTCTCACTTCTTGGCGGTGCTGTCAAGAAAGAGTTGGAGAAAAGTACACAAGCGCTGGATGCAGCAAATATTGATTTAGCGAAAAAGATTGAAGAAAATGGTAAGAACTGGATTGAGAGATTGGTGGATGTTTATTATCTATGTAAAAGTATAGTATTCGGGATTATCGCTTTTCTAAGGAAGGAAAGGAATTGACAACGAAACATATCTGCTCTACTGCAACCACTATATCCTAGAGCGCTTGCACGAAGAGCTATCCGAGAATCGTCATATTTATACCGAGCACGTCAATGGCTTGCACTTACAAATAGCCAATTTTGAAAAGCGTATTGAAGAATTGCAGGTCGAAATATCCACGATGCAAAAGGACCGGCGTGACCAGGCTGCAGGATTGAAGCAAGAAAAAACTGCGCTTCAGACGGAGCTTACTAACCTGAAAAATGAACTAGCCGAGTAAGTTTCTGACCTAGGAGTGTAAGGTATAGGCTAATGAGAATAACCGATTTGTCTATTCTTAAAAATACTTGAAGGAAGACAAAACTTTTAAATGATCAAGAAAGCAATATCAAGGAGGATGATGCAGAATTGCGGTCAGAAATTGAGAGTCTGCGCGCCATCTTGTTAGCTAAACTGGGGGATATAGAAGGACGAGAAGAAGCTGAACCGGTAAGCATTCATGAAAATAAGGATGATTCTGTATCTGTGACCCTCATACAGTCATTCTTTTCGTGTAGCCGAGTTTATTCCAAGCTGTTCCAGCCTGTGAAGCATTACGTGTTTTGGAAGAACAGGCGAAAAACTATATCTACGCGTTACGGGAACAAACATCTCTCAAGGGGCTACCCCATGAGATTGCTGCTAAAATAAAGACATCCAGTGAAACCTGGTCTGAACAAACTAAGGCACTGGCAAAGCGCGTTGAAGAATCAGAAGGTAAGATGGAAAAATGTATTGCTGGGGTACTCGGAACATACTAAAGGTGGATGGCAATGGATAATATATATATATATATATATATAGCACGAACAAAGGAACTTTTGGAATCAAAGCAACACGGAGATAGCAAATCAGCAGAGCAAATGGCAGCATTGGAAAAGACAATAGAGCAGCTTCGGGTAGAATTAAAAGAGCAAAATGATAATGAACGGATAGCCCACCTGGAACAAGAAAATGCACGTCTGGAAGAGCAAATTCAGAAACAAGTAAGGAGCAAAGGAAAATAAGTTGTTAGTAGGAACGGTACTAGCGTTTTTTAGCCGCTTCTGCAGTAAATATTCACACACTGTATGATTTCGATAGGTAAACGATCTAAAGTCAGCACAAGAAGAACTGGATGCAGCTCGATCTACCAATGAACGTCTCGATAAAGAAGCCAAAGAGGCCATGGCGGCAGCAGAAGCAGCAAAAGAGGCAGCCACAGCGGCTACCGCAGCATCGTCAAAAACAACTGATGATAAAGAAACACAAGCCAATTTATCACCAAAACCCGATACCAAGCAACTACCAGAAGGACAAGATGAGGAAGAAGAAAGTTTTGTATACCAATCAACATCAAAAGCACAAGACGAGCAAAATCCATCTACACAACAAAATGAGGATGACGAAGACGAAGAAGACGATGAAGTGTTTGTTTATCGAGGCCAGGATGCACCAGAAGATTCAAGTTCTCCTGTGGATGGTACTGCAGAACAAGAACTACCTATCAAAGAATCGACGGCGTCAAATGGCGAAGCAAGCCATGAGGAGCAGCAACAACAACAACAACAACAACAAACAAACGGCATTGCCAAAACCGAGTCCCCAGAATGCAGGGTTTGTATAGGAGTTTTGTGCCGCAAGTGTTGAGCAGAAGAGGCCAATAATTCTAATAATCCGCATGGGATAAATATTATAATGTATAAATAGGCACGAGAAGTTGAGCTAGCAGCATCTTATGAGAGCCAAATACGACAGCTAACGGACAAAGTAATAGGACGGTTAAGGAGGAAGTTGGGGGCGGGTGTGAGAAAGGATGATTTTACTAACTGATGGTTGGGGAACAATTGTAGTTACAACTTGCCGACAGTAAAGCCGTACGATTTTCGAAAATGGTGGATACACTGAAGGATCGATTAGATGCCGAAGTTGAGGAAAAGCATGGCCTAATAGGCGAGACCGAACGACTGGCCAAAGAGTTGAACAAGACACAGGTAAAAACGTTGTCTAAAAAAAAAGGACGTATACTAACAATGTGTTTTATCAAAATTTATCAGGAATTATTGGATACCACTGAAAAGAACTACCAAGAACAACTTCGAGATATGACTGAGCAGTACATTGCTCAAATTCAACAAGCACAACGATAAATTATTATATTTTATTATAACATTGCCATTTATTATATTAAAGCGAGTCGAAATCAGAGAGAACGTGACGAATAATTGCAATGATGTATCATACTTTTACAAAGGTTTTAGAAAGACATGGATGAGCTTTTACAGTTTTCTAAATTTGCCTTGCAACCACACGCGGTACATTTTAAGCTTCTTGCTCCTATTAACAATAAGTCGACGATCCACTGCATTTTGTTCGACAGCGAATCCAGGTGGCGGCACACGTGTAGTGAACATGGACTCGATTTCCTCGGATGTGAAAAAGTAGACTCGCGTACCATCGCCTCGAATGTAGAAATTCTCGCGTAACATACGTCGTTCTTTGAACCGAAGTTGTGCTAGATCGTGTCGTCCATAATCACGAAATACAACTAAACCGCCTGGTTTAAGCATCTATTAAAGTGCATATTCGAGGTTTTCTTTAATCTCATGTGTCTTGTCCTTCCCCCGTTTCCCTCCTACAACACAAAGACCCGGGTTTACCTTGTGAATATTCAAAAGTGCTTGATCCCATTGCTCGGGTGCAAGGGCAGAAAACACAAAAATCAAAACAATAATGTCAAGTGAGCCGGGCTCAATGGCATCGGGTATTTCAGGACTGGCCAAGTCCCAGACAAATGCATTGGCTTTGGTTGTATCATACAATTCGCTATTCCTTACGACCTGAACTGCTGTGCTAGAGAAATCGGCTGCATAACAGAACAGATCTGGGTTTTCATTTTGTTGTAACACCGGGAACAATGTGTTGCCTGCACCACATCCAACTTCGAAAATTCGTTTTGATCCAGCCTACATGCCCTTCAATCTTAAAAAACCAACGGCCTTTCATATCAAATGTCACTACCATCTTGCAAAAGTTTACCTCGGGACGTGTAGTTTCAAAGATCTCGGGAAACTCAATCCGTAACCAGTTTCGATCCTTGAAGAATCGATTTTCGTTCTTTTCATAAAACTTGTTCCAGTATTCAGGTGCCTGCTCAAAGTATTGGCCTGGGTAATTATCATTTTGTCAATTCCCAACTTTTTACACTTTCTCTCTTTTTATACAGTTATTTGTTTTATTCACCTTGTTCATCGTGTGGTACTGGACTGTTGTGATGTCTCTCAATCTGAGACTGTGCATACTTTTCGTGTTCCTCGTCCCACTCCACATGATCCCTGGACAGTTTGATTCGCTTTAGTTTATTACACTTTTTTTTTTCTCGCGGAACGGGGAATCTATTAGATTGCTTTGATCTTCTCACCAAGCATTATGTTGAAACACGGCATCCACATCGTCCAGCAGTCGCGATCCAAACTTTGCTTGGTCACTGTTGGTGGCATTGGAATCGAGGGCCGATGAGGCTTGCTTTTTTTCTGTATCTGACATGATTAAACCAATATGAAAAGAAAAAGAACTGACAACTTTTTATTATGCGCTGGCTGCTTTTGAAAAAGAAAAGGATTCCAGCGCCATTTTTATTGTCCAATTTGGTATTCTGGCGAATACACACATGCGCATTATAGCTTTTTGTGGCAAGAGTGAAATGCTTATAATAGTATTCTTACTCGAATATGCGTGTCCAGCATACTTCTTTTCGTCTGTATGTTCCTGTCAAATATGTCTTCGTGTATTGTCACCAATTCCGCCCTTGCTGCCACTTGAAAAAATATTTGTGCTGTCACACGGTAAAGATCGATGACTTTCTGTTAACGCAATGCTGTCGCTCAACTGGTCAAGATACCCATGGTAGATCTGCCGTATATATGATGTGATATTTCCGGTATGCTCGAGTTATCGCCAAATCAGAGATGATACATTGCCCGCGCCGACATAAGTCGCTTAACAGCCCTTTGCCTTCTGTGTTTGACTGCCGCCACTTTCATAGCATCACAAACAGTATAGCATTGCTGATGGCCATAAAAAGCATCAGAAGTAGAGAAAGTCGATATACATCCCTTATTATCGAACAATTGAAAGAAATAAACCATAGAAAGCAAAGCCCAGATATATAAATATATATCAAAGATCTACATGAGTGCACCCGAGACGGTGGTTTTGAGGTTAGATGTAGCGATTATGCTATAACAGGGAAAACGAGTATTGCTGATATCACATACTTTCTTTTTGTCTCAGCTATACAAGGAAAAGTGATATCGATCATCAATAGAGCTGCTATATCACTGAAATGGACTATATATAGTACTGCCATGTTACGGTTTAATAGCTTGGATCATCCGCTTATCTCACGAATCCAAGTATGATGGGTGGTAAGTTGTTGAGTTGTAGCGACTTTCTCTAAATTTCACCTCTCGTGCACACCAAAACAGCTTCATGCTCATACAGTATACAATACTGATTGCTGATACGCTTCTGAATAGTGTTTTTTTATCATCACGTCTGAAAGTGACGCTTTATGCCACTCTTGTTGTTGCTGCTATCGCGTGAAAGTACAAAGCACTTGACATCGTTGTTTAACAGGTTATAAATGATATCCAACTGTGCAGAGATAAAGTTAATGAATTACTCTTGACTCATGTAATTAACTATCAGCAGTGTACATCTGGATACCCAAAACATTGGATGTGCAAAATGGTATATAATGCTATACACTGATAAATAATTATTACCGAGCTCGGCTTATATCCAAAAGAAAAGGAGGTGCTAATGTTGGTCATAGGGGCATATCTGTGTACTACTTTTTTTTTTTTTTTTTTTTATGGAGGTTGGTCGGCCTCGAAATAAGTAGTTTTATTTGCAGTCCCACGTGTCAATGACAGTGGCGGGCTGTGTGCGAAACAGAGAGAACAGATTGACTAAAGAGATACTTGAGTATGACTATGGCTAAGAGCGATATAATGTGTGGTAAAATGTGAAGGTAGAGATAGGGGGTGTTGTAGCTATGATATGTTTTTGGTGTTTGTTTTTTTTTTTTTTTTTTTTTTTTTTTTTTTTTTGTTTTTAGGGTGGGGGTATAGTATAGAAGAAAAGATTAAAAGGTTTCTTAAAGAGATAGAGGTCGAAAGCGGATTAACAGAGAAGAGACCCGAGAGGCGACCATGGATGGTACAAATGGCTCATCATGAAAGATAAAACGCCAATAGGCTGCCCAGATTGCTTGTAAAATGCAGGCAATAGGAGTTGATATGGTGGTAGGACGTGTAGGTGGTTCGTCTGGTAACGTGAGTTGACAGAGTAGTGGAAGGATCGAGGCTGGGTTAGGATCCGAGTACCGAAGGCGACCCCAAACTAGTTGCCACACTTGATATTTGTGGGGGCATTCGAATAGGAAATGGGGCGTGGTATCAATGTTGGATCGGCACAGGCGACAGTCCGGGGATGGAGCATGCGAGATATTGAAGCTATGAAGGCGTGAAGATGTTGGTAATGTCCCATGGATAGTGCGGAACCAGATGTTGCGGGCAGTGTGTTCCATGGGCCATGACCAAAATTTGGACCATTGTCGAGCGGTAATGCCAGTGACACTATGCGTTGGTGGTGAGCATGTACGGCGATATCGTTTTGTCTGCCATATGGGCAATGTGGTGTGCAATCGGAGAGAAAGCGGTGTTGCATCAATTGCGCCAAGACATCCAGAGTGGCTGTTGCCTGAAAATGCTGGCGGGAGACAGAGCCGTGCAAAGCCATTGATCATAAAGATTCTTCCTTGAGCGAGATCGTTGAAAAAGCGATTAGTGAGGATCCTCCGGATAATACCATCTGCGGCTGATCGACGGCGGAGATAGCCAAGTGAAGCATCAAAGACAAAGAGGTCAGATACTTTCATTGTTTTGAAACCCGGGCGATGGAGGCGGGTGTTAGCCGCTGTTGGTGCCCAAATGGCGTTAAGCGGTAGCGGAGAACTGATGCGGCTGAGAGGTTAGATGATAACCAGTCGATTGGAAGTTGGTCAATAGCTCGATACAGCAGATAGCCGACAGTGCCCGAATCCCTTGCATCTGGACCACGTAAACCGGGAAAAACCAGAGTAAAGCGGGGGTCGATTGAGGCACCAGACGAGACCACAAGGTGGTGCCAGAGGCAGGTGGTGAGATATGTTGCTGTAGTTGAGTCTTGGTCAAAGAGCGGTTCCAACCATCGCAGTTGTAAAGCTGACTGTTGGAGCAGAGGATTCAAAATGCCCACCCCGCCATGGCTGCGCGGCTGGCAAAGGTTCTCGAAGCTGATACGAGGGAACATGCGCGTCATGAGGAATTGGCCACATATTGAGCGTAATTTCCTGTAGAAGGATGAAGGCGCAGCACCGACGAGTCGTAGTACGTGCCATAGCTTCGATAATATCAATGAGTTTAGTACTGTAGCGCGGCCGCGAATAGATAGTTGGCGTTGCGAGTGTAGCTGGCAGGCCGACCGTATCTTGACCAATATCTGCTCTAGAAACGTGTGTAGTTGATGTTGGGATGATGCTAGTGGGTAGCCGAGGTAAATTACCGGGTTGTCATCAGCACGAGTGTGGCATGGAGGATAGCCCGCCCTATCGAGGATAGGAGCCCAATCTGGAAGCGGCCTACCACAGAGCGATATGGCTTGAGTTTTGTGAGCGTTCATCCGTGCGTTTGATGCGGCCTGATAATGGTGTAAATGGAGGCGCAGACGTTCCAAATCTTGAGGTGAAGCGAGGAATACGAACACATCATCTGCGTACGCGAGGACTTTGAGTGGTGCTGGTGGCAAAAGAGTGGTGATTGTTTGACTAGATGCTGGTTGAAAGCCATGAAAAGACGTATCATGTATAATGCGGCGGAGGAGTGGTTCGAGAGCAAGATTAAAAAGGATAGGCGACATAGGATCCCCCTGCCGGAGACCACGTCCTTGGATGAAAGGATCCGTCACATGCCCATTGATGTTGAGATGTATGCGGGTCGAGAAAAACAGAGTACAGATGGAGTTGATGACCCTCTCGGGAAAACCAAAACGAACCATGACTTGGCGAAGATACGTTGGGTTAACGCGGTCATAGGCCTTCTCGGCATCTAATTGTAAAGCGATATGATTGCTAGCTGGATCGTTGCGCGCTTGTTCCATTGCCAGTTTCACCAACATACCATTGTTGGCTATGAACCGGCCTGGCAAGAATCCAGTTTGAAATTCATTGATGAGTGGATCAGCCGCTTGAATAAGGCGCGAGTTCAATAGCCGAGTGAATATTTTAGCGTCCGTATTGATCAAAGATATAGGCCTCCAATTGCGTAAGGTCGTCAAATCGCCCTTTTTGGGAAGCAGGGTTACTGCAGTGTCATTCCAAGATGCGGGGAACACTGCATCCTGTAGGGCAGCATTGTACACGGAGCGAGCAAGCTCCTGGTAGTCCGGGTGCTGAAAAACCAAGTACCAGATTGCATATGGAAGGCCATCGAGGCCAGGGCTACTTTTACTTGGTGCCCGTCTGGCGCCACTGATAAGATCCTCAGCGGAAAATGCAGCAGTGAGCAACTCACAGGCAGATTCCGTGATAGTGCAGGCTGTGGGAAGCTCATCCAAAAGGTAGGCCATCGAGTCTTGATCCACTGGGTCGGCAGTATATAAATCCTGATAGAACGCCCGGGCCGCTGCTTGTAAAGAGGTTGGTGTTGTTGCCAAATTATTAGTGTGGGGTTGTTGCAGTGCTAGGATCAGGCGCTGTGTCTGACGAGTGGTGGCAGTACGTTTTAAGTAGCCAGCCGATACTTCCCCTTGTTCTCTCCACCGTACGTTAGCACGAAGTGCAGCTGTGTCAACCATCTCTTGCTGGATGATTTCGATTTGTCGCTCTACTCGAGGCAAGTGCATTTCCAGTATTGCAGGGGGCGGATTTGCACGGAGTAGGCGGTTGCGCTTAGTTTGTAGGGCCTTGAGTTGCTGGTCCCGCCAGTCAGCACGTTGGCGTCCAAACTGTTGCATGAAACGCTTCAATTCATCCTTCAGGCAGTCCCATTGTTCTTGGATTGTACCATTGGCCTGTAGGTTAGGGCGCAGTCGTGATAGCAGCCGTGCTAGGTCTTGTCGAAACTCTTTGATACGGGTGAAGTTGGGGTTACCGCGCCAGTACCCTTTACCGCGAGGGCTTTCACCAAGATCAATAAAGGCAGTCAACAAGCTGTGATCGGACCAGGCTCTACATAGTTTTTGCACGTCAGCACGTGTAATATGAGGGCGTAGGGAATACGTAGCATATATGTAGTCGAGTGTGGAATGATACAGATCCCCATGGCGGTAGGTGGGTAGTGGTGATGTCGCATCTGTATCCGTTATGCAGTCAAGAAAATTGTTTTGAATAACTGCGCGCCAAGCCGCAGGCACTCGGTTATGATGATCGGCTCGGTGACTGTTGTAGTTGAAATCGCCGGCAATGATAAGTCAGTCAAGATAGTTAGAGTCAGGGTTGTTGAAAATAGGTGATGCGAGTAGTTGGTCGTAGAAGGTGTGTCGCTCACGGATTGATGATGTGGCTGGTGCATAAATGACGAGAAAATAGAATGGTGTAAAAGTGCTGGAAACGGATTGGACATGAGCAAAAATGATCCGCTCCGTATTATCCGCCAGGTCGATATGGATCTTGGTGATGGTGATGTCAGGTGATAATGAAAGGAGGCCGCAGCGACTAGTCCAAAGGCTAGCTGCTGGTCTGAATTGAAAGTCGAATGAATTTACAATGTCTTCTGAAGAAGCATTGGTTTCTTGTAGTGATAGTAGTTGTGGTTGTTGTTGACGCAGGTACCGAATAAGTGAGGACCGTGCGTCAGGGTTATGAGTTTTGCGTAGGCTATTACAATTTAAAGAGCACAATTTGAGGAGCTGATGGGATGTCATGATGATAATTAATTTTGATACGTATTTTTGCGGGTCATCTTCTTTTTGTTGGATGATGACCCGGTCTTACTGCGTATAGCTTTTTCGGTCGGCTTGACTAATCTGCCACTTCTTGTATAAGTCTCAAGGGCTTGTTTGTTCGCAGGCACTGTCTCGATCTCGGGGAAGCGCAGACGCAATATCATAGCTGCCAATTTTTGTTCCTCTTCGGGTAGGCCCGCGAGATGTTCTCTGTCGTTATCCGTGAGGGGATAGCTGGTGTGCCACACTGGAGTGATTTGTGTTTCTTGTGCGAGCTGGAGCATGTGCTGGAAACTGTTAGGCGTAGTTTGCTTTTCGGTGAAGACTGAGTGGAGCGCCGCGGCAACCGTCTCGGCAGTGGCAGCAGGTCGTTCGGTGGACACGTCATTCGCCTCTAGTTCATCCACAATTGCCATGTCCTCATCGTCTGTGTCGGTGCTGGCGACGGGGGCTGTCGATTCGTTGTCGTCAGAGGCGGTCGAATCGTTGTCATCGGAGGCGGTCGATCCGTAGTCGTCATGGTCGGTTCGAGGTTGTTGCTCGTTTGGTTGTTGCTCGTTTGTTGGTGAGGTTTCACGAGCTGGTGTCTCTTCCACATGTTGTGAGACATTGGAGCTATGCTCAGTTACCCCTGCTGAGGCTGGAGAGGACAGACCCGCATTGCCAGAGTTACGAATACGGCGTCGCTTGGTGCCTGCATTACTTTTGTTTCCTTGGACATGGTCGCTGGCGTTTGGGCAATTCACAGAGATGTGTCCGACTTTACCACATGTCCAGCAGGTGCGATAGTTGCGCGGGTTGGAAGGGCAAATACGAACGTGGTGGTCGGGTTTGTGACACCGGGCACAGTGTAACGGCATGGCAGCCCAAGTTGCGTAGAAATAGTCGTCGGTGGTAAGCCAAGAAATTACGTGTGACATTTCGCTAAATGGTTGTGCGCCTTCGATTGTTTGCCGATCAAGAACTGCAAATCCATTGCCCATGAAAAGGCCTGAGGAGGCATCGCGGTAAATACCACAGTCTAACACTCGACCGTAAATGCTCATGCTATTAGTGATGCCTTCAAGTAGTTTGCTAGGGTTCATGAAGGGCAACTTGGACAGACGCACCTTGGTGACTTTGGCCTCGGAGGATAGGGCCAAACAAGGTTTGATAATGACCCCATTCTTGAAGGTAATTCCAGTGGAAATCGTATTATGGATGTCCTCCTCGTTCTCAAAGTATAGCTCCGCCAAAACACGAGGACCCTCTCGAACAGGTTGACCACCGCAGTTGGATGGGAACGTACGGGCGAGAAGTGTCATCAGTTTGCCTAGTGGTTCAGTGCGGCTACTCAGATCGAAGAAGACACTCTTTGCTGAAGCAGGGGAGCCGCCTACTCGATATACGTTGGAGTAGATTACACGCGTTGTCTTTTGGGCGTCAGTTTCATCAGGGGTAACGATCGTGTCGTGTTCTTGTCGCATCAAGGATTGACGATGCTTTTGAGCGACTCGCGCATAGGTGAGACGAGGCACTGGGAGCGGTTGATGTTGTGAGGAGGTGGGCGGTTGAGTGCCAGAGCCATTGTCTGGCTGGTCGTGATCAATAGCGGAAAGAGCCATGTGACTCTGTGTACTACTTGGTCGCGGTAGCATCGAATTGTGTGGACGTTTAACCTCCGCTTGGGCCCTCTATCGCACATTTTTTAAGAGTGCGAACTCAAACCTTCTACTTTGCGGTTTTTTTTTTACATATACACACAACGAGAGAGAAGAGGGGAGGTCTTTAACAATGCCTGACACGCATAGACCATCCGACGATAACACTACAATGCACGACACTACTCCCACTACTTTAAACGATGATCAACAGCAGCAGCTGCAACAAAAGACGATACATGCTGCTAAAGAGGCAGCACGCAACATGAATAATGCTCCTGTTGTACACGATCGACGCGAAATATCAATCTTGAAACCTTTCGTTGACACTTTATTAAAGTACACTTGCACAACTTTTTTTTTTTTATAAAAAAAAAAAATAACCCGATTGTGTGATTGACCTTTTTCCGTACAACTCTTGGTTTTAGTACGGATAAACATGGAATTCTTAGTATGCTTGATAATGACGATGCGATCTGCATGGAAACGATCCAAGCCAAGCTTGATGAATATTCCAGCATTGCCGAATTCAAGGTATGAAGTCAAATACTTTGTTTAATTAGAACGGGAGTCGCTTGATCTCTTTGAACAAAAGATAAAGCCAAATCTGCTTGTGTATTACGACTTACAACAATATCTATTACCTGTTTTTAAATTCTATAGCATGATCTACAGCTGGCTTTCCACACAGTACTGCCCAAATTGGCGAATCATTCACCACAACGTCGGGAGGCTCTTGACAAACTGCATGAATTTGCCATGGCGACCTTACGGTTTGAAAGCCAACGATTGTTGAAACGGAAATCTCATGAACGTGAAGGCCAAGATCAAATGGTGATGGATACGTTTGATGATCAACAGCAACAGGTGGCGCTTTTCCGTCCGACCATGGATGGATTTGTGTTTACGGATGCTGTGCCAAGTGCTTTTTTAGATAGAAAAGAAAGGCTTCGTAAGTTTTCTTCTTTTACCTCTAATGCTGGAGTGGTGATGGCTAGAATGTACGTTTTTATTCAACTCAAAATAACCATGTTGTCACACTTGTTATAGCCGGCGGTGTTCAAGAAATGGCTATATACCCGACTCCTTCCACAGCAGAAGTACCGTCATTACGAAACACTGTGCCTCCACCACCACGATTTCCGTCAAGAATACATCGACATGAAGATAAACATACAGTACCTAGTAAGTTACCGTACCGACATATAGGCTACCAAAATCCTCCAACAGAAAAACTAATGCAAAATCTATCTTTTTTTTGCAGTTCAATGGTTAGATTATGGTGTATTCTCCAGTTTTGCTCCTACACGCGATTCAAACCATGCCAACATTTCATACGAACACACATATATGGGACGAGTAGCAAAACGATTCAAAAGATGGGAAAAGAAGCAACGCAACCTGCAAACATTGGGTAAACCTACGAGTCCACCTAAATCGGTGGCTATGAAGAACGGTGTTTCCAAAGACGATAGCAATACGACGACTACCGAAAACAATGACAACAAGGATGAAATTGATACACAATGGTTAAAGGAACAAGGGCTGGATGTGGATGCGATTTTGGACGCAGCACAGAGCGGATCGGTCAATGTGGATGACCTTATTGGCAATGACGAAAAGGATATTGAAGGAGTTTTGGAACGAAATAGCGAACTTCTAAGCTACTTGTCACAATATCAAGAATACCGATTTGGTCTTGGTGATGCTCGATGGGGCAGTATTGATGAGACTGAACGGAATATTGGTAACGTGATCTTTTATCATTCATTTACGATAGTGAGGAAGAAAGATTTGCTGCTAACATATTAAAAAATTTATAGCTAAAGCATTGGAAAAGCGGATGCATAAATTGGCTTCCAAGGTTGCACCCAAGGATTTGACTGAATCGGAAGCAGTGGAAGCAGCCATGGATCGTTTACCGTTGCGCGAACCAGCCTATCGAGGATCATTGCCACCAAACAAGCCATTTGCGTATCCTACAAATGAACAAGTGGAGCCCATCCCGCCACTTGCGAACTTGCTACCTGGTTACCCAAAGGAACGATGGAAGCTAGTAGATGTTGCGCCTGTTCCCAACAAAGAAAAGCAACACTATCATCCACAGCAACAGCAACAAAAACGACCACCGCATCCTCATCCTTCAGCATCCTCCTCGTCTTCCTCATCTTCACCTTCCCCTTACCGTCCTTCCCCATCCTAATAACTCTGGCTCTATAATACTTGTCCCTCTCAATAAAGTTCCCTTCTCAGGCACGAAAGAGAAAGAAAAGAGCTAAGCCTCTCGCCCCCCTGGTCGGAGATAAGTTGAGAAGCCTATCAATGAAAAAAAAAAAAATTTTCGAGCGTCAAAAAAAATCTTTTTTAAATCAAAAGCGGGGAGGCAAAGCCGAACAAAACCTTCTCTTTCCCTCCTTTTACAAACCATGACGGGTGCTTACAGAACCTACAGCAAGACCTACAAGGTCCCCAAGCGTCCTTACGAGTCTGCCCGTTTGGACCAAGAACTCAAGTTGGTCGGTGAATACGGCTTGAAGAACAAGAAGGAAGTCTGGCGCGTCGGTCTCACCCTGTCCAAGATTCGTCGTGCTGCTCGTGAATTGCTCACCTTGGATGAAAAGGATCCCCGTCGTCTTTTCGAGGGTAACGCCTTGATCCGTCGTTTGGTCCGTATTGGTGTCTTGGACGAGTCTCGCATGAAGCTCGATTACGTCTTGGGCTTGAAGATTGAGGATTTCTTGGAACGTCGTCTTCAGACCCAGGTCTTCAAGTCTGGTTTGGCAAAGTCGATCCATCACGCTCGTGTCCTCATTCGTCAGCGTCACATTCGTGTTGGCAAGCAGATTGTCAATGTTCCTTCGTTCATTGTTCGCTTGGTACGTTTGAACGTTTCTGTGTTTATTTTTTTTTTATGAACCACCTTGGATCAATGGCAAGAGAGCTTATCAGTATGGTTTTTTTATGTGTTATAGGACTCGCAAAAGCACATTGATTTCGCCTTGACCTCGCCCTATGGTGGTGGCCGTGCTGGCCGTGTCAAGAGAAAGAGAGCAAAGGCCGCCGAAGGTGGTGATGATGAAGATGAAGAGTAAATTACTCGTCCTTCTTTTTATCTCTCTCTCTCTCTCCAAGTCCCCTTTTTCTCTACTCCTACACGCTGTTGTATGAACCTTTGCATGCCGTCAATAAAAAAAAAGATGTCCATCAGAAAAAAATGGTTTCCTTTTTGGATGCAAAGCACCTGTTTATCGAAGAACAGTATCATGACAACTAGCAATTGAATGGCTCCCCCACCTTTTCCTTGCAGGTAAGTATGTTTACAAGTGTGTGTGTGTCTGTGTGTGAGAGAGCGAAGGAGAGAAAGACGTATGTGTTGATGTAAAAGAAGAAAAAGAGGAAGGGCTACATCCATCTATCGTGTGCTGCTTATCATTGTGGATCTTGGCTTCTTTGACATGTCCATCAAAAGGCGGCCCTCTGTCACCAACGTTGACTTGCTACGGATGGGTATTCTTTTTCTCTCTTTCTCATTGCACATGTCTTTTTTCCTTACTCACACTTCGCCGGTACATACAAGCCCATTGCCATATTCCATTCAATTGCTGCTTTTCATGTTATCTGGTCTGTCGTTCAGGCTCGCTTTGTTTGTTTCCACAGTGTTTGAAATGTTTTGTTGGTTGTGTGTGTGTGTGTGTGTGTGTGTGCTTAATAGAATAGCTCTTCCAGTTAGATGCTCGTATTTTATTATACCATTTGACTTTTTGTCCAGTAATAAAAAGTGACATACATAATACAAGACCTTTAGTTTTTGCAATTGCATCCAGTCCCATACTTATGCCAACAGTGGCGTGTAATAATAGCGAGCATCATAAAAGAAGGTTGGTGGCCCTTGATATATATGATGGGTATCACATGAACCTTAAAGAAGCATCTTCCTATCACAGCAAGGCTTGTCAAGCGAATGCTTCGCTTTAAATGTTTGTTGCACCCGTTTGTACGCTGCAAACTATAAATCCTCTTGCTGATTTTATGTAGTATAGAAAATGCTAGGTTTTTTTAATGTTGGTGATATATATAAAAGATACTTAAATACAGTCTGACTCGTTTTCAGAGATGCCTTTGGTAAAAGAATTAATGTCTGTGGGATAAGAAAGTATGCTGGCAAAAGATAGTAATACCCGGATTGGGGAAAGATGGGGTGTTGTAAAAAAAGAAGGCTTTTTTAAAGGTGCTTTTATAATAAATTGGTTTTTTTCTCATCGTCAGAGAGCAAAGAATTGCTCACCATTCTTTTCATGACGACCACGAGCGCCAAGTGACAAACGAATATCATAGATCAAATCATTCCATTCTCGCCAAAGGGATCGTTTTCCAAAGATCAAGAATACCCACAGACCAATCAAGCTGACCAGCGCTTCGGCCGTGATCATCAAACCAAAGGGCGGCATATGGTTCCCGACCACACTCGTGCATCCATCCTGCGTGTTGTCTGGATTTAACATACACTCAAGCCATGCAAGGATGGTATCTTCGTCTGTGGTAAGACTGGACATGCGATGGATTTGAGTAAAGTAAAAGATCTATCATAAAGAGGTGATGTGTTAGTGATGGGATGCTTTGTCAGATCTGCCGGAAAACAATATAGTAATATATACCCAGTAGAATAACACAGTAATAAGCGCCACAATGGCAAGCAATAAAGCACGCCACTGGATTTTGACAGCTGTAATGACATGCTTGTGCTTGCGCGCGGCCATTTGATTACGGTTAGACAACGAGGTGGCCGATATGGATTGCGACAGTTCGGATTCCTGACTCTCTCTCATTGCCACCTATCCGGTTTTCTTATTAGATATGAACACATTACCAAGAATGATTTCTTTTTTCTTTTTGTTTACCTTGGCAATGTAGAGGAAAGTGACGATATGCAACAAGAATGCCGGACACACAATGGCGGCCATGGGATAAAAGAACAAGTCAAAGATATACTCGACCGACACCAGACACAGATTGGCAAACTCAAACTTGACTTGATGCAGGCCTAGCACGACGCCCATGAACACGGTGGGGACACCCCAGCAGAATACTTGCAAGTAAATGTACTTGTTGGTAAAAAAGTTCGAGTTCCACACGGTGTGGACGTGCAAGTTGACAATCAATGCTGCACACCACAGAACGGTGGCCAATGAAGCAAAGCACAAGATGGCGCCTACAATACATCACAGTGTTATATTATTGTGTGTGTGTGTGTGTGTGTGTGTGCGTGTGTGTGTGTCTGCTAGATCGATATTTACCTTGAGCTGCACACAATAAATTGTTATTTTGGTCGCTAGGGTTGATAGCATCAGCACACTGTAACCGTTTCGTATCGCCGATTGAGAAAAAGACCACCATACTGAACAGAAAGATGGCCAATGACAAGTTCAAAATTAAAAGCGAAGGATGTCTAACCGATCCATAATAGCACGTCAAGTTCTCTCTGTTAGCTCTCAATCGTATATAACATAGAATCGCCCCAGTGAAGGAGGGGGGGATCAAAAGGAAGAAGGCGGAGTTTTTGACCATCCATTCTTACCTTCTCTTGTCGGGTAGCACCAAGTAACTGATCAGAATAACAAACGATGCAACAGCTGATATGAATCGAACAATGTTGGTGGCCAAGAAACCGTGCGACGTCCATCCTTCGTTAAAAAACTGGAGGATAAAGGAACAAAATCAAGGTACATATATAATTAGCTGCGGCGGTCTATCATGTGTGTGACCATGGAATTGTTGCTTACCAAATCTTGAGCGGGGCATGGCATGCAGCATCCGAAGCGACAATAGGTGGGATTGGCGGTATCGGTTGTACCTTCTTTGGCTTGAGGATCGCGCAAGAAAGGTGCTGGGCACTCGGCCATAACAAAGCCTTCAGGTACCGCTTTTAGATTCAGGCCAGACTTGCTTTTATCAACTAGTTATATACATCACAATAAGTTACTCCATCTCGTAACCCAAAAAGAAAAAGGGAGAAGAGGCACAGGAGGGGTCCGAGCGGAATAAATAGATGCAATAATGCACAGCATCCTAATATATGAACTTACCGTGAGCTGAGATGTAATTACAACTTTCATCGGGCTGTAAAGTCGAATTAGTGATGGGCGAAGTGGCAGAACAATCAGGAAGTAGTGAGGTTTGGCCCGTCAATGTAAAGGTGGTTTTGCAAGTAGTCAGCGTGTCGTTACATGTCGAAGAGCATCCCATCCATACTTCTTGTTCTATATAGCCAAGTGACAATTTTTTTTATTGGGAGTTAGCATCAACATTGTTCTTTGGGTTGCCTCAAATGGCTAACACATAAAACCATGATCAACAAAGCTTTTTTGAGGCGGATATGATACTTGCGTTGGGCAGTGCTGGCACCACATTTGGGATAATAGAATGAACATGCGTATCGAAAGTATGAATCAGTGCACACGGGATCGACTTGTCCGAGCGTTTGGTTGAGTTCTGCGAGTGTTGCTAGTTGCGATTCGATCGTCTCAATGGAGGCACCGCCTGTGTAAACCGTATAGTCGATATACGACTGTTTGGATGAATCGATAGAATGTTAACCTCTTTGATGCGCACGAGGAAAAGGAACAGGTATTTTTTTTTCGGGATAATTTCAGCTTACAGCACAGATTTGTCCAGTATATGCAGTACAAGCCGTCGTGCTACCAGCTACATATACACAAAAAAAAAGAGAAAAAAAAAACAAGGTGATCTTGGTTGGTTTCTTATTTTCCTCGAGATGATATATATATATATATATATATATATCGTTGTTGTTGTTGTTGGTAGTGGTTCGTGTGGTGTATTTGGGTAAGTTTATGGCTTGCCTCCAGTCTGGCCGTAGACAAAAGTAGAGAAGCACCAACAAGAAAAGATCAAAAGCAGTAAGGCGTTGTGGGTGAGTATCATGCTATTTTCTCGCGCTCAAAAGATTCGTGTATGTTTGTGTGTGTGTGTCTGTATATTGTGTTGCCCGCGTAGTTCCCCGGTTGATAATGTTAGTGTATGGTGAAACAAGGGCTCCCGAAAAGAATAAAGAGGTGGATGCTGAAGAAGGAGGAAGGAATGGCAAGGGTAAAGGGAAGGATGGAAGGGGGGGGAGACTTGTCTATCTTCTTTTGTTCTCTTCTCCCTGTTGTTCCAGCAAGTAAAGAAGCAAAGTATAAAGAAGAATAGCAATTGTCAATGCTCGGTAGAGAAAGAGTTATCAAGAAGGAAAGAAAGAGAGAAGAGAAGAGAGAAGAGAAGAGAGAAAGGAGTTGCGAAATAAAAAAGAAACGACGGAAATGAGCTTCATCTCTTGTGTGATACTCCTCTTTCTTTCTCTCTTTCTTTCTCGAAAGTCTCTTGCCCGTTTCGTAGTGCGGACATTTGATTTCCTTGCAACTTCATTTCCTCTAGGTTGCACAGACGAGCTCTGCTTTTTAATTTAAGGTAGTGTGTAAAATGTGTATACTAGTATACGATGCTATGGGGCTAAAGAGAGTAGTGATGGGTAAATAGTATGACTTTCTATGATGACGACGGCGATGCGTCGTCGATAGTGGAATCGACATTGTTCTTTGCAACTGCGTCGGACACGATATTGGCGAGTTCGCCCACTTCAGGTGGCAGTTCTCTATCCTGGGCTGCTGCGAAATAAGACTTGATTGCGTTTTGCATCTTGCCGATAGGATTACCGGGGATCTCGTTGTTGTTGTTATAGTATTGCGAATAATTATCCTGGAATCTACACATTGCCAATCGTTCGTTAGAATGTCTTTTCAACACCAACAGCTAACCCAAAACCAATGCCTCTCTCACAGTAATGGTAAGGAGTGGTGGTAGTACGCGCTAAGAAAGGTCACTTACTGAACACAATCAAAATCCCAAGTAGAACGCCACTTGTGTGCACCACAGGCCGACTTTGTCCACGGCTCACCATACGTGATCGGTATGAATTGACGATACACAGTGACAAAGCATAGCACGGTGACGATGGCGGCGATGATGCGCTTCTTGTTCTTGAGCCGGACAGTAAGGAGATCAAAGCTGACGCCAAAGACAAGAATGGAAAAGTAAAGTGCCGGCATGTAATGATGCAGGAACAATTGGCGGCCCATCAAGAAAAATGGGAAATAGTGCAATGCCCAACCCACGAGGAAAAAGCCTGCTGATTCATCATAGAATCTCCGCAATCCTTTTTGTTAGAAAAATTAACACTTTTTGAGTTAGCAAATAAGTAAAATGATGAAAAATGATCTGCGCTGCGCGGTTTTATCTTTTTTTCTACCTCCTAATTTGAAATGAATCCCTCTCTTGTCCAGCAATAAGAAGGTCAGCCGGAAAATCATATATGCTGCAAGCGATGCGGCTGCTGCCCAGTATATCAAAGGGTTGCCGAGGAGATAGAGGTGTCGATGGTCTTTGCCCCAAAAGTTGATACCGCGTCTTAGCAGTGGCCATGACTTTAGAATGAAAGAGTTTTGTGTAAATAATAATGTTTCAGATCTATACACGTTAGCATGGAAATTGAATTAATTGCGCGTTACCTCGGGGCGTGAATCGTATGGATGGGATGCAGTCAAGCCCTTGTTCACGTCCCACATTACTTTGTTCAGTTCGAGAAACTTGGACAAGAAGCCAGGACGACGGTAGTTGACCTTTTCTGCATCGGCAGGCACTAGGATGTGTTCAAAAACATTTATAATTTAATCCATGTGTGTCAAGGTAGTAGGCCCCCTGTTACAGGGGGGGGGTGTGAATCCCTACAAGATAAAGCACTTACATTGCTCATTCTCGGTGGATTCAATGTACCACATGGTCTTTGGAAGCTTGCCGTTATTGATACAGGTTACTTCCTGCTGACCCCATCCCCAATCAGGAAGTTTGACAGAATGTGAGAAAAGCGCACAGTTGCGCAAAACGTGCACAAGCCGGAATTTGGAGTGCAAGGTGCGTAGTCTCTCTTTGGAATCAGGATCACGCTTATCATGATCGACAATTTCGACGCGCCAATAGTCGTTGGCATCACCGTCAAAGCCTGGGAAACCATATGCGCTATACAGAACGTTTGCTAAAAAGTTCACAAGATGGGAAAGGCTATTACTACGAGCTACTTGTCTATCCTACCTGACTTCATTGTGATACTCGAGGTCTGTCACCGGAGGTCGATGGTCATGGGAATGCAGTCGCTTGTTCGACTCTGGATGTACCAAACGCACGACATCACCATGCTTCACGTATTCAATCCCAGTAGCTTCCTCAGACTCCTTTTTATAGATCGTCCACCAGTTGTTAGTATCGCGGTGCGGATAGAGCGTTACTTGTTGCTCTATTTAGAGAAATAAAACAGTGTCATATTAATAAAGACCCATTTTTAGTGTTATTTTTCTTCTTTTGTGCTGCTCCCCACGTAACAGCCAACACTCACAACCTTATTGCCCCCCGAACGTTCGGATTCAGACACACACAAAAAAAAAAAAAGTTTATACTCACGTTTGCTTCCACTGGGATAGTTGTGAGGATGAGAGTGTAGATAACCACCACGTGTGGCCATATGCCGTATATAAACCTTGGATCCATATGCAACATCTAAAATAGATCCTTAATTTTTTAGCGTCATCTCCTTTTTCTTCCTGTTTTACTTTATTTTACCAATGGGAGTATCCGCCAACTTGTGTCCTGCCAACGTTTGTTGAAACTCGGGCGACATGAACCCATTGCCCTCACCGCTGTTTGGTAACGAATGGAAATGAATACTGAACATGATCATATATGTGATGATGGGGATAGCTATCAAACATACAGCACGCGCACCAAAATGACGTGCAAAGACAGGCTATAGATTGAAAAAAAAACCGTTTTCGCTGTAAATACAGACTCGGTCTTTTGCACGCAACACACACACACACGTTGGTACTTACGATAGGAGTCCGTGTATCTCCCCAGATTTCCCAAAGGTTCTTCATGGTGGAAACGCCCACGGTAGCGATTGTGAATAAGCCCACCCATTTACAGCTTACGGTCAGACCCAGTCCAAGTCCAGTAAGTGCCAGCCAGAAATACCACCAAAATTGGAACGGTCTGTTGTCAACACCCCCCATCATAAACAACAGGAAAGAAATAAGATATCCAAATTCTTTTCTTTCAGCGATCACAATGTGCTCCTTGTATCAGATAAAATAAAGGTGTTTACGTACCGATTTTTTTGATTATAAAAGTTGATCCACACCAGTGTGGTTGCTGCAGTAAATGACAAAAGGATAGGGTCGAGAAGGATGTGACGATTGTTGGTAATAAGGCCGTTTTCTTTGAAAAAAAAAGACATGCTTGTCAGCTGAATGCGCTTATGGAAGGACTTGCTGTTCCTCTCTCCCAACTATTAAAACACACAATGACATGTTTTCTCTCTTTTTTTTTTTTTTTACCATAGCAGACCATCAAGGCTGCAACAACACCCGCTGCGACAGAATGACCGGCGGACCTCAAGGTCCAATAGGCGATGGGTACAGTCAATATACCATTCAATGCACAAAATACGCGAATGGGGACGTATGGCACACCAGGTTCAAGATAATCTCTGGAAAGAGTCACATACAATGCGTGTGTGTCAGTCAATCCCTGCACGACATCAAGCAATCCACTGCTAGCTCAGAGGTAGGGCCATTCTTAGATACTTTACTTTCCAATATCCTTAAAGTCAAAGGATCCATCAAATCCAAATGATTTCGCGACTAAGGCAATCAACATCTTTGCCAGCTATACAAATTACATGGAGCCACGTCAATAAATATGACTCTTCTTGTCATCCCCCTTTCACAAACACTTACTGGTGGATGCACATCCATAAAGAACCGAGTTTTGATATATTTACTAGCAAAACCACCAAAGTGTACTTCATCAAAACTAGGGTATAGTATTTGTAGAAAATCGTCAGTTCTCTCTCTCTGTCTCGCAATGCCATCCTGTTGAACCTCGACTCACTGACTGACTGACCCCATTGACATTTTTCTTTTCTCCCTCTCTCTCCTCTTTGAGATAAAAAAGACCTCATACTTACACGACCGAACTAGGTTGACTTATCTTCCACAGCCGGATATAACAAGCCCACAGCGTCAACGCAATACTAATACGCCAATCCTTTTTGCGTGCCTGTGTTTCTGCCAACGAACGTTTCTGTCGAGCTTTCAAAACTTTGGAATCATAATCCATGGATAAATCAATATCGTCGTCTTGGTAATAGCTGTAGCCATCCAATGGTTTTCTGGAATTGTGTTGTTGTTGTTGTTGTTGGTTGTTGTGGGTACGTTGTCGAAACATGTCAGACGATCGTGCTGTTGTCCGACTGTTATTGCTGCTGTCTTCATGTATGACGAGTGGTGTGTGGTCTACTACTAATGGAGGGGAAGGGCCGGATGAAACAAAGTTATCGGTAGAAGAAACCGACGCGGGTGGTGGTTGATAGTACGGCAATGGCGAATGCCGACTCGTCATTATGACCTATATTTGCAGAGTGGAAAAAGGTTTGCCTGTTTGTTGTGTGGAGGGGGGGGGGAAATAGACAAGACACCACTTTTTTCTTTCAGTAGATAATATGTAAAAGCGGATTGAATAGCTTGGCTTGCTATTAAAGGTAAGCTCGCATCTGGTCTATTTTAGCTTGAACATGAGAGAAAAACCCAGCAGCTCAGGCCCACAACATATTGGAGTTTCTTCCACAAACAATATCACACACTTTTCTATGTATGATTGGATATGTAACAAGGCGTTTTTTATTATTATTAATATTTCAAGAGAGAAAGATTTCTGTACAGCAAAAAAAAAGAATGGAAAGGGAACGCGAAAAAACAAAAGATGTGTGTGTGTGTGTGTGTGACTCGGGTGGTGAAGGTTAATTTTTGCAAGGTTTTTTCGAGGAAGCTAAAGATACAATCATACATACAAGAAGAACTTTTTTTTTTTTGGTGTGAGAAATTTGCAAAAGATGGTAAGAGCTGGGAGAGTTTGTGTTTACAAGGGTTGAGAGGTTTGTTCTTCCGTTTTGAGACGTTTGTTGGGTGAAGAAGAAGTAGAGGAAGAGGAACCTGCCTCTTCATCATAATTAACATCATCATCGTCATCATCATCTGTGGCTGTATCAGTAGCAGTAGTAGTAGATCTCTTGGATGATGATGATGATGATGATGATGGCTTGTCCGCTTGTTCCGTGAATGCCAATAACGAGTCATAATCGTACACCTGATCTGGGTGTGCTTGGCTCAACTTTTGAAATTGAACCAGTTTGGAATGATGGCGTCGTCGCGCGTTCTGGAACCATGTCGAAACTACATTAAATACATATTAGGTTTGTTTTCTTTTTTCTGTTTTTTAACCCTTTGTGATAACTTACTCTGAACATGCGACTTTTTGGCTTCTTCGGCTAATAGCTCCTTGTGTTCTGGTTCGGGCGTCTTTCCACCGTGTAAGAGATACCAGTTCATGAGCACGCGTGTGGTTTCCCGACTATAGTTTTGGCGCGTTTTTTTGGTGTTACGATGGTAGCTTGAAGAGGAGCAAGTAAATGATCGCCGACTGTTGCCGCTTCCCCTGCTCATGGTGGTAGTGGTAGTAGTCGTTGAGGATGATGTGGATGGTTGTCGTTGGCGTCGTCGTGCAGAGGATGCGATCTCCTCTTCCTCGGCTTCTTCAGGCATCCATGGATCGTCACCATCGTCCTCTTCGTCAGATGATATTTCAATCTTTCGCTTTCGTCTCCGTATGGTCGTTGTGGCAGTAGCAGTAGCAAGAGAAGAAGGAGAAGGATTTACTGTTGTAGTAAAAGTAGTGGCGGTAACTTGTGATGATTGTCGTGATCTGCTTCGGCGACGAGCTACTACTGACACTTGCTGTTCCTCTTCGTTGTCTTTATACTCGTCATCCTCATCTTCGATAACCACGTCTTCGTCTTCTTCATCGTCGTCGTCGTCATCGATGTCGATATATTCTTCTTGATCACCGTAAATTGAAAACAAAGGTTCGTAACGATCGCGCAAGATTTTGACGTACTCCAGGACACATTGCCGGATGGCAGGAAGCAGATCACCACCATCACTCTCGTCATTGTGTTTTAGAATTTCTTTGGCATGCTGATACAATGAAAGCCATTCATGTTCTTTTAAACGTTGCTTAGTATTGATTTGCTCACGGAGATCGGCCAACAATCGATTGAGCGGATGTTGTTGGTGTTGATGTGTGGCAATAGCAGTAGCGTCTTCTTCTTCTTCTTCTTCGTCATCTTCTTCGTAGTCGTACTCGGACTCGATGGAGGAAGAAAAAGATATACCGTGTGTTAAGCGAGCAGGCCAATGAGCAAATACGTCCTCGTCCTGGCAACAAAAGGTCCCTTCCTCGTCTTGATCTTCTTCGTCTTCCTCTTCTTCACCAGAAGAAAAGCACCAGTCCATATCGTCTGTCTTTAGTGCATCATCCTCGTCCGTTGTTATCGATGAGGATAACACAGGAGAACCACTACTGTTACTGCTACTCGGGCTGCTATTGCTGAGGACCTGGGGACAGTATTCCGTGGTAGAGGAAAAACTGGGCTCCTTGGACATGATGAACAAAGAAGGAAGTTCAAGGCTGGTGGCATCGTCCAAAATGTCGCTGGTAGAAACAATGCCCGACGAAGGTGGCAAAAGTGGACTAGCATAGAGAGACTCGGGGGAAAGTGGTAGCTGTTGCTGTTGGCCGATAAGATCTTTTTCCGACGACGACAAAGGTGAGGATAGCGAGAAATCGAGAGGTGTCTTGGGGGATGGTGGCCACATGGCTACTGTGGGAGAACTCGCTGCTGCCGCTGCTGCTGCTGTTGTTGTTGTTGTTATTGTCGCACTGATGCCCATGCTGCTGCTGCTGCTGCTGCTACAGTTACCATTACTGATGCTATTGATCGTCGTTGCGCAACTGCCATATTCGGAAACTCCATAGACAGGTGGTGAAGGTGGGGCGGCGGTAGCACCTGCTCTGTTCCACGGGTAGCCAAGCATCGGATCGTTGTCTTCGGAAGATGTGAACGAGCAAGGTGAGATCTGGCCCTCTGTACTTATGCTGCTATCGGTGTTCTTCGTGCCACACGTAGTAGTGGTGCCGGTAGGGAAAGGTGCTGAAGTCGATGTGACGAGCGAAGGAACTTGGGATGCAGGCACATTACTGTTCCAGTTGGATGAGGAAAACGTGAATGTATGGTATTGTTGTTGTTGTGGGTTACTGGCTCGACAATAGAGCATTTCATCGTTTGAAGAGTAAGTAGGTGCTGCTGCCATGGCTAGTAAAGAGATGGGATGGCGAATATGATATTGGGGGAAAAGAGGATAGATGTAGAGAGAGCGCGCGGTGGAGGGAGAAGCGAAAAAAAAATAAAAAAAAAAACTATGAAAAAGAAGAAGAGAAAAACCGAGGACGCCAATGGCTCTCTTGTATTTTATTTTATATGCAGAGAGCACACACGAATAAGTCAAATGTAAATAAGTGGAGTGGTTTCTGATGATGATGATGATGGAGGAGGAGGAGGGAACTGGACCGCACACACACACACACACACACCATAGAGAGAAAAATACACTTTCTACTTGCCCTCTCCTTCGAAAAGCGATGATGCGTTACACAACACGAAGCCAGATGTATGCCGCGTGTTTTTTTTTTTCTACTGTTCTCTTCTTACTTCCCTCCCCCCCCACGCAATAAGGTTATCCCTTTTATATCCAGCTCTCTTTTTCTTTTTGTCCGTTCCGTCCGAGCTCTCGATATGTATTCGAGCAACAGAAAGAAACAAATGATAAGGTGGTGTGTCTTGGAGCATTGAAGGAATGCATGATTTTGTTTCTCATTTCCTTATCTTCTCGATATTCCCTCTCCCCTAACCCACCCCCCCCTTCTTCCCAAACAACAGTAGGGTGCAGTATAATGCGCAAAAGTCAAAGAAAGAAGCAGTCTAAAGGTTCATGCAACACAAATAACAATAACATTTAAAAAACACGGCAGAGGGAGAAGTAACTCGCGGGGGGGGGGGCGAGAGGCTGTTTGGGCGGGCGCGTGCACGGAGGAAAGACCTATTAACATAGAGGAGGGCTCTCTTATTTTGGGGGTGGGGAAAGGAAGAAGATAGAAGAGAGATCCGGTTTTGTTGACTTGCTCTTCTTCATCTGCACAGAGTTACCAAATATGACAAACCCAATCAGAAACCCGGTGGGCGTCCGTACATTCATCTTCTCTTCTTGCCCTTCCCTCACTCACACTACTACTACTACTACTACTACTATATCCAATGTAGCAACGTACAACGACGCGCCTCTTATCCTACGAGTAGAAAGGAGACATCATCTATGTGGCATGTTCTAACACAGACAGAGAGCACAGTAAAGCAAACAACAGAAATCCGCTCTTTTGTTATATTGCACAACACAACTTGCTGCATAAATGTTCAAAAAAAAAAAAAAAGTCGGAGGAGAAAGACCCCGTTTAGCGTAACGCTCTTGATTTGTTGTGTAACCAGCATGCAATCGATGCGTCATAAGAACTCGAGAGATTCGTTTGTACCTTGCCCCTCTATTGACTTGTTCTCTTTCTCTCGCTCTTTCTTACCGTGGCATTTTTCTATTAGAAGAAAAGAGAACGATAAACAAAGAGAGAGAGAGAGAGAAGCTTTTGGGTGATTGGGCCTGCCTCACCACTTGTCACTCGTTTTGATGCAAAAAAGTTCGGTTTGTGTAACAAACTTGACATGCGAAAAAAAATAATTCTCTTTTTATAAATGGGATCTGCATGTATGTAGCAGAGTTCAACGGCATGTGTGTGAAAATGATAAAGAGTATTATAAAAGGAGCAAGACGCCTTACAGTATGCGCGTTATCTAACCACGTACATACTTTTATGTAATGTAAGGAAGTAGGAGCGTTTTTACAATGATAGTAAATGAGCGCGAAAAATCAAGGGAGAAACTTTCTCATTTAAAAACAAAAAAACTTGTTTAATATGGCGGGTTCCTTTTCCATTCTGTACTGTACAACAATCCCCCCCCCAACAAATCGTAAGGAAGAACCATTGAAAATGGCAGAGCCGAGGGGGAGAGAACGAAGGAACGACGAGTTTGAGTTGTAGCTGTTTGTTTTTTTTAGGGACGCAACACAGACCAAGGGGATCCGCTTTTGAAACACAAACATATAAATTGCGTGTTTCATATGCAAGAATGTGTGCGCGTCAAGGGAGCAGAGGTAGGGGTGCTCGCGGTACGAGAAATCAGAGAGTAAGAGAGAGTGTGAAGGTTATGGAACGGTGACAAAAAGACAACAACACACACACTTCTCTCTTTGCACGTTCTAACAGCTGCATTCGACTCGACTGAAGCACTAAGCTATACACATGATACAATTTTTTTTTTTTTTGTGAAAGCCGGCTCGGATGGATAGACCCGAAGAATGGCAGAACAAAAAAGATAACGCCAAAGAATAAGAAATTCTTGTGTTGCATAGCAACAAAGGCGACAGCTGTGTAACCATAACAACTGGAACCATAACAACTTTTCGTGTTGTTGGCGTTTGCTGCTATGGTTGCTGTTGTTGTTGTTGTTGTGTAATCGCCCTGGGCACATAGCGCCGTCGATCGATACAAGCGGAATGGAAGAAGAATGATGGGCGATTCGCTCTACGCTTCTTTTCTTCTGCTACCCGTCCTCCGACTTCCGAGCCGCACGCCTCTGTCCCTTTTTCTCATGACGTTATATTAGAAGGAGGGATCAGTGCAACGCCAGCCTTTTATTGTTTTTTATTTCCTCGGTGCGTAATCGACGAAGGGAGGGGGGGGGGGACTTTTTTTTTTTGAAAAAAATAATTCTATTAGGAACCCGGTGATTGACAGATCTTGCAATCGAACTACGTTCCTCTCCAAAAAAGTATTCACTCATGTGACATGCTAATTTGAAGGCATTTATGTACACTGCTGTGGAAGTGTAATGTGTGCCATATTGCGCACATCATCATATGAGCATAGTGGTAAACGCTGCTGTTCACAAATTTGTTTCCTTCCAAAACTCAAACAAAACAACAACCCCCATCTTTTATTTTCTTTCAGCGAGATTACTACCATTGTTAGAACGGCGGCGCCACAAAGTAGTAGTAAAAGTTGTGTAAATAACAAACACAATCTAGGGCACGGAACCATTCACATTTCAGGCAATCATAATAGAGTGGGCATGTGGCCTCCAAACAACAATAACAACAATAAAAAAAAACCAGCCCTCAAAAATGGAAAGCCGTCAGTGCGTGCGGCGGGGTTTACGATGATTTCCCTGGGGGAAAGAACTTGTACATGTTGGTGGAATACAAAGCTTCTGCATGGATTGATCGCTCTTTCTTACACTACAATGTCGAGAAAACATCTGCACCGTCATTATCAACATACATGTTTCTTTTGTCTGATAGGACTCGGTACTAACAAACTTTATTTATCTCTTTTTCTGAATATTAATATCATTGCATAGCTCAAACAATGAAAGGATGTGGCTGCTTGATCTACAATGTGCATATCTTACCTCTCCACTATCGTGATCTGTCCGTTTCTCTCCCTGTGTTTTGTTGAATAAGAAGGCGGAGGAGAAACTTTAGGGTTAGAATAAGGCAAGAGATGGAACTAACGATGCACTGCTGTTTTCAATAATATTCCCAGCACTTTTTATATGAATGTAAAGTTCGCTTTCTGAAGAACTCATCACCAGATGAGAGTTACACGCATGGTTTTATGTAAAGAGATAGCCATTCACTATGTAGTGTAGTCATTACTTTATGGTTTCTATTGATGACGCAAAGTAATATATCATGTATCCTATTTAGGCTGTTACGCTTGACCATCATGATTGCTGATTATATAATGTTATATAATGGCGAGTATATCTTAATTTGTAGCTAAAAAGCCAGATTCTAGTTATTTTTGCTTCTTGCATGAATATGAAAAGCTATATGACAGAACTACTCTTCTTTTACGTATCGTAACGACAACCGATAGACGCACCATTATTACACATGAAGAGAGATACTGTATTACACAGCAAACGACCATGGCTTACTGCTGCACACAGAAGGACACAGAAAAACAGCAGCAAACGATGCAACACTATAGGTAATTATGTACTCTACTCTGTACAAGTAACGTCTTACAGTATTGTCAAATAAAAATATGCATGAGCTAGGACCATAACTTGAACCAATATCTCCCCAAACATTGTCACAGCTACTTCGAGCTCGATAAAAAAAGATAGATCGATGTGTGTATCGGTGTCTACCCTGTCACACACTTTCTCTCTCTCTAAGAACAATACGCATAATAGTATAAAGAAAAGCGCAACTCGACGTCCTAGTAGCGTATACGCACCAAGGATTGAGGAGCCCTCATCGAGCGATTCATTGTGTTTAATGAAGCAGGTTAGTTATCCCATAAATATGTACTTTGTCTTGTATGATATGATCACCAAAGGAATAGAAAAAAAAACAAGTCCTTAGCATTTCTTTTTTCATATGAGAATACTATTTCTTTATATTTTGTTACTGTGTTCTGCGAGGGTGGATAAGACAGAATAAGTATGACCTAATACAAGAAAAAGAATATTTGAGCTGGATGTAGAATTCTCTTAAATACACATATTACTAACATGGGTTGGAAAAGTACCTTTAGATCTTTCAGACTAACCATGTTGTTTCCAACAACATGCGTATGTTACATGGTTTGTAGCGTTGTATATCAACGTAGCGTAGATGATGAATGTTTGTTCAAGGGTGATGCGGGATATCGAGAAAATAAAGGCTTAAGAATTTCTTACCTAGTGTATACTAATGGTTTTATATACTTATACGCTTCATTCCTTAGCACTGGAAGATGAGGAACGAAATTGCTGTATAGATCGTCGTTGCTGGTAAATTTTATTTAACATAATTTAGCACATTTTCAGCGTTTGCATAATGATCTTGTTCAATTAAATTGAATATTTGACTCTGTTCCTTCTTCATCTGCCCCAAAAGCCCTGCCAAAACAGGTTTTCTTTGCTAGATACAATAAAAACATGCATCTAGTAGTACCGGCGAAAGGGATAGTGACTTCCGTTAAAGAATCCAGTTTCCAAGCTAAACACCAGCCGCTATTTGCTGTCGCGATGTTCAGACAAACTACACAGTAATATAAGGTTCGCACCAGACGTCAGAAAGATCCTTCGGAAGAGGTGGCAAGTCGTCTGATGTCCATATCATTAGATTACTTTCAATGGTCGGTTTTGTATCTCTAATACAGTACTCGTACAGGTAAGACGCATCTACCTTCCGTCAGCGTTGACTATCACATCACCGTTCGTTGTTTCGGAAAAATGCTCCTGAGACGGAAAGTACATGCACAATTGGCTTTATGTCCCCCCCCCTTCCACCAACCCAAGCCGCATTTCAAGATGGTAAGTCAGGGCGTCTAGATCATATTTTCCATCATCGCCCATTTCGCTCCATAAGCACAGGATGGACGGGGTTTTTTTTTCGGCCAGTTGACCGTAAATTTGGATCACTCAATCTTGGACAGACTGCCCAGAGTCAATGGTTATATTCATGAGGATATCCGCGAAAATTTGAAAACATGCAAACATTCGGCCGTACTCTTCACTGCTCGTCCGTGAATGTTCTAATCACAAGCGTTCGATCTTCTTAATGGTGATGGCTTACAAAGACTGCTTATTTTTTCTAGCATTGATTAAAATGTGGGTGTCGCTATACCAACAAACAATTTCTTTTAGGGTCCATAACCGTTTTTTCCATTCTGGGCTACTTGTCCCAGAACATTGCTTGTCGCTGCTGATTACAGTCGACCTCTCCTAGAATTTCAAGCCGTTAACTTTCAACCCTCTATCAAATAAACAAGAATAGCAAAATATACTATTCCAAGCTGTTTTCGCTAACTTTTGACCCTCATTAATTTCACACATAATTTGGGAATCCACGCTATGAAATTTAACGAGGGCTACTGTACTGCATACGGGCTCTCGACGATAAGCAGTACGTACTTCTGGAATCAGCACCACGGTGCAGTAGACGTTAGTATATGTATTATCATATGCATGTGGTGCATTTCGCTGTGTTTCTCTAAAATACCGTCTTGCTTCATACACATTTAGTCATGCCAGTGATATATGACGCTAAAATCTCTGCAAGGTGCCTTCAAAGTTAATACATTCTTACTTGTCGTATGTTGATGCTTCATTCAAAACTTCTTGACGGAGGATCCAGCGAATACGTTTCAGTCCTTGAGACTGTCGCTTAATAACCATGTGTTTGCCGTCATCGACGCGCCTTGGTTTTTTTTTTTTTTTTTCGCGGTGGTTTGGTCCACGGTCATATCACCCGACTGGTCCCAAGAATACGACGGTGCGGGCACCAACATGAAGCAACCAGAACCAACAGCGATGGACTCCGAAAGGCAATGTACTGATCAAGAGCACCTGATATTATGCAAAACGACGGGGGAAGAAAGAAAGATGAATAGACTTTTTGTTAAGAGTCCCTCTAGGATGCCAGACCACATCATCATATTGTTTCCAAAAGATGCACAAAATATCATGCCTATCATATCAAAAGCATGGCTTGAACGGATAATCAATCGTGCATTTACGTGGAACAAGTTATCAGTTGACGGCACGAAAAAGAATGCACACCTCACTGATGAAGTCCAGTATTTTAGCTTTCATAATGTGCACTTGATGCCTAATACTACGAACATGGAGGTGCGCATAATTCACTTGCAAGATATCAAATAACATTGTTTTAACAAAATCCGTTCACTTGAAATGACAGGTAATAAGAGAGAACACGTGACCTTAAATTTTCTCAGTCTAAAAAAGCTTATGCACCCAAAAAGTCTTGGCGTTTAACCGCATACGATATGTATTTCACAAACAGTACATAAAAGAGAGCTCACGTACCGACTTTTAGCATTTTCTCTCTCTCAGCTGATAATCGGTCCGGCTCCGCACTACAAGGTGTCTTGCTATTTGATTTGAGAGATTGTTCCATTCTTCTTGTAAAGCGACCTTTAGTTCTTCTGTATTTGTGATTGGCGTTTTGCGGTTCCTTCAACTCATTTCAAGGATGTAGTGTAGCCACCTATATAGCAATTAACACCATCTTTTTTGAAAAATAAACTCGCGCCTCGTTCCTCTGATGACTTTATCGAGTGATAGAAGGAAATGATGCGACAGACACTTGGCACACGCGTTTTGGTCGGCTTCGCCATCCATGACAAGTGACTCCAAGCCTTTTGTCCATAAAAGGCAGCCGCAGACCCTGACGGATCCCTTTCCAAACTTTTGTGTTTTTAGGATATGCTTATGGCGGAAGCGCTTGCAAGTCCGTAGTTTCCAACCACACATGGATTCACGACTCTTTAAAACCAGATCACGTTGGTCCACTGATCCAGTGTCCAATCCTTGTATTTTACATGTCCTTAAAAGTCGCTTGACCATGTGTCCTTTACAATATGCTGGCTTACGTGACAGAGAACGCAATTTTAAGCCGCTCATTTTCACTCACTTGATCGCTGTGATTTGAAAGATTTTTAAGGCCTGCATTTGCATAATCAGCCTCGTGGAATCAGTAATGGTCAGTAAGGAAAATAGGGGTCACGGCGTACACTACAGTATAGATTCTAGGTTCCTCATCGAGACCTTGAGGGGTCGCTCCTTTCTTGGTTTGTTTGCCACAGAGACTCTCTCCTTCCATTTGTTGATAGCGTTGTAGACTGTGTTGGGTGTCAAGTCTTTCAGAACCTTCCTGATCTGAAGAACTTCGTCATTCCCTTATAGAGATCAATGTTTTATGCTTGATGCTTTCCAGTAATTCTTTATGTCACTTTTGAGAGGCATTGGTGTTACTAGTTATATTGTTTAAAGACATGTGCACTGTTTTTCTTATCAAGGGAAAATCCCAGATTCTTGGTTGGAAGAGGATAATTATGTGCATTGAAAGCGCCATCACCCTTTGTCTTTGTCTTAATTGAACAAGTAAGTATTTAAGTAAAAGGGTTTATCCCTTTCTTGGGCGAAATATACACATCTTTTCTTTTCTTTCTTCCCCACTTTCATTCTTTCCTCCTATCTTATCATTAACGACTGTTCCTCTGACATCAAGACAAAGTCACTTTTTTAAACGAAACTTGAACTAAAGATCGGCTTGAAATCCACTACACCAAAAAAGATGGAATATGATGAGCACCAACAGAGGGAAGAGAAGCAAGAAAACTACCAATACGTAATACGCAACGAATCACTCAGCCCAAATAGTAACATAAGCCCTGGAATCGATGATGCAGTGATAATTGATAAGAGCAATTACGAATCCCTTAACACACATTGGAGCGCTTGGGTCGTCACCGTCTGTATCATGCTTGTCAATTGCGCCTGTGCGATGATGTGGGTGACTGGTTCCAGTGCACCAAATACGATGGCGGCATGGATGCATGTTGACTTAACCCAACTCAACTGGCTTTCCAATGTTGCTGCCATATCGAATGCAATATTTTCTCTCGTGGCTGCCTATGCATATGAGCGGTTTGGCGTTAAAGTGTGTGTAAGTCCTGTACTTTTAGTCTATATGTGGCTACATGCATATGTCCATCCCGGTGCTCACAGCGGTTGTGCGTTTTGCTCTTCATATTAAATTCTTTTGATCTATTATCAGATTGTCGTAACGGGGTGTATCAATTTTATCGGTTGCTGGATACGATGCTTTGCCATTATAGTTGCCCCTGAAAAACGATATATTCTGGTCATGCTTGGTCAGGTTGTTAGCAGTATTGGCGGACCATTTGTTTACAAGTGAGTTTATATCATATTATCATTATATGTTTCCTTCTAAATATATCCTTTTATTCACCATTAATTAGTGTAGCACCGAAGGTATACATCAAGAAGAATCCAGTTTTTTTACGCATCTCTTTTCACGAGACAGGAATAAATTGGTCAGTTGTTTTGCCTATTATTAATTATAATGTTAAGTTTGTTTCTGTATGGTTTGCTCCAAAACATCGTGTAGTCGCAAACACGCTTATATGTAGGTATCCCAAAAAAAGTTTGGGTTCTGGGGAATCTCAAAGCTAGTAACAACTGCGATGGTGTAGGAAGGGGAAGGAGGGCTTTTTCGATATCGTTATTAAATATTCCATCTTGCGCTATTTTCTGTTTATTTAGCTTTATCCATTGGGATGCTTATAGCACCATTGCTTATGCCAGCACTTGCGGACGAGGTGGATCATGTACCGAGAACGGTATGTCAAAAAAGAAATTCAGATAATGGCAACAAACCATATACCTTCTATAATTTAATCAACAACAGAACTAAATCAATACCACCGTGAATTCTCTAACTGCTACTGTTATTCTGCTCCAAACACATTAGTTAATTATTATTGCGGTCATTGCTACCGTAAGCACAATTCCTGTGATGCTCACACCAAGCAAACCGAAAAATGCACCATCTGTGAGCGCAGACATAGATAGAATGGGTGTGTGGGAAGGATTCAAGACCTTGGCCAAGGACTTTCAGTTTTGGACCATTTGCATTTCAACTGCAGTAAATGTTGGAATGTTTTTTACCATTTGCGTTGTTGTTATTGAAGCGGCGACGCCGTTCGGGTATACCGAGCAACAAAGTGGAATTGCAGCATCTATGCTGATGCTGAGCGGCTTCATTGGCGGCGGTATGATTGGCTACTGGACTGGTAAAACAGCACAGCATTTGATGATAATCAAACTGTTCACACCCATGGTTTGTGGGACTTACGTATTTGTTATCTTCGCAAGTAAGTGTTTATTCAAATACATGCTCCACCCCTTTTTCCCAATTTTGATCTTAACATTGTAACCTTCTGCTGCCTACACATAGTTGTCGAAAATGGATATGGAATACTACTGTGTATCTGCTTTATGATCGGATTTTTCTCTATGGGCCTGTTCCCCGTCCAGCTCGAATATGCTTGTGAAAGTACGTTTGTTAGTAAATAGCGTCAGCAGCTGCTTGTATCAATTGCGCCTGCATATTAATTATGCAACCTGTCCTAACAAACACGTGATGCTAGTTTCTTTCCCGGTTCCTGAGTCCGTATCCTCTAATATAATATGGTCCTTAAGTACAGCATTTATGTTGGTGTTTACTATAGTCACAGACGCTTTACGTGCCGGACCAACTGCATCACCACCAAATAACATGACAATGTCTATGATTGCTACAGCAATTCTTGTTTCTGTCGGATCCATTCCTTGCATTTGGCTGAAAGGTGATATGAAGCGGATGGCGTTCGATAAGCAAACTTTTTAGCAATACTAGTAGCAACAACATCATCTTGTGATCGTAATTCCTGTACTTTTATAGCAACAATAGTATGCCCCGTGGCTCGTCCTTTGCACATACATACAGTAATTGAGTGTCACCCCTCTCCTCCACCTGCAGCATCATCAGCCTCAATTTTTTACCATTGTACATATCACTAACTGTAAAAACAGAAAAGCGTGGTATCAATTTAAGTTGCAGCCAATGCGGTAATATTCTTACATCCTTGCTTATATGAGGCTTGCTTGCACAGTAGATTTTCTCATTTGTTAGCTGAACATCTACAGTTTGACAGTGATTCTCCGTTAATTTCAATACCGTTAACTTTCACCTTCATTCATTTGTAGAACTTGAAGGATAGGTAAGAATGACATACTAAATTTTTCATACCCCCGTTTGTTTCACTTTTAAAGATGCAGAAGAACAAGTTAAATATAAAAAAAGCGGTTCTGTATATTTAAATCTATTAGCTAAAATATTTGAGTGGGAAAAAAGCTATAAGTGTTGTTTTATAACAAAGAGGTGTGTAGCAAGTTCAATAAACTAAAAACTCCAGGACTTGGTCGATTAAAGCATTTATTCGGGCAAAGTGCGTAATTTTGCGATAAGCCAATAAACAAGATTAACTTCATCGGATGTGTTCAAGAAATCCAACACTATGTCAAAGAACATGGGTACAAAGCAGATAATATGTATCTTCAAGATGATGTTGCATTCTCCGGCAATGAATCTAGCTATTTTGAATATTCTAGCCATCAAGACGACGGTGTCTGATGATCCGGCTGGTAGATAAACTTATGCACTGTGATGACCGACCAAAGACTTATCAGAGCTTCTTGTATTGGCTGGTGTGTGTCACGCTTACTGTTGATAGGCTCATCACCGTTTACATAGCTGCGGATCATTGGTGGAGTAGAAGGCCTCCATGCTTCAAATAGGCCAAATGGGTTGTAATTATGCTATAATTTGGCCATTGTCGCCAATTATATATGCTCATATCCATGGTAATCATGAACGGATAACTTGCGATTTTTTAACGGAGAGTTATTTCTTTTTTTTGGCACAAGTGCCATTTGTAATGGTTCTTTTCTTTATATTTACTCATGTTCTATATATTTTGAGAAATGCAGCTGTTTTGTGCTATATGTCTATACATTATTCTATGATATATAATTTTCCTATTTACGGTCGAGACCCATTTGCCAGAATGCAATCTCAAGTCGAGTACCCTGCTCGAAAATTTCACAGACTTCCTTGAAACGGCTTGGCGAAGTTGACACGTTATGAATGGCCAACTCTTCCAGTAATTCTAATTTACGAAAGCAAAAAAAAATATATTATATCGCCGAGAATGAGCTCCTTTTTTTCGATTTCTTCTTGTTTCCTTTGCTGAATCTTTCCTTCACTTTCGTAATTACCTTTCCCTGCCGTTACTGCACTTTGAAAAGATTCGTCGGCATAGTTTTTAATCCATTCCCAATATGGGTTTCCATCTAATAATGCAAAAAAAATTGTGTTATTTTCCAGCTAAACGTTGACTAGGGGGCATGACACATGTCTTATGTGGATTAACAAAAAGGCTTACCTCGTTTGGTATTAGGATCGTTGTATAAGTTTACACCAATATCACCATAGCCCAATAAGCATGGCGCCATGGCTACCTGAAGATCCAGCTGATCACCTGTGGCGCCTTTATCAAGGACATAGCGAGTATAAGCAACATTGTACACACTCTCTTTGGTCGTCAAGATATCTTCTTTAGAGATGCCCCATTCTTCACAGTACTAAAGCAAAAGAAGGGCTTCTTTAGTTTTCCATGTAGAGTAGGCAATCCATTGAAGGGTCTTTCCATTTCCTTTTTTCCTCTTTACCTTCAGATGCATCTGCATCTCCTCCTGAATGTGCATGATGATTTTTGCGTTTCGGGCGGCCATATCAATGTTAGGAGCTACATACGCACAAAAGAAAATGAGATGATGATGTTACATATAGTTTGGCAGATACCAAATATGGTATATTTACATTTATACGCAGCCAATGCAGCGGAACGCGCATAGTGCTGCAGGTAGAGGTAATCTTGCTTCAAATAATAAATGAAGGATTCTCGAGGCAATGTTCCATCAGCCATGCCGCGAACGAACGGATGGTCGATAAATTCATCCCATAAACCTTCAGGAAGAGACTGGACCAAAGCTTTAACGAAGCTATTGCTATAGTCCCAATAGACGAAAAAGAAATACGTTGTCAGTTGTTTGCTTAGTGTATAAGGTGCTTGTAAGGGTAGAAATCTTTACCCAGAGTAAGGTCTTGCGTGGATATTGTGAAAATGATTCACTGGTCCTGCGCCTTTTCCGAGCGAGTCCAAGCATGACACGATCGCGTCTTGAACATATGTTGTGGCAGACTTGACAGATCCAAGTACTATTTCAGGTTGAAGTTGATGTTAACAGGTAAAAGTTGGCGCCCTTTGTCTAGTAGTATAAGAAAAGGATTTCATTGTTTTGACTTACCATCTTGACCTTTGGCAAGCTCGCCGGCAATGGCAGCAGAAAGAGTACAACCGGTGCCATGCGTGTCTTTGGTATCCAAATAGGGGTTTACAATGTCGTCAAAAGCACCTGTAGCAGATTCATACAGCACATCGACAACCTTCTTTTGGCCATTGATTTCTTGAGGCAAGTGGCCACCCTTTACCAAGACAAATTTGGGACCCAGAGCACCAATTTGCTTTGCAGCCTCGCGTACATCTTCCAACGTCTTGATGGATCCTGTAGCCTTGCCCAGCAAGACTTCGGCCTCTGGCACGTTGGGCGTCAACACCATGGTGATAGGCAACAGTTCGTTGATAAACGTCTGGATTGCATCGTCAGCCAATAGCTTGGAGCCGCTGGTGGAGATCATGACAGGGTCGACTACGAGCTTGTCGTAGGGATACTTTTTCAGCGTCTCGACGATCGTGCGGATAATGGCACAAGACGAAAGCATGCCCATTTTGATTGCGTCGGTGCCAATATCACTTAATACTGCCTCCAACTGCTTGCGTACAAAGTCGGTAGGTACGTCATGAATGCCGTCGACACCCAACGTGTTTTGCGAGGTCAGTGAAGTCAATACAGAGCTGCCGTACACGTTCAGTGAAGTCAAGGTCTTAATGTCGGCTTGAATACCGGCACCTCTATAAAAAAAATATGTATGAATCGCAATGTGTTTGTTCAGTCGTCGGTTTGCTTGAAGGCTTCCGTTGCAATAGAAATATACTACTGAGAATCGTACCCTCCACTGTCGCTACCAGCAATTGTCAATACTTTAGGAATGGCTGTCATAAATTTTATAGTAAACGACCCGGCAGAAAGTTAAAGGTAAGCGGAAGAGTCGGGAAAACTCGTCTATTGCTGCACACTAGGTACTATCACTAGGGTTTCTCTCCGAACAACAGCGAATGTAGTACAGATTCTTTTCTGACCAAATCTTTTTGGACACATGAAACTTTGGCCGAGCTTGTATGACAAAATATATATATTTAAGTTGAGAGAAAGAGATTGTGTATGTGGAGGATGGAATAAAGAGATGAATGATAGGATAAGCTAAGCACAAAGGCGAGGGGGAGAGAGAAAAGAAAACTAGATTACAAGTTGTGTTGTTTGTTTGTTGTGGTTGTTGCTATGGTTGTTGTTGCTATTTGTGGTGAGAGAAGTGTGTTGAGAGCGGGTTGTCTTATTTAGCACCCATCATGGCCTTGAATTCCTCAAAACTGATCTGACCATCACCATCGACCTACATGAATCATAAGCAAACTCAGTCAGCCATCCCAAGTTTTTTTCTTTTGTCTTTTGTTGATCTGGTAAAAAGACGCTTACATCAGCTTCCTTGATCATGGCGCTGAGCTCCTCGTCTGAAAGCTCTTCGTTCAACGACTTCATAACCTTCTGAAGCTCATCTCGATCGATTAATCCATTGCCATCTGCATCGAACACTCTGTGTATGTAACAAGTGGGACAAGCCATCCGTGTGAATACATAATCATCATCTACGCGCAAGGAAATGATCTCGTCTTCTCCTCATATCCTTCCTCGGATTCTTATACACCCCACAGCTGCTTTACCTAAATGCTTCCTTCAGATCATCAGCTTCATTATCTGTCTTCAAGTTCTTGACCAGTCCCAAGAACTCTTGGAAATCAATGGTGCCGTTGCCATCAGCATCGACATCGTTGACCTAAGGAAGGTGTGGAAAAAAAGAAAGTTAGTCTCCACGTACCGAAAATCTTCCATGGCTCTCTCTTTTTCGAGATATTTTTTCGTTACCATATCCTGCAATTCGGCATCATTAGGGTTCATGCCAAAGGAGCGAAGGACGACACCAAGCTCCTTGGCACTGATGCTGCCATCACCGTTCTTGTCAAACAATTGGAAAGCTTCGCGATACTCTGTGATCTGCTCGTCTGAAAGTTGGTCTGCCTTTTTTTCCAAAAGAACAAAAAAGCAAAACGGACCGAGAAACAAGGTTAATTCAGTTTCACCTTGGTGTATAAAAGTCTTATTCTTTCAGTTTTGCGTATTACCATTATCAAAGTAGTAAAAAGTAAAAAAAGGTTGCAAGTGGAAAAAACAGGAAAAAAGGAAATCAAGCGGCTGTGCACGCTTAGCAACATTAACAACGCGATGTGTGTGTGTGACTCCGTACGACCTTGTCCGAACGTTGCACAAGGGTCAAAGGGCTTGTATATATATATTTAGCAGCTCTCCTCTGGTGCTGATTTATACCAAAGTTTATTGGTGAATGTGATGCGTATGTGTCAAGCGTATTCTAATATCGCACATCACACCATTACCCGCAGCAGCAGAAGGCTCAAATGTAGCATGATCTTTTCACAACAGCAAACAGAAAAGAAACACTGTGTTTGGTAGCTACAAACATGCCCACAATGCATCTGACTGAAATAGAATAGATCTAACAGCAAGAAACATCGGTATGAAGAGTATGCTACGTACAGCAGAGATGGAGTATATAGGCTCCCAAAGAATGTAGTTTCGATTCAAATCGTATGATGATTGCATTGTGAAAACAACTTCTACTTGTTGCGTTGTCTAACCCTGCCCACCCCTCTATCCCTTTCCTCCCTTCATGCCGACAACAACAAAAGCACCTACCACACACCAGTTGTAGATGACTTGCAAGAGCTTTTAAAAGAACAGTCATCTTTTGCAATTCCACTCTTCTTCTTTTTCTGATCCCAACATCAAAAGAACAATGAAGTTCCTTACCACTGCCCTGATCGCCACCCTTTCGTCCGTTGCACTTGCTGATATCCTTCCTGATGTGCACGGTGCTCCATCTGCTGCATACGTCAAGGAAAGCTTGCGACCTCCAGAGGGCAACAATGCCTACGATGTGCTCTATGCCAAGGGCAACCGTGTGTACCAATGCAACCCAGAACGCACTGGCTTCCAACACTGGTACAATGTGCAAACCCATGCATTCTTGTATCCAACCAAGGAGCGCAAAGAACCATTTGATCTGCCTGGTCTGGAAATCGGTCAGGTGGCTATGGCTCCTTTAAACGGTACCCAGTAAGTGCTGCTTTAGCAAATCTCTCGTAGCGTTCGCTAGATCTATCGGTGTATTTTTTTCTATGTCTAATAACCAATTATTCGCTTATAATCGCAAAAGAGCCGACCCCTTGGATCCTGTCCCCGTCATGACCTACTACCCCGATGGCTCTTGGGTCGGTACCACCCGTCCTTTGAAGACTACCACCTTGGAAGAAGGCCGTGCCGAGCGTGGTGATGCTGGTAACTTGGATGACCACTTGGAACCTGTCGTATACACCTCAGATGACGGCTACTTTTCGCATGCCAAGTACATTGTCCGCCTTGGTTCGTTGGACGGTGTTCGTCCCGCAGCTGAAGATTGTACCTACAAGGGCAAATTGGTCAACAAGCCCTTCACTGCCTTCTTCTTGTTGTACACAAACCAGGAGGGTGAAGAGAATTTGGTCAAGGAAAAGGAGGCATGGGACCAGTTGGTTGAAGAATACAAGATTGCTGATCCTGTTGCTCACTAAGGAAAAAAAAAGAACCGGCTTGAAATACAATAAGTCGCTAAGCATTCTTCATTAATTTATTTATTTATTTATTTTGCTACATATATTGGTCAAATAAATTATTATGAGAAACGTTAAATGTGTCCAGTTATTTCAACTTTAAATAATCGACTTGCTGTCATAATCTTGATGGGCGCAGGAGCAGTGAATAGAGAGGCATAATGGGCCTCCTTCTCTTCCACAATTATCCGCCATGACGCGAAAGACGCGTTCAAAACCGCGCGGAAGAAGAATTAAGGGGAACTTGCGCGTTTGCCCAGCAATAAAAAATTATACGCCCTTCCCCTAACCCTTTTCAATTTAAATCAAAAAATCGATCAAACAAATGTCTGAACGATCGCGAAGAAAAAGAAAACCGAGAAACACTCCTGTTAGGCAAGTATATGCCAAAGGGTAGAAATCCTTCTCTGCTACTACGTGGTAGTCAATGCTAAAAATGGAAATGCATTCGTTATATTTAATGAACAGTAATGTCCACTATGTCGGCTACGTCGAAGACGAAGAATCAGTTGAAGCTATTATGAAAAAGTTCGAAGAACTGGAACGGATTCAAAACGAAATCGCCAGTTCGCCAGCACCTGCAACTCCTACTGAAGACAACAAAGAAAACTTGGGTGGAGGAGAAGAAGAAATAGAAGAAGAAACCAATGGCACTTATAGCAACAAATCGCCAGCACCAATAGGAGCACCGGGACAACAACCACTGACCGAAGAACAATTACAAGAAGTGTTCAAACGAACATCGGCATTCACTGTCAGAAGTGCATTGATGGAAACTCATGACGAAGATCTAGATGCCATGGAGTTGTGGCAGGTCGAGTTTCATGAAAACAACACGGACGAACTATTTGAAGAAGAGTATGTGATCCTACTGGTAGTAGTAGTAGTAGTAGTAGTAGTAGCTTTATTTGTATGTGCGTATGGGTCAGCTTACTCTCGCCATTCTGAAAATGACTAGTGATTATGTTCATGTGGATGACGACTTTTGGGACCGAGAGTTTGGAGAAGTACCAAAGCCCAAACGAGGAAGACGTGGAGCAGGATCGACACCACGCGCATCCTCTTCTGGCGGTGGTCGCCGAAGTGGCACAGATCGTGAAAGCATCATTGCAAGATACAAGATTATGCAGGTTCAGGTGCAAGATCGAAATGGCAATTACTTTATGGTCAAAAAGAGAGTCAGGTAACATTGACGGAGTAGATGGTATTGCCAAAATATTGACAGGGAGTAATTTGTATTCAATATATTTTACTACTACAAAAGCACGATCGATCCAAGTTTACCAACATACGTCAAAATTCCTGGAAAGCCGATACCACGATCATGGGCACACAGTATATTAAGGTATACCGATAAGGAGCCAGAGCATGTTGCTTCAAGGTCAGTGTCTTTGATAATGCGATTGGTTACAAGGAATACGACGAGAAACTGAAGGGAATTTACGTAGCTATCATGAAGTGGAAGATATTCTGTCACTAGATCTCAAAGAGTTTGGCACATCGTATAATTGCGTATACATGGACCCTCCATTACTGCTGCCTGGCGAAGAACCAAAACCGGGTAAAATACACATTGACGAGTTGGTGAGTGAGCAAAGACAGAAAAGCGACTGCAAATCATGATGGTCCTGTAGATGTGGAATAGATTGGCTGACCGGCTCTATCTCGAAAGGCACGATTAAATGTCCCAGAAATTGTACCCTTGGGCTTCCTTTTTGTATGGATCGAAAAGGAATGGTTACAACGGATCGTGATGATTGCAGAAAGCTGGGGATTCAAATACGTCGAGAACTTTTGCTGGATCAAGAAGAATATCAACAACCAGATACACAAAGGCGAATACCGTTACTTTAACAAAAGCAAACTCAGTTTGTTGATTTTCAGAAAGGTAAAATGCTCGTACAACATGAACCCCCATTTTTTTTTAGCTGTGCTCTATTAACACCCTATTGTTACTGCTATTATCGTAGGAGGGAGATATTGAATTACGGCATCAGCGAAATCCTGACTGTGTATTCGACTTTATAAAGCCAATGTTACCAGGTAACAACATGACGGGTTGCTGAGAGATATACACAATTGCTAACTGTGGAAAAAAAAAATAATTAAGGCGAGATAACTGAATCCAAGCCGGCATTCATGTACGACGTCATTGAGACAATGCTGCCAACAGCAGTATACCACCCCGAGAAGAATCCAGAGGCCAAAGGACTATTGGAGCTGTAAGTGACATGTACTTGATTTATTGCCAGCTTGAGGGGTTATACAGACACGCATTAACAAACGACGCATTTATTTCCCTTGTTTCTCTTTCGAACTTGTGTATTTTAAATCAAAATCAGATGGGCCAAGAAAGGAACAAGACGAAATGGCTGGACGACAGTCCTGGAAAAGCACTAAAGAAAAGGACAGGACAGCAAAAAAAGAATAAAAAAAAACAATGTAAAAAAAGCAGTTAACCTTGGTTTTTGCTACATATCTTTAGTGTTTGTGCACGTATAAATGTGGTAAGTTGTGCACGCAGTAATATGTCCAATGCACGGTCCGAACGCCTCGTTTTGGGATTGGTTATTACGCTAAGCCTTGGCAGTAAATACCCTGTTTTCTCTTTCCTGGTAATGCTGGGAAGCTTTCATTACAGATGCATGCACCCACATTATTATGCTAAACCACACGTCATGGCTGCGCTATTTTAGCTTCAAGACTAAAAGAAAAAGATCGACTTGAGAGAAATATAAACGAAGCGGGGTGGGATTATAAAGTGGTACTTGATTTGTTTGTGCGACGTTTCGCCACCCAAACAGTAGGGTATTAGGGAAAAAATACGCGTATGTAGAACGATCGACGTTCTGGTCCAACCCGTTGCATGGCTTGAAAGATCAACCAGTGTGTCACACGTGAGATAGGAGTAGTACATACAGACAAGCCGCAGGTCCAAGGAAGTGTGTATGTAGTAGCTATTAAATGGTGTGAGGAGACAACCCTGTGTATTATATAAAAAATCAAGCATGCCGGCGAAATCCAGAGAAAAAGGGAGCCGTACACTGCGGTGGTGGAAGTATCGGAAGTCAGTGAGAGAGTTACCAGTGTCGACCGCTGAAATTATATAAATAGGCACAGCCCGTTTTTTCCTTTCGCGCTGCTTTTTCCTTTTCTGGCCTCTCCTTTTCTTTTCTTTCTCTTCTCTTTCGCTCCAAACACTTTTTACACACACCCACACACACACACACACCATGATGAAAGCTTGGCTTGGTTCTCGAGCATGGCTTCTTGGCTTGGTGCTCCTCTTCTTCATCGGCAACCTGATATTCTGGACTTACAATGCACGCGAAGGATGCGACGCCGAAGGCCACTGCGGGCCACCATCACCCGAGGTAGTTTAAAAGCGGTTTGTTGATGGCGTATCGAGAGGAGGAGGAGGAGAGGGTACAGAGAGAAAAGGAGCGACAAGCTTACTTTTATCGCCATAGGAACATGAACACTTTATTGAAAATGACGGTCCTCCACCACCACCTCCACCACCTCCACCTGCACCCGTCGTTCCTCAGCAGCCTCCACCACCGCCCCCTCCACCTGCCGAAGCCTCGCTTGAAGGTGTTTTGACCTTGAACAGCCAGCCCATCAGCCCTCCCGAGACTTATATACCACGTAAGAAATGCAGTAAAAGACATTGTATTTTGCTGATCGCCTCACGCAATCGTTTCTTCCTGTTTGTCTTTGTACTTTTACAATAACAGAACAGCACCCGCTGTCTGCGAAAAACCTCAAGCTCGTGGCACCGACCGCTGACCAAATCACTATGCACTTGATTGCAAACTCTCTCAAGTATGCCGAGGGTCTTGAGTTCTGGCAATTTGGCGTGGTATGTTTATCTCATTTGTTCTTGTGGGGGTGGATGGGATAAGAGTAAAGGACATCCCTAGGAGTATAAAGGAGAGAGAGAGAGAGCGGTTGTTATTAAAGCAAATTGTTTCAGATCAACACCAAGCCGGACGTATTTATTGCTTCCGAGGGCCATTTGGCTGATATCGTGAACCACCACAACCGTGAGCATCGTATCTACACCCTCATGAAGTGGATCTTGCGAGTGCATCGTCGCGATCCCACCCGCAAAGACCCCTTGCTGATGGTTGACGCAGGTAAATAGGGCGGCAGCAAGTACACGCAATCGAATGCGTAGAAGTTTGGGCATTTATTTATTTATAGTCACACATACGCTAACACTATATTTAGGCTCTAACCATGGTCTGTTTTCCATGGTGGCAAGTGTCAGTGGGGCCCATACCATCTCATTTGAGCCTCAGACCAATTTACGAAGTAAGGACAACCTAGTAGTAGTGCTACATTAAACCGCAAAGCGGAAACTTTACTAAAGTTGTCGTACTCTTGCTACTACTGCTAACCCCTATTTACTACAAGGTGTCATTGGTCTTGGTGCACGTTTGAACCAGGTATCCCGCCGTGTGCGCGTCTTACCCTTTGCTGTCCTCGACAAATACCGCAAACTGAGCATGAGCAACTACAATGTGAACGACGGCGGTATCGGCTTTTTGGACTACGAGAACAAAGACGCCATTATGCAAACCCAAACGATCCCGCTCGACAGCTTACCCTCATTCAAAGCGCTGTTTGCCGACCCAGACAACGAAAAGACACTGATCAACAGCCCACAGGAGATCAGCCCACAGTATGCTGCCGGTTTGGAAGCATGCAACGCCGGCAAGGCCAACAAGATCAACGAAGCCTTATTGCTACGCCAGCCTATCCACTTTTTAAAGATCGACGTTGAAGGTTTTGAGCTGCAGGCATTAGAGTCTGCTACGAAGCTGTTCCAGGAAGGTTTGGTAGAACACGCTGTGCTGGAGTTTGGTCCACCCAACCGATGGGATGTCACCATTGAGAACCCGGATGTATCCCAAGCAGAGATTCGCAAGACGACCATTACGCATGCCAAGAAGATTCTGCATCGCGTTGTTACTGAGTGGGACATGGATATCTATCTCTTGCCAGCACTGGGCTGGGAACGTACTGTCAAATGGATGCTCGACCGTAACGTGAACTTTAACACTAAGCCCACGGGTAACAAGATCGTCCACCATCTCAAGTCGTGGGACTTTGATGGCAAGCCGCAGGAAAAGGATGAGTTTGAGATTGAGCTCGATGGCAAGAAGCAGTTGGTTACAGAAGTCATTCCTTTGCGGGAGGACCTTATTGACGAGTACATGGAGGACATGGAAAGTATTGGTGAGATGTACTTGTGGTTCGCCAAGCGTACAGGCAACTCTGCTGTCTTGAAGAAGCTGGAAATCTAGACTCTCTCTCTCTCTCTCCTTCTCGCTAGATCCTATTTTCCGTCATACTATATTCCTTATATTTATACAACACCACCACCTCCTGTTCAATTCCACATTACATGCAGACACACACACACACACACACTCTCTCTCTCTCTCTCGACATTTTCGTTTTTGTGCTTTTTTATTTTATTTTATTTTTTTCACAAAAGTGTATTACCAACCAGTTGCTCTACAGAAATAGTAGCAATATTTGGTTGTGTGAGTTTTTCGTTAGATCTAAACATTTAAGAAAAAAAAAAGGGGAACCTCTAATTTAGAACAAAAGCACACAAACTTACCAAATGGTTTGACTACTTCGTATAATTTTCTGTATGGCTTGAATTTCTCGGTGTCTATCTTCATGGCTGTCAGTTCATGCTTGAGCTGTCGCACATCCAGCAGGAACTGCAACTGGATCTTGTCTTCATCCGTCATGCCACCCGATTGGCCGCCGCTGGATGTCATCCGGGAGCTCTTTTTGCCCTTTTTCAACCGCTTTAACGAATCTTCCATCTTTCGCATTTTTGTAAGCTGCTCTGTCATGACCGCAGTGTACCTGTCGCAAAAGGATGCACGCATAAGCTATTTCTCTCTTTTTTAAAAAGACATCATTTTTAAGAAATAGCAGCAGCTCTTACCGTGTTATTACTGCATCAGCAATCATGTAACCCCACGCTACAGACTTTTCTTCGTCGATCCAGGCAGCATTCTGTTTCACAAACGTGGTGTAAGGATTAAAGAGAGAGGGTATAAGACTGGAGGGTTCTGTGGGTGGCTGTCTGTTTGTGTGTCGATACTGCTTAATGATTCCTGTGACAAGTTCAAGTGATTCTATGCAGCGCTGGCTGATAACATGGATGATGCGATGTTGTATTTCTGTCGCTGTGGATCGTTCTAATTCTTGCAGGATTCCATCCATGCTTTCTATTAACAAAAAAGGTACAGTTAACGCATCATCCCAATAAGTTATGACATCGAGTGAGCCATTTAAATAGCATTTACCTCGAATCAATGGTAAATCTTGCTGTACGCTATTGGGAAGCTTCGGTATAATTATTTTGGTAGCATAGTCTTTTGACTACCAACAGTTACATATAAGTAAATGAAAGGTTTTCGTTCACAAAAAGTGAACATGTTGATAGCACTGTACCTCGTGTATCAATCCTTCTACATCATGCGAAAGTATAACGAGTCGTAGTAAAACACCAGTTTCATCGTTTTGTTTCGCATCAGACTTGTTGCTGCTATCCGCTCCTTGGTTATTATTTGACTGATATATGATAGAAAGAGAGGAAGCGTTGTTATCAATACCCCGCGCTATATCAACAGGTATTATATTTTTTTCGCTGTGTCATTTCTTTAACCCAAAAACTTTTATACCTTGTCGGTACCAGCCGAGGTTTCAAGAAGATGTTGGAGTACATTAGATGCCCATAAATTATATCTTCTGAGAAGCTATATTTACACTTGACCTGTTAATGTTTGTTTACATGGAGATCCTTGCTTTACTTTTATACTTGATATGCTGTTTTTTTTTACCTGCAGGGTCAACTTCCAGAAACGATGAGAAAGACCGTATAAAAATACATGATCGGACCAGCACTGTTCAATTGCGTTTGAAACTGCACGTGTAGCGGCCAATGCGAGCCCTGAAAGTATTTGGTCAAGTAAGCGTTTCCTTTTCCTTCCTCTTGCTATATCTCGTAATATTTACCTTTATCACCGGGCTTATTAAGGTCATCCGTAGCAATGCTTGCCTTTGGATCGTTCAATAAGTCTTCAACACCATTTACAATCTCACGGAATCTATTAAGACATCATATACCCTGTTACTTTATCTAAACTTTACCATGCGCTCTTTCCATAAAAACCAACCGTTACTTTACCGAAGTTGAAAATACACTGGTAGCTGCCATCTCTTCATGAACTCTGCATAACGTTGATGGCTCCGCAGATACAATAAGGACTTTTTGTTGGAACACAACGCTTCGATTCCAGAAATAAACGATACAGTAGCTGAATAATTCTATATTGAGAGAGGTAACGTCTTAGAGAATGTGGAAAAGCATTATTTCGGGACAACAATCATCTCACCTTGTGAAAGATATTTGTCTGGCCTGGCGCATAAATACTGCTGCATTCGGCATTGATGCGCTCCACAACTTCCACCCAAAATGAATTGACCAACACTTCGTACGACGTGCCTTTGAGTGTCTTTTGTGTGATTTCAAGAATAGGCTGCAGACTTGTAGTCGCGAATGAGAGTAGCTTGTTATACATGGCAGTCAGCTGATCCACTGCGTGGCCATTGTGTCGACCACTCAACGCCTTCTTATTAACAGTCTACATGTAAAAGTGTGTTCAAATCATGTTTTCTTCCCCTAGTATCTTTTTGTCCAACGTTTGCGCCTTATAACTTACGTTGGCCACAAAGGGTCTCACAAATTGTTCTCGTATCAGCCATTCCGCCACTTGTGTCTGGTCAATAAGTGCGTAGGTTCGCAAACACTGAACCAAGGACTGTTTGGTACTGCTGGTTGTCTGTCCTGGTTGCATTTCATGCAAAGCGTCTGTCAATGTTTTTGACAACTTGTTCTGCAGCGTATTTTTGATCCGTGTGATGCGCTATATAGCAAAATTCGTATATGAGCCTCTCTAACTTTTTTGTTCTCCTTGAACTTTCAGTTAATGATATTCCTCTCTCTCTCTCTCTCTGTGTTACTGACCCATTCGTTTTCCTTCATAAACGGTAAATCCTTGCCACGACCAACAAGGTGCTGCATCTGATTGAATTCAATAGCTACACGATCGATTTGCTTGCCAAGACTAGTAATAATACAACGACCATAGCAACTAAATCTATAAGCTCAAAGCCCTCGAGTTGTATTTTGCCCTCTTTCTTACCCTTCCTCCGTCAATGCTGGATCAGTGTCGTCCACAACAACAGCACCTGCTGCTGTATCATCCCTGTTGATTCCCAGCAAATCCTCAACCTTAGTGACCGACTCGTGAATATTTAACAGAAGCTTCAAACATGTCTATACGTTCTCTCCATCTTGTCAGTTCCCTTAGCAGTCGTGCATACTCCCTTCAATTCCAAGCCTTCTGTCTCTTTTTGAAAATATATAATCACGCTACCTTTTGTTCACGGAGTTTGCCACGGTATGCAAGCTGCTCTTCCAATCGATCGATCGTTTGTTGACAATGTCCGCGAACATCCTATTATGCAAAAAACCATATCGACGTTATTTCGTTTGTCTCACTGTAGCCCTTTTTCTCAAAAGTTACGGCCGCGTGCTGGAAGCCACTAGGATATTATCTCTTTTTTTTTACCTGAACCTGAGATTCCATGCGGCGCAAGGGTCTCTTTACTTGGTCAATAGCTTTGTCGACACCCTTCAAGTTGGTCGAGAGATTAATAAAGTCCTGATAATCACGGTTAATGAGCTCCACCAATTCAGCCTTGAGAAATTTCAAATGGCTATTGAGTTCAACTTTGAGTCGTTCGAGACCCAGATGGCGTCGGCTTGATAAAAAGCGATCGGGATCAAATTCAGGTGCTGTGAACGCAGCACGATCGACGACTTGTTTGGATAACGGTTCAAGAACAAAGCCATGTTGATCATCGTCGTCATCTTCATCGCCAAAACTGAAAATGGATTTTTTTCGTCGTGAATCGCGTCTTTTTACAGTGGAGGTCATTGTGGTATAAAAGTGTATATAGAGGGAACTTTGTAGGAAGAAGAAGAGTGTCTGTTCTTGTCCCCCACGCGATCGAATCCCGCCCAATTTTTTTTTCAATCCAGTTGTTTGTGCGACACACTGTTTCTTGTCATGCAAAAAGTAATCGTTCGCAGAGTACACACATATTGGCAGCCAACATCATTACTCTCGAATTGTAACTGAGTAACCAACTCTTGTTCGATTTACTTTTTTATACTATAGCGTAGGAGATTCCACTGTAATGATACTGTTAACTTCCAATTGACAGCCCTTCACTAGTTCCTATCACTGTGTCATCGTTAGCATACGGTACACTTGCTCGAGATATCTCAGAGCTAAACAAACAAGGAGAAGTATATCATCCAAAAAAAACGTTCTTTTCGTCCATGGTATACGACAAACAATGTTCTCTGTATTTTTTTGTGTCATAAAAATTCGACATACGTGGTTCTATCCTTAGCATGCCGTTACATTTTTCAGGGTTGATACAATGATCATGTTTAAGGCTCATATGTAGAACAATAACGACGGTTTCATCTGCAACTGCGCGTGTCATTTTGACCATAATTGTCGTACGCTGATAGACGAAGGATCGGTGCATAAGAAGTGAGCGCTGGGTTGGCAGGAGCTTTGGATAACATATATGTTTACCCCATACCGCTACGGTTATCATGCTACACCAAAAGGAAAAGTAAGTACTGGTTCATGATAAATATAAATAGCCATAGGACAGTTGTCTTTATGTAGAGAGAACCAGCGCGCTAAGTTTATTGCGTTTGATGGATGTCGATCGACACTTGTAGATATCTCACACAATCAAACTGTTCAAAAACGCTCAAAGATGATACTGACACTCCAAATCTAGATATACATAGTGAAGCAGTATTCAGATTTAACTCTTTGATTTGTATAAAGAGCATTAAAAGTCATAACAGCAACTATGTTCCTAATTACTATTAACAGTGTTTATACCATTATGCTTTCTGTCGCTCGCTACAGGCTGAGAGTATGGTACAGGCTAAATTGAATTGGTCGTTGTTGACCACATTGCATGCATAAAATAGCTCTGTTAAGGTGAGCTTATTAAGAAAACTATTTCTCTGAAAACCTTTGTTGCTTGCTAGTGTAGCAGAGAGTGTAATTACTGACCAAACTTGCAGCAGAAAAGATGATATGAGGGGACCTAATACTATGACCCCGATTCCCAGGCTTTAGTCAAGCCCGGAGAGAAAAAAGAAACACATATTTCCCGGTAAAGCCCGCATCCATCAGCAGCAACAAACAACAGGAAATAAACGTGTTAGGCATAGTTACTGGATTTTCCATGAAATTCCAGGACTTGCATATTTGGCCCATCGAAGAGGGGCTGTTTTCGAGGTCAACAAAAACCTTCAGATATCAGAAAAAGGCATACGCTGCTCAGTGCGCCAAGCCGAGTATATAAGAAAGTAGGAGCGGATCACCCGGAACATTTTTATTACACGGATCAGCAGACACGCACACGAAGCACAGACACGCACAAAGTTTGCTTCTTCTCCGTTTCGCAAACACTTGTTTATCTTGCTCTTTTTCTCTTCTTCTTTTTTTGCTTCTCCTTCTTTCAAAACTGCATTCCACGTACACCAGAGCCACTATGACAGCCGGTGATTCCAAAGTACCAAAAGCCGTGATCGACGCCCATGTCCATTTCTGGGATCCAAAACGAGTGCATATCCCATGGCTCGTAAACGCACCCCACTTTAACGAAGAGCGCACGAATGAACGCTATTCGGCCGAGATTCATGCGCACACGCAGGTCAAGGCGGCGGTCTTTGTAGAGGTGGACGCAGATCCAGCCCACGGACTCGTGGAAGCCGAATGGATAACCAAGTATGCAAAGCAATTCAAGCCCGCATCAGCCCAATTCGGTGGTATTCAAGCCATCGTCGCCTATGCACCGGTCCAACAAGGCGCACAGGCCATCCATCCGTACCTTCAACTACTCAAACAACTCACCGACGAAAAGCTGCGCGGTGTGCGATATCTGATTCAAGACCCGTCTCTGGATCCAGAACGTGTAGCATCCCCGGCATTTGTCAGCGGGGTACGAGCACTGGCAGACTATGATCTGAGCTTTGACCTCAACATCAACTGTCATGCAGCACCCGCACAGTTCCCGCCGCTGATCTCGCTCGTGCGACAATGTCCGGAGGTGACATTCATCCTAGACCACATGGCCAAGCCTCCCTGCAATGTGAGCAGTCCCGCAGACCCGGCATTCAAGTTTTGGCAGCAGAATATGCAGGCATTGGCCGCGTTCCCAAACGTGTCGTGCAAAGTATCCGGACTGGTGACTGAGACACAGACGTGGACGGCAGCACAGCTCAGGCCATTTGTCCAGGTGGCAAGGAACACTTTTGGAATAGATCGACTGTTGTTTGGCGGTGACTGGCCGATCTGCGAGAACGCGGTGCGGTGGCGTACCTGGCTGGAGGTATTGAGTGAAGTGGTAGAGGACTGGTCGGAAGAAGATAAGGACAAGCTGTTTGTGAGCAACGCAGCGCGTGTCTATCGTCTGTAACAACTGTTATCATGATGCATCGCACACTATAAAGACGCACATACTATACATGATTTTTTCATCACCCGCATTTTGCTTTTCCTTCTTTGTCCGTGTTCCTTTTGTGGCTTCTTTATATAAATTTGAGAATCAACAATCAACTATTACTGCTGTCTTCTTTTTCCGCTCTCCACCATATTTTTTTTTCTTCTTCTTCTACCTCTGCTAACCATGATCAATTACACCAAGAATGACCAACAAGAAGTCTCTGACGGTTGTTCGAATCCTGCCAAATACCTAGATCGCCTTTCCACTGCACAACAGCATTACGCTTATCAATCACTACCACCGACTCCATCGTCGTCGGCCCGCTCGATCCATACCAATCAAGATTATGCAGCAGTTGACAGCGGCGCCGGCGAGTCAGCGACTTCATTCACCTTGCGGCTTTCCATACCCAAACCCTATTACGGATCCTTCCTATCACCTTATCCACCATCACCCGCAGCAGGTAACTTGGATTATTAATTTAATAGAAAGAAAAAAAGATGACCCGGAAAGCGACAAACAAGTGTGGGATCAACGCACACAAGATAGCAATAATCGCCCACGATCTCGCAATTAGACTCCTCCACCGCCGCATCCATGATGATACCATCTGATCACAGCGTGCCATCCACACCACCTCACACAACCGTCAGTCCAGATGACGACGAGGAGGGTTTGTACTTGGCCTGGACGCACCAATTGCTCAGAGAACAAGGCTATAGACCCCAATCGTGTCACGGCGGATTTGACAATCCTTGCGATGACGACAGTAGCGTTTCGGATGACGATGAATTCGAATACGATACAACCCGTAGTAAAAGCAAATCGTGGCTCGCATGTCTACCAACTTGCTTTCGATAATGGGCACCACCTTCCCCCCCTTCCTTCTTCCTTTTCCTCCATTATTTGCACTTGCGCGCTGTACCAAGATAACAAAGAGAAAACACATGTGGCACACTTGTTTGTATGTACTATTCGTTATACCCGATTGATAATCAACATAGAATCCTTCTTTTTTTTTAAAATGAACTGTTTGTGTCTGTCTTACTCCGGGTCCAGAGATGGCGTTGCATATACCATGTGGTGGTCCACGCCATTTCTAAAAGGAATGACAACTTACCCATTGGTTTTTCTTCATACCATGGACCTTTGTATAATTCATCGGGTAGTATTTCACCCGTATAAGAATACTGCGGAGTCGAAACGCATTACCCCCCCCCCTTCCCCCCCTAAGTGAGCTTAGCACTATAGTTCATCCACACATGTCACTTTCTCGAACATGCTAGTTCTTTGGCCACCACCGATCGCTCCAACTCAAAGCGCCGTACCTGTTAGCTCATTCATACAACGTTAGACCATGCCCCCCCCCAAACGTAGCAGCATATGTTAATAGTGTATGGTAATAGATGATCAATTGTCGTTGTTGAAGCTGTGCTTTAAGTACAGTACAAGCTTTTGTTGGTTTGAGTTTTGACAGGTACAACAGCATTCTTTACACTCTGACTTACAATATTGGGGTGGTAGAAAAATTGCGTAGATGCATTGAACATTTCCTTGCATATTAACTGGATGAATTAATATCGGATGGCCCGGGGGTATTTCAATCATAAAAGTATCAACTCATACTACTACTATAGCTCTTCTTCTACTTTCTCCCGTTTTACGCACTGTATATGTATGTACAGCCCTTCGGCTTGCAACTCTAAAAAGTTCGGTATAGAAAAAGAGAAGGAAATTTGTTTGATTTGACGTGTCGGACGGAATCTTTTTCTTCTTGAAAAGAAAAACTGCTGATCTTCCAAAGATGTATTCTATTAAACAATGTGGCGATCTGTGTATGATGCTTACAGGAGCAGGTTACCCTGATCGCTTGTATTTATGCATTTACTGATGTACTTGGCGCAAGATGCTCACAAACAACAGCACCACAATGGCGTTTCAGTTTTGGACCTATACGCACCTGTACTTGCTATGTATATATGTAGTTTTCTTGCTATCTATTGTTATACTTTTGGCGTTGCGCTGCTGAAAGAAAACTGTTTGTAGTATATACCACTGCTTGTTTGCGCACTACCATGCAAAACGAAAGGTAAAAGTGCATAAATCTATAGTACTTGATTTGACCGTTATGAACATGATACTATTGCTTTCAGAAGATGAGAATAACCCTATTACGTCATGTAAGTGTGGGATCGTTTTCACACGCTGTACAGTATATATTAGCACCCCTTGCCTGCCTTTATGTAGCTACCTGAAAGCGCACATTTGCTAATTAAGGTGCAGGGACAGTCTTATCAAAAAACTCATGTGTGAGCACCTGACACCATGATGACTGCTGCCTTGTCTTTTTTAGGTACTGTTTCAGGCACGGCAGAAGCGCTAATTACACATGACCAGGAGCAGCGTCTCGCCCTGAATATGCAATTGTGATAGCGTATCCGCCACCTCTGTTTGCCCGCGAATATCCTTTATACCTTCAATACTTATCAGATAACGGAGCGACCCATGAAGTTGTTGATGATGATGATGATGATGGCGAGAAGGGGAGAGCGCCAATGCATCTCAGTTTGGGGTTTTTCTTTGTTGTGTAACAACGCGTGACCAATGGCACGCAATCGCGGCCTCGCACATACTTGCCTTGTGTCGGGCCTTGTGTGAGGACTTTGTCATCCTTTCTTTTCCTCTTTAACTTTTTTATCTTTTTCTTTACTGTAACCTTTAACATACAACTTGCTATGGGCTCCCAACCATCCAAAGAAAGCCGCAAGAGTGTCCGCTTTGACGAAAAACGAGCCCACGCATCGGCTGCTGCTGAAATACAAGAAGCATACTTTACTGCAAACCGCGCATCCACGTCATCACAAGTGTATCTCGCTGAAACGCTTGAATGTCTCGGTTTGGATGACGATCAGGTCAAGGACCGTTATGCACCAGTGACCGCTGAAAGCTTGACCAAATACTCCAAGGATTTCTGGAAGGAGCCCAAGAACAAGCTTGCTTTGAATGCTGTGGCGGGTCACAATCCCACACAAGTCCTTGTCAACCGACGTCAAGCTGTGCGCGAGAACCATGTCTTTAACGTCAAGATCGAGCCTGAAGGCTCTGCCACCAACCAACGCTCGTCAGGTCGATGCTGGTTGTTTGCTGGTACCAACGTGCTGCGATTGGCCGTCATCCAACGCTATCACCTCAACGATGATTTTGAACTTTCACAAAGCTATCTGTTCTTCTATGGTAAAAAAGTTGATGCCTATAATACAAAGCGGGAAAGGGGGATCGGGGATTCATTGACAAGTAATAGTGTGTGTACTGACTTTATGGTGGGGTGTCTGTGTGTGTGTGTGTGCAGACAAACTTGAAAAGTCCAATTGGTTCTTGGAAAATATGATTGACCTTGCTGGCAAGGATATCGACGATCGTGTCGTACAATACCTGCTCAGCGATCCCGTAAGCGACGGCGGACAGTGGGATATGTTTGTCAACCTAGTCCAAAAATACGGCGTCGTGCCCAAATCTGCATTCCCCGAAACATATTCATCATCCAACTCGAGCCGTTTGAACTGGCTGGTCGTAGTCAAGTTGCGCGAGTTTGCCACACAGATCCGTAAAGCCATGGATGATGGCGTTTCCACAGCCACAGTCCGCGTGCTCAAGGAACAAATGATGGAAGAAATCTATCGCATCATGGTCATTTGTCTTGGCGAGCCACCCTCCACCTTTGATTGGGAAGCTACTGATAAGAACGGCAAGTTTGTTGGTGTACGTGGTCTGACACCAGTTAAATTCTTCAAGGAGCATGTCAAGTATCCGGTAAGCTCTCTCCATAGCAATAATGCCCACAAAGGCCCAAGAGATTCCTTGGCTAAAAACAAAAGGGGTAAATCTTTCCTAATTTAGATTGCGGAAACCATGTCGCTTATCAACGATCCCCGCAACCCGTACGATGCATTGTATACAGTCAGCCGTCTCGGTAACATTGTTGGTGGGAACCCAATTCGTTACGTAAACACACAGGCTGAAACGCTCAAGAAACTTGCCATTAATGTGCTAAAGTCCGGCTCGCCTGTGTGGTTTGGCTGTGACGTCGGCCAATATTCCTCGTCCAACATTGCTGTCATGGATACCAAGATCTTTGATTATGAGCTAGGATTTAACGTCAGCTTTGGTTTGACCAAGAAACAACGTCTGCTGTATGGTGAGAGTTTGATGACACACGCCATGGTGTTTACGGGTGTGCATCTGGATGAGAATGGCAGTCCAATCCGATGGCGCGTTGAGAATTCGTGGGGTGAAACTTCAGGAGACCATGGATATTGGATCATGAGTGACGCGTGGTTCTCTGAGTTTGTGTATCAGGTTTGTTTTATCTTCTCTGCTATATCTGTTTGGTAATCTACATGTACCGTCGAGACTGATTATCGAATTCTTTTTTTATTACTGTTTAGATTGTACTCAAGAAGGCTGATGTCCCCCGCAAACTCACGGATCTCTTGAATACCGAGCCGACTGTTCTCCCAGCATACGACCCAATGGGATCGCTTGCTTAATCCCACTAAGCTGTCATTTCTATTGTCACATAGTAGTACCTTTCCGTTATATAACCCGTCAATAAACACCTTTACTCTGTGCATATTTCAAATATTATTTCTTCTGAAAGAGCACTTGTACAGCTCATTAAAGCCCCTGAAAAGAGCACTACTACTGATTTACAAAAGAAATCAATTAGTAAGCAGTAGTTATTTTTAACAGTTCGGTGAGTAGTGATACTGTAATGACTACGTATATAGCGGTTGATGTACTTTTTTTGCTCCAAAATTTCAATGACATCGTGTCTATTTTACTATAAAATAAAGAAGCTGGATATCAATGTTGTTGACATTCCCTTTACGTTCTCACTTCTTCAGTTTATGTACCGTAATCAATACCTAATATTCAGGTGTGGCTGCTCGCTTGATGAATATGAATGACTGAACTCTATTTAATGATCACAACATACAGCCAATGATAAAAGCTTTGTGATACTGCAAGTACAAGTTCACCGTCAAAAAGACGTTTGGCATATCCAACAAGCAGTAAATTACGCTAGTGACTCGTAGCGATGCCATAGTACGACCTCATGTGATGGAAGTTTATCTATCATCATACGTAGCAAAAGTAGTTGTTGCTGATGCATAACTTTCATGCTGTGAAAAAACAAAAGATTCACTCTTCGTTATCGTATTACTCACTGAAATTTTGTGCTTTCACAGCAACATCTGTTGACGGAAACACGTCTCTATGACCCAGTCCTACTATGCTGGGCGAGACAATCGATAGACTAAACATTGAAGCTTGTATTATTTCAAAGATGCCCGAGTATGGGACCTTACTTACTTCAACTCATCGGGAGATCCGTACCAAGTCAAAAAGTGTTATTCCTCGTCACAATGGACAAGATGGAAATTCGAAAAAGTTTAACGTTTTACATCGTCAGGTAAAAAGAGAAAATCTTTCAATCAAAACCGCCATAAAGACCAAGATCGCCAAAATAATCACCCTGGGAAGCCTACTACTCGCCAACAACTCAGGCATGCACGTCGGTTCTTGGTTTCAACAGAGAACTTTAGGCTAGTGGCTTCATAATGACGACGACGACGAATTCAAAGTCGTTTATGCTTAGTGTCATGGTAGATATTTTTTGTAGCATGAATTGAAACAGCCCAAAGACCTACTTATTATTAGCGAAAACAACAATGATCGTGCCTTGTTGCATCCAAGAAGTATCCTAAAACAATCTCGTAACGAGCAAGAATACTTTGCACTTTATCTCACGTTGTAATACTGTATGTCAAGAGTTGATGAAGATCGGTTAGGCCCCCGACGAAACTTACACTGTAACATGAAGTAGCAAGATTGTTGGAAAGCTCTTACAAAATGACACACCGAAATTTAAAAAAAGTTAAAAGATGCGGCATATACCACAGTAATGCAATGAAGGAATATGTGATATTTTTTACAAGAAAGACGAATAATGCTAATCGCTGTAAGGAAGAAATGCAAGCAGATACGAGGTGCTCGTATTTTCAACACGAGCTTGAATTCAGCAAGGTTGCATTGAAAGATGATGGTGCAAGAAGCAGCACAGCATATGAGGGTGCAGTATAAAGACACCAAGGAATGACTTGTTCACATTCAATACTACTGTAATCCTCGACCATTAACTATCCGAAATATCAAGACGGATGCCTTTGTAATATCCGGTTTAAAAAGATCCACCATCCGTGTTCACCATGACTGTAATAAATCGATTTAAACTGTTAAGGGTTCGTTGCTTTAAGGTTTACATAGTGTGTCTGCTGTCATCATGGATTTGCTTATTTTGAAGTAGGGTCGGTTTTGCTGTATGTATATTTTTGCAATATGAGCAAAGTCTGGCACCGCGCAAATCTTCCGTATAATTGAGCTTCTGTATCGTGTGCGCTGGTATACCATGGAAGCACTGTAAAGAAGATTTTGTATCATTAACCAAAAAAAAAAAAAAGATAAAAAAGGCGCACACGTCTTTTCACTCTATTGTCCGCGTCTCCCATCATCTTCCAGCTAACAACACCAAAAAAAAAACAGTGCTAGACGAATCACATCCTGTTACAGTTGAATAAAGGAAAAGGAAAAGAGCCGTTGATAGCAACGGATACTGTACATGGGTCTAAAGGCGTTGTTCATCATAGAACACCGTTTTACCAGGTTTTGAGGTAATTCTTCCAACGCATAAAGAATAAAGTACAATATGCATCAGCAGTTAATTGTTGCTATGCTCAATATAAAAGGTGAGACACGTTGCAATGAAGAATGACGAACAGCTGCTTTATATCATATACACCCGGGAGTCCCTCAACAACAACATTGTCGCTTGCCAAAGATACCTGTATCAAAAGTTGCAGTGTATATGTTTGAAATGTGATGTAGTAGGATCTGTTTATCAATGGGCGAAATACAGAGTCATAACGGCTCTGTCTTTTTAACGTTCGCCAGCATTCTTATTACTTTCCGGTGTAAAAGTAAGCTACTTGCTGCAGTGAGTGACCCCCGTCACTTGATTGGGACGTCGATCATCTTCGAGAACCCATCTTTCAACTCATGTGGATATACTCGGGTAATAATGCAGCTCATAACATATCTTGACCCTAAATTCTTTCAAGCCCACTATCAAGCAAAAAAAAAAAAAGACCCAAATACTGTGTTCCAGAGGATGTGGAGCTGTAGTCTAATCTAGTTATTGCCAGTACCTCCATACAACTACTGCTCCTTCTTGAGTTTTACAGCCACAACATAGATTAAAGGGTCAAGCGAATATAGGCGATACTATCTCAAGTTATGATACATAAGGTGGTCTTGTCTTTGTTGCTGGCTTTCGACAGGCCATGACGACACGATGCAGAAAAAAAAAAGGTGGTGAAAAGTTGTAACACCACATGACCTTCTTGCGGAGCCCCATGCATCCGGTACAGGAAAAATTGGCCAGGCGAGGAGGATGGGAAAACGTAAAGATGACCACGGGTATATCTTTACATTTACACACAGCGTCTAGATACTGCAAGCCTAGATACATCCTTTCCAAACCTGTTTTGCCGGGCTAACGTGTTCTAATCGATAATAATGACTGTTTTTCTCTTTCTATCAAGTGCGCAAAGTACACTACTAGCAGTGTGCCCAAAGTAATCAGTCAATCTGTACGATATACGGAACATGCTTACTCATGTCTAGTAATTTATGTTGTAACACCGACTGTTTGTGTGTGAGATAGGCTTTGTACAACATTGTTTTACTGTTCTTGGAAACTACGTAATGCAGCAATCTTTATACGGACTTCTTGGTGCGGCCGAGCCTCTCTTTCTCTCTTTCACTACCCGCCTTTCCTGGTCTCGTGCTTCCTGCTATCTTTAAAGCCCAGATGTTCCCTTATTTCCTATGCCGCTTCTTTGAAGTTTTCTCTCTGTCTCTCGCTGCTTGGACATCATAGCACATTAGCACGGCGGGAAGGAAAGCTTCAAGGAGGGGGGTTTTGCTTCTCCTTTTGTCGGATTTGCCTTCCTTGACCATCATTTTCTAGTATGAAATAGATAATAAGCATTGGTGTGAGGAAACATGTTACGGAGATATATATCCACCCCGTCTAGACAGTCCCACGAAATAGGCGCAAAAAGGACGGTCGCACGACGCGTCAACTTTTTCAAACATCGGGTTTAGAAGGAATAAGTTGCTTTAGTTTTTGTAGCACGACGATAGCTGCCTTGGACAAGAACAAAGTACAAGTGAATTCATTGGGACAGGACCATCAGATTAGCTGAGTCAAATACGCTGTCGCGAATGAAGGGTGTACCCTGCTTACTACTGTAGAGGCGCGACATGTCGCTCAATGAAAAAAAAAAAAGCTTTATGGAATAGATTGAGAGCAGCAGCAGCAGCAACAGCAGCACATGCACGCCAAGAATCACCACTTTGTGGTATTCTGTGAACTATCCTACAACATGCACATGCGTTACATTGTACATAGTGACTAGAGAATAGAATCAGTAGAAGACCTCACTGGGGTAACTTTTTTTTTTTTTAGTTCCTACTAGTAAGTTAGTAAGAGTTGATGCAGCTATTTGGCCAGTCATCATTCCTACGACACCACACACACAAGGAAACAAGACACTCTCACATTGGGGATATGGATGAGAGAGAGAGAGAGAAGATACACTTCCTGGTGCCTTAACCTTATACAGAATTTATTTTTAAGGTTTGATGGTGACATGAGCGGTCAAAGCAGTTGCAAGATCATAGACTCCGAACCTGGAAGCTTCCATTTCTGCTGTGTGTATTATATTATTGCTTATGAGATATCAAGGTGAGTCTTTTTTTTTCTTGTGTGAGTGAGACTTTTTTTTTTTCCGCACTAAACAAGCAAAACCGGGACCCCATGCAGTCGCCCGTCTATAATAAAAAGTCGACCCCACTCCAACAACAACTCCGAGAGGGGAATGCGTTATGCTAATAACCCTGGAGGACGAAATACACACACACACACAACACACAAGTGGGATTGCCGATCACCCGTTGCCATACTATCACTACTACTACTACTTCTTTGCCCAACCACTTCTTTAAGCTATTTCCTTATACTCTCTCGGTAGCTGCATAATCACCGGGGTTATTGCGTTTGGGGTTACATAAATGAACATATACTGCAAGTCCCTTTGATCGAATTTTTGCAGTATATGTTAAGCGTTGGGGGAAGTATATGTCGTGTCGGATTTCGGACCACGACGCTCTCTATGTTCATCCGATCTTTTAGTGCCTCCTTTAGTAGATTATGACGAAGAAGGTTGCAGAAAATAACAAGCGCACGGGAGAAAGTATGTTCCGAGAAAGCGAGTTGGAAGATGCGGGTGCTTTCTTCTTCTTCACATTGTTTTCGCTGCTCTCGCTTCCGGGCTTGGCGGCCCAGCACTGGACCGGGGAACCACCCTTTTCCTTCTTTTTTTTTTTTTTTTTTTTGTGTGAAATGTACTATGACCACCAACCTTTCACAAGTTACATAAAAGAAATGACTCACATGACCTATGTTTCTACTTGATAGTATCGTCACAAAACGTGTAACATCTTTCTTGAAGCGTGTTCAAGTCTCGAATAGACGGATGATGAAGGGAAGAGAACCCGATTGGCATGACAGCCAATCAAATAGCAAAAGAAAAGGGGTGGGGTCTGTGCTTCGGGAAAAAAAAAATGATGGATATCGATGACGTTTTGTGCCCTACCATACAGTATACGGGTTCCGCTTTATTTTTTTTTGGAACGACACTTCTTTTAAAGGTGCAACCGGTAGAATTTCCTTGGAAAAAAACAATGTCAGACAAAAAAAAGATTGGATCCCGACTTGGGGATAAGCTAGAAAGGATTTAAAAAGGGGAGCGTCGTTCGCAGCCTCAACCAAACAGTTTGAGACATTCTTTTTCTTTTTGCATCTCATATAATATAATACATATATATATATATATATATATATTTCGTTTAAAGCCATGGTATCCAATAAAGAAATTAACAATAGCGCTGCCGAACTCGATGGCATGCTGAAGCGTATGCATGAGATGGTGCTCCAGCGTAAGTCTCCTGACATAATCTACTACAAAGAGAGGGACTGGATGATTAAAATAGAGAGTGTGTCGGTTACTACTAGATGTCAAGGAAGGTCAGGACCTGCATGCAGTGGTAGACTACAAAACTCCCGCCGAGCTGTACAAGACAGTTGACTTTGCCTTGCCTGAGCGCGGCACTGGTGTTGATGGTAAGGCATTCTAGGGAGGGAGGTGTATATCCACCCACTGAGAGAGAGAAAATAACAAAATTCTTTTTTTAAAAAGGCACCTTTGACTTGATCAAGGACACCCTCAACTACAGTGTCAACTCATGGAACCCTCGGTTTATGGACAAGCTCTATGCAGGCACCAATCCCATTGGCGTCATTTCCGAGTTTTTGTTGGGTGTGCTCAACGGCAATTGCCATGTCTACCATGTGTCACCGGTCTTGACATTGATGGAAGTCGAAGTGACCAAGGCCGTTGGCCAATTGCTCGGCATGGGCCAACATGCCAATGGTCTGTTCTGTCCCGGTGGTTCTGCTTCCAACTTATTGGCCATGGTGACTGCCCGTAACAAACTGTACCCTTCCATCAAAACAACCGGCTATATCCCGCGTCCGTTCAACCCCAGTGCCGACTATGGCAAGCTCAAGGTGTTCACGTCGGCCCACTGCCACTATAGCATTGACAAGGCTGCGCTTGTCCTCGGTCTCGGTACGGACAGTATTGTCAAGGTCCCCACGGATGAAAAGTGCAAGATGCGTGTGGACGCACTTGGTAAGTTTCCGTTTTTTTTTCTAAAACGGCGGTTAGTTAATCTTAAGGATGTGTTCTAACGAGTCATGTTTTTTTTTTAAAAGAACGTTTGATTCAAGAAAGCATTGAACGTGGTGAAACACCCTTCTTCATCAATGCTACTGCAGGCACTACTGTGATGGTAAGTAAAGACTCTTTTTGGATTAAGAAGAAAGAATGGAAACTGACGCGTTTGTTATATCGAATGGACTTGAAAAAGGGTGCATTTGATCCTATCCAAAGTATATCCGCAGTCGCCAAAAAGTACAACTGCTGGCTACACGTCGATGGATCGTGGGGTGGCTCTGCCATCTTCTCACAAACAGTGCGCGAGCAATTGGGCTGGCTTGACGGCTCCAATCTGGTAGGCAAAAAAGAAAAAAAAGAAAAAGACCTGGAGTGTGATTTTTGGGGTGGCATCCCTTGCCCTTACCCCACTCCACCTCTTTGCTCATATCTCTATGTGTGATGTTTTCCCATGTAGACACCACATGTTGTGTGTTTTTATGTCGTTTTTACTAACCATTTCCATTATTTTTTCTTTGTGTGTGTGTGATGTGTGTGTGTGTGTGTGTGCGTTTTAACTTGCCCTGTGCCCTCCCTTGGCTCTCTCTCTCTCTCTCTCTGAAACGCACTAGGCTGACTCATTTACCATGAACCCTCACAAACTTCTCGGTGTCCCACTGCAATGTTCGATGGTGGTGACTCCACACGAAATGCTTTTCCCCAAGGTCAACACATTGGCCGCCGACTACTTGTTCCACGGCAACCCCTATGACCTTGGTGCTGGCACCATTGGCTGTGGCCGACGTCCTGACGCACTAAAGATCTTTCTGGCATGGAAGTTCTATGGCCGAGACGGTCTGGGCCAACGTATCGACCGAGCCATCCAGGCGGCTGCAGACTTTACGGATTTGGTCCGAGAGCGAGAACATTTTGAACTGGTTACTGACCCTAGCTTATTCTGTCAAGTGTGTTTCTGGTATGTGCCCAAGGAGTTCCAGAGTCAGGTACAATCGTGGAGAGCTCAACAGCCCGAGGTTTGGAAAGCCAAGATGACACGCGTCATCCATCTGTTGCACGAGCGAGTGAATCATTCGGGCGACTTTTTGGTCGACCATGCTCCCCTCGACACACTGCCTCACTTTTTCCGCATAGTGATCAATGCGCCCACCGTCAATGTGCATCGTGACTTGGCTGCTTTGTTGGATGCCATCGAAGACGCAAGTAAAAAGATCGCTTGGAACCAAGTGTCTCTCTAATTTTTCCTTTCATGCGCTGCCCAAGCAACAACAGATCGACAAGCCCATCAAAACCATATAAATGCCTCCCCCCCCACCCCGAGTGAAATGATATCCTACTTATTTATATTGATCATTAATTCAAAGAAAAAAAAAAGAAAACCCAAATACAGGGTCTCTCTAATAAAGAAAAAAAAGAACAAGTTGTGTACATATTCCAATACTTGCCGTTCGTTCTAATCTAAGGGGTGTTGTTCTTTTTTTTTTTCAACGTCCTCACATTATTGCTTATTGTACTCTCCTCATCCGAAAAAAAATAACACTATTTGCATGCGACTGGCTGTCGCCATAGATTGATACTGCAAATAGGGAGAGGGCAAAGGTAAAATTGTTCGAGGGAAAGTATTACATGTATCTCGATCCGGTATAGGTCTTTTCTTTTTATAAAACAAAATTATTTCTTTCTTTTTCCCCAAACCTTAAACTTTTTCTTTATCTTTTTTTTTTTTTTCACTTGTCTCTTCCACACTCTACATGGCACCCATCACAGCACCCGACGCGATACAGCCGCTGTGTCGAGCCCGTGCAATCTATGCATTCCAATCAAAAGAACCAACGGCTCTGATCTTTGAGCCAGGGGCTCTCATTGATGTGCTCTCCAAAGTTGAGTCAGGCTGGTGGCTCGGAAGGTATAACACTGCTGCTGCTGCTGCTGCTGCTGCATGTAGAACAATAGACGTCCATTGTGTGCTCAAGTGTACTTACCACAAAACAACAAACCTAGCACTGCGAGCAGCGCACCGGGATGGTTTCCAAAAGACTATGTTCAAGTCATAGAGCCGCAAAAGCCCATGGTAAGATTAATTTGTTTGTTACATCTTGCTCATATCCGCTTACATTTGTGACACGTCGAACACAAAACAAACACAGAGCGACACAAATCTCTTAAAACGGCCAAGCCAAAAGCCTGATCAGGGGCACGACGACGAAGACGACGAACTCACAATTCCTCTAGCAATGACAACAGCGCAATTATCATCATCATCATCATCATCATCGGCAGAAAAACGAAAAAGTAGCCAGAACAGCAAATTATATAATCATGACAGCAATCATCTGCATGGCGAGTGGACCGTGCAGCTCACAGAGGACGGCGAGGGACATTATCTGTTCAATCCAACCACGGGTGAAATGCGGTTCATGTTCCCTGAAGACGGCGACAACGACGATACGGGACTATTGGATGACAACGACTCGTCTTCATCTTTCAGAGATGCGAGCGATAGGTCCTGGCTACACGAGTACGAGGAGGATGAAGGAGGAGGAATAAGGACCATGGAGGAAGAGGAGATTGAATTTGTTCCCCAGAAGGTAGGGCCCTTGTCTCGTTTTCTATTTCGCCCTCATTGACCCACTCTTTCCATAAAAGCGAGCAACTTTGATCAACAAAAAGCCTAACTGTGTGCCCTCTCTTTTATCTATTCGTAACCCATTGCATAACTTTTGCAACGCATGTCTCGGCTGATGGTTTATTTTTTTTTAGATCCCTTCGCCATGGAGCAAATACATTATACCGCCAGGCCAGGATCACCTGTTTAACGAGTCGCAGGTAATAAGGAAGGTGGTCCGTGCTTTTGTTCATCGTCTTCTATACCACTTTACGCCCGCCCCCCTCGAGAATTTACACAAAAGGGAGAACTAATATTTTTTTTTTCTCTGCTCCTTTTTGCTTATAAAAAAAAAAAAAGGTGACAGAGGCCGATCCATCCTCTCCTTTGACCTGGGACGTCCTAAGCACATGTGTTGCTTGTACGATTCACAATCTGAACGCTGCTATCCAGTACAGCCGCAAGACGCTCTATTTCCCGTATGCCAAGGCCATTGTGAATGCTATCAAGCTGATGATGATGGCCTGCGGTGCCGTCGACAAGGAGTGGTTCAAAACGATTCAGCAAAAGGATCTACTACTGACGTATCACCGAGCCACCATTGCCAATCTGGCCAAGATGATGCTTACAGCAGTGTCAGTGGAACGAGGGGACGTTGATGACAAACAGCAACTTGCACAGGATGCACGTGAAGTATTGGTTGCAGTACGGAGCTTTGTCACAGCCTGTCAAGCAACCCCTGCCTTGGCCCGGCTCCGTACAGCTCTGGAAGCAATCTTCGATCCATCTCCTTCTTTGACTAGTCTTCCCGCCGTCAATAACGCATCTTCACGAGCTCTTAACCCGACTGCGATCACAACCATTCTCGAAGAAGACGGTCCTGGTGCTGCTACTATCACCTCCACCCCTATCAACAACAACAGCAGCAGCAGCTCGGAAGTATTGCTTTCTCCCACATCGCCACACTTTCGCGAGCATCGCGAGAACTCGGCATCCAGTCATTTTAGCGCAAAGACAACCTCAACACGTGCAACAAGTACGCATAGCAGCAGCGCAGGAAGCAGCAGCAGTAGTCGTACGGGGACAATCGATGACGAGCTCGATCATACGAGTTATTATGACACGATCCAGTCGCACAGCAAAGAGCTCCAAGCATCGGTCGATGCGATGCTCACACTCCTCAACCAGCATCGACACCAGCGCGAGGCATTGACTGCGCTCCTGCTTGCGCGACTCGATCACATGTGCCAACGGACGGGCCAGCTTCTCTACGCCGTCGAGCGCGTTGCCTATGACCACACCATCGAGCAACAAATAAGCGTGTGTAAGCAAGAGCTGCTCCATGGGTTTGGTATCCTGTTTGTCAAGCTCCAAGCAATGACGGATGTCAACGTGCTCGTCGACGATGCCGTGCTTGCAGTGGAAGCCGTCATTGAACGAATCAAGAAACCGGTAGATCAAATTGCTGTATGCTGCGACACACTCACACACCATGCCAGACGATCGAACAGCCAACGAGGCAGTCTGATATTACCGCCCGAGGACAGTGTCGATGACAAGCAAGGGAACGCCTCTAAGACTGAAAAACACTATATGGGATACGACTACAAGCCGGACGAGCTTGTGTTTTCTTCAGCGGATGGTCAGATCAAGGGCGGTACATTGGCAGCACTGATTGAACGACTGACGCTACACGACCAATCCGACACCAAATTCATCCAGTCATTCTTGTTGACGTACCGCGCCTTTTGCACATCAAGCGATCTTTTTGAACGACTCAAAGCACGCTTCAACATACAACCGCCTGCCGATCTGACACCGCACGAACTCAACGACTGGAAGGAAAGCAAGCAAAAACTGATCCGGCTACGCGTGTTCAATGTCTTTAAACATTGGGTCGAGCACTACATGAGCGTTGAAGAAGACCAGGGCGTCTTGAGCGACTTGCTCGAGTTTACAAACACCACCCTACGGGCATCCATCAGCTTCTCAGCCAACCAACTCGAACGATTGATCCGACGACGTCTTGATTCCGATCCGCTGCGCAAATTCGTTGTGATGCAACCACGCGAACAGCCAACGCCCCTATTACCACGCAACGTGAAAAAGTTCCGTCTCTTGGACATCCACCCGTTAGAGATGGCACGCCAGCTGACCGTGATGGATTTCGGCCTCTACCGTGCCATTCAGCCCTCCGAGTGTCTGGACAAGGCTTGGTCCAGCAGTGACAAATCCAAAGGCGTCCACATCCGACAATCGATCGAATACAACAATCAAGTCACCCTGTGGGTCTCGGACGCGATCCTGTGTCAGACCGATGTCAAAAAGCGAGCCAACACGGTAAAGTACTGGATCCAAGTCGCTGAAAAATGTTGTCAGCAGCTCCACAGTTTCAACACATGCATGGCTATCCTGTCTGCGTTTGACAGCAGTGCCATTGCCCGTCTGCAACGGACCTGGGATTTCGTGGGCTCGCGTGCACAGCAAACATTGAATGGGATGCGCAAAGTGTTTGCTTCCAACAGAAACTTTGCTCAGTATCGATCGCTGGTCCATTCGGTCAATCCACCCTGCATCCCTTTCCTGGGCGTATACCTCCAGGACCTCACTTTTATCGAGGATGGGAACCCGAATATCTTGAAAAATAGCGAGCTGATCAACTTTGGCAAGCTGGCAAAGACGAGTGAGGTGATTCGGGAGATCCAGCAGTATCAGTCGACGCCGTATTCTTTCATGTCCGTGTCGATGTTGCAGATGTTTATCAAGGCGAATCTGCAGAGTGCCCGTGATGATGAATGCTTATATGCCGAAAGTTTAAAGATAGAACCAAAGTAAGCTTCTTCTTCTTCTCTGTATTAACCTATACTATACACTATGGCTGTGGACTGGTTACTAAAATAATGGATCGGTTATGACAGAGAACGAACGGATGAAAAAGTGACCCGACTACTTGAAGAATCTGGATTCATCTAGTGTCCTTTTTTTATAGTCAATATTCTCACATGAATAGCATTTAGATTCTATACTTGATGAAAATTTGATATACGAGGGGGACCCATATGAATCTCAACAGTAACAAGCATGCTCTCTCTCTCTCTCTCTCTCTCTTGGTTTGATTTGGCTCTTTTTTAAAAAGTTCAAGGGGTCTACTATATTCATATTTGGGGATAAACTTTCAAAACCCGGTGGTACACCAACAAAAAGTTGCTCTTCTTCTCTTCCCTTGAACCCCAACAATAAATCCTCCCCCCCCTTTCCTCTATTGCAATGAAGTTAGGACAGGCATTTGCCGTTTCGATGGGCGCTCTCGTGGGTGGTGCCGTCGGTTTTTACCTTTTGGAAGATTACAAGATTAAAGCAAAGGTAATGGATACCCTTTGTCTCTACGCTTTTATAAAGTTATCAATTCCAGCATCGCATTGCTTTACCCAACCCACCCCCTTTCTTTTTCCTTTACTTATCATTGTTAATAGGAACAACGATTGGCCATGCTTTTGGAAAAGAAACTCGAATACGAGCAGCAAGAAAAGACGTTATGAACAAAAAAAAAAAACATGGACCTGGGCAAACCCATTTTCACAGCATTGTTTTGTTATTTCTGCATTCCAGCATCCGTCCCGAACATATATAATCGACTCTGCTACAAAGTTCAAGCAAGCTTTTTTAGAGATACTATTCTGTACATAATTCCCTCTCTCCACCCTTTTCCCATCCGAACTTGTCAAGATATTATATATAATTGCCTTTTCTATTATTACTGTGTTCGCTTTATTCATTTATAAAACATACTAAACTTTCCGAATATACTTGTGGGTCGCAAAAGATGTGTTTTAAAAAGGTAAAGCACAATAGAAGCGAGAAAGAAGCTGTTGCATATGTCATGCAGTTGTTGATATCTTTAAAAAAAAAATCACTCTATCCGTACTGATTGAAACAATGCGAAAAAAAAAGAAAGCGCCAGGGCACTAAACCCGCATAATGGGACACCGTCACGACGGAACACAAAACCTTCCATCTTCCTTTTTATACAACTGTCAAAAAATAATGTTTCGAAGAGCATGTCTGACAAGTCGACATGTCTCTTGTATAGCACGATCTTATGCTTCAAAGTAAATAGGAGTGCGTTAATCCCACACCCGTTTACCCCAAAGTGACTAAACAAAAAAGTGATTATATAGAGCAAGGATCGACGATCGGACAAAACAAGCGATCGATCAAGTGAAACGACTCGAATACCAACTCGAATCACAAAAGAAGAGAGCAAGTATCACTGCAGTGATTTCGAAACACTTTCTCTTTAAAGCTCGATCGAGTCAATGTGCTGACTTGACTTTTTTTTTTATCAGGAAGAAGCTGTTGCATTACTCGATCAGATTAGTGAGCAAGACGTTCAAGAAGTATATGAACAGATTTCAGCTGAACGACCGCCCCGACAATTGATCGCACCCGACTATCTGCAAAACCTTCGTGTAAAATTTCTGGATACCCGGCAAGAAGCACTGCCAAGCAACGAAGAACGAAAAGAGGCACTGACAGGAGAAACACCACCACCATCAGCGGAATTGGTCACACAGCAACCACAGTCGCTTAGTGATTTGTCAATGGGTGATTTTGAGCAGTTGATTTATGCCAATGTATGTCTTACGATGCTAACGGTAGAGAAAAAAAAATGGGGGGCTAGAGAGAAAAGAGCTGACATGGATTAACTTTATTAAAGGCACTTGCAAAACGACCTAAAGAGGCTGAACGAGCATTAGAGCTTATGGAGGTAATTTTTTTTTTTTTGCGGGAATGAACGATTTTCGGGTCCAGAGTGCGGGAGGGGGAACTGACAACATTTTTGTTTAAGGAATGTGGTCAGGTACCCAGTGTGCGATGCTACAATCATTTGATGGACGCGTATGCCAATGCAAATGACGTTGATGGGGCGATTCAAGTCTATAAACGGGTCAAAGAGCATTTGGTGCCAGACATGTACACCTATGCAACCTTGATTAAAGCATTTATCCAAGGCTCACGACTCGAAGACGCATGTGTCGTATTTGAACGGATGAAACGATCCGACATGATTCCTACACAGCCCATCTTTTCCAACATCATCCGTGGATGTATCCAAGCGGATCAAATCGATCGAGCCTGGGAGGTTTTTGACGCGATGCGGTTATCGTACCATCAGCCCGACGAAGTCAGCTTTACCTTGATGTTACAAGCTTGTGCAAAGGTAAACACATTTTTGCGGGGACGACTGAGTGTGTGTGTGTGTGTGTGTTGGGGGGGGTTGAATCCAAAAAGTGAATTGGGTGGTATAGCTTACACACTTGAAATATCTGTTTATGTTTAGCGTGGTGAAGTGGAAAGAGCGCTCAACGTGTTTGAAGACATGACTGGCTCCAACCTGTATCCGACCGATGTCACTTTTAACGTCCTCATCAACGCATGTGCAAAACGGCCAGATTATTTCCAGGCCGCTTTCAACCTGTTAGAGCAGATGCAAACCGTCTACGGGTTCCAGCCTGATCTCATCACCTATAACACCCTCTTGAGCGCCTGTGCACGGAAAGGAGATCTCAGTCGAGCACGCGATATATTTAAAATCGTTGACCAGAATGCGGATTATCATACCTACTCTAATTTACTGTCATGCTACGCCAATTACAACCCAGTCCATTCACCATCCACCACCACTACTACCTCGGTCCAGCAGGAGAAAGAAGAAGAAAAAGCAGGATTGGTGGAACACACGCTCATGCCTAGCCAGCTGCCACAACGTCGATCGGGGGTCGTAGCAGAAGCAAGCAAGCTATTTGATGCCATTGTTGCCGAGAATCGGTGCGACATCACCTCATCACTCCTTACTGCCTATTTGTCTGTCCATGTCACGCAAAAGCAGGCACGGGACTGCATGGATGTTTATTTGGACATGTTTGACAGATATCAAGTGGAACGCAACCCACGGACGTTTTCGTTCATGCTTCAGTTTTGCTATGACCAACGGGACGCGGATTTCGCATGGCGCGTGTGGGGCGATTACCAGGAGTTTTTGGAACGCCGAGAGCAGCTGCGAAAAGAGACCTCCACTGCCACACGGGTGCGTGAAGGTTGGGCACCCGTACAACAACGGCAGCTGGCTTTGCTCATGGTGAACACGCTTGCCAGGTAAATTTAAAAATTACTTTTACGGAAACAAAAAGTTAGATGCTGATGGGGGCTATCTTTGTGTATATGTAGAGGAAACGATCTTAAAAATGCACTTGGATTGCTGGCAACCGAGTTTTCTACCAAAGACAGACCATCCATGAACGAGCTCAAGACACTACGGAACAAGTGTATCCAACTAGAAGATGAAGAAGCATTACACGCATTAAAACGGCTTGCAAGACAAGACCGTAAGCTCAAGCCAACCGACTGGCGATTTAGAAAATAGAAAAAAAAAGATCTTCATTTTTTGTACATTTTATTATTTGCTAGCATTGAACAATTCCCCTTCCCTCCTCCTCCTCCTCCCTCCCTCCCCCATGTGTATACAAGCGAAAAAAATAAGAAAAACATGCGTCATTCCCTTCTTATTCCTAATATTTGCTGACAGTCTGTTTCTGTAACTTGCCGGCTGCAGCCTCATCCACGAACCAGTATACCGGTCCTTGGGGTTGAACGCGTTGGCAAGGCAACTGGAGCTGAGGCTGTTCCAAGATCTTTTGAAGCATGTCCTGCTTTCCTTCACCCGCAGTGACAAAAGCAACAGCCTTTGCATGGTTGACGACGGGATACGTCAGCGTGATGCGCTCGGGTGGGGGCTTGGGCGAATCCGTGATGGGAGCCACCCAACGCGTTGTCTCGTTCAGCAGAGGATGACCGGGGAACAACGAGCAGCAGTGGCCGTCGGGACCCATACCCAACAAGATCAAGTCAAACGCGGGCAACCCTTTGAAATAATCCTTGAGTCGCTGCTCATAGTCGACCGCAGCCTTTTCGGCGTCCTTGCCGAAATTGCCAATGGCATGGGTCTTGGGTTGGCCATGCACCGCATCGAGCAAATGAATCTTGAGTTCGCGATAGTTTGAGTCGGCATCGTCGAGTGGTACACATCGCTCATCGGCCCAAAAGATTTCCCATTTCGAAAAGTCGACCTCTGGGTTTTCTCTCAAGTCCTTGGACAACAGCTTGGGGAGCGAACCGCCCGATACAGCGACGGTGAAGGCACCATGATCTGCAATAGCTTCAATGGAGCGTTTGGCGACAAAGTCATTCAAGCCGCTGGAGAGTGCGTCTGTAGTAGGAAAGGTGTAGGTGTGCGACATGTTCGTTTTTTTAAAGGTTAAAAAAAACGCGGCAGAATGCATTTTAAAAAGTTGTTGGGCTGTGCCCATTTTCGTATTCCGAAGACGCGCTCATCATCCCGTCGCGAATCATAACTGCGTAATAAAAGTGTTTACTGGACCCTTGTAGAGTAATACAAGATATCTGATAGAACACACATCTATCGCTTATGAATAAGCACAGAGACTTGCAGTGTGGCAAGAATAAACTCTTTTTTTTTAGTCTGATTATCGTACAAAAGGCTGCATCTGGCACTTCACATCACTTTTTCAATTATATTCTACGCTTGCCGTAGCACTTATCAAAGCATCATGTAATCACCGTGTTTCCGGAACAATCAGTTCGCATGAAAGCTTATCGTCTTTTCTCTATCCGTTTACTTGTATTCTGGTATTGAGCGATCTATAATCTCGGTCTTCGTGCCAAAGCAGATGCAGATTTACTAACTTATTAGCTCTGACTGCTTGGCCTTTTCACCCAGGTTCTACTGCTTACCATGCTTTCAATGGTTCTGATACTATTTCTACGACCATGCCAGAACTGCAATGCGATGCTTGGCAGCGAGTGAAATAGACCATTTTTTGTGTGATATGTGGCAAAAGTAGAAATTACTGATCGCTATCCTGTATTTCATCATTTATAGAATAGACATCTTTTCATGAAGCTTCTTCCATGTAGTATATGCATATGCTCGCAGATTTTTCTAGCCTTTTTTTCTGTATTGAAACAAGAATAATGGTGACACATTAGTATCATACAATGTATTATTAAGTCATCTTTTAACCCCAAGGTATATGATGTCACGTCGTGGTGAAGAAACGTATAGGTCTGCCTTTCTTCACATGTATGTTCAAATACATTCTATATCTACGTTACAGTACCACAATTACTACTAAAACAATTTGACATCCCCACTTGTAAATTATTCAGTGATAGCACCATAATCAACGTTGTTGTATCATTAAAAAAGTCGTACTGAAAGGAAGCGACCGCATGTTCATGGCGCAGGTCAACTACTGTAGTCTTCCATATCATTAATAAATCGTAGATATAACATACTCTCTGTCATGACTCTATCAAGCAATCTGGCAACGCCAGCAGCTCTTACTTTAAGTGGCGAGAGCGTACAGTAAGTCAGTTATAACGGTATCGCGAAGCGATAGCCAGAGCTACAAAGTAAAACCTTCAAATACGGATAGGGTTTACACAAGTACGTACACCCCGATTTGACGCTGGTTTTTTGACATGTGGCTGGCATTTTTAGCCCAGCCATGTCAAATTCAAGTTCCTCTCGAGACAGCTGCGTTCCGCCCCTCCTTTTCTTCTCTTTTAATCTATACAAAAACCATGTCTCGCGGAATGATGGTAATTACGTGGTTCTCTTTTTTTTTTCTTTATTCTTTGCAACGTCCTAGTGGTGAATCCACCATCCGAATCAACACTCGATGGTTTTTGTTACTGCCGAGATTGTAAAAAGAAACAAGCAGCAGCAAAGGGGATCTTTATTTTTGGTGACAGATTCCCAGTGCAGTAAAAAGAAAGAGAGAAAAAAACACGTGGCGTAATACAGCAATGCGCTAGTCAGCAACTTGAGCCATAATTTGGGGTGGGGGGGGACATTGACCATCTCATCTTTACCCAACTTGCCGCGATCTCGAAAAACCAAAAACCGTCGAGTTTGTTGATTTGTTCCATCATCAGGGCAATCGAGTCATGTTACTGCTTTAGGGGGAGGACGCGTGTTCCGCGTCTGTGCGTGGCTATTGGAACACAATTTTTTTTCCCAACTTTTTACGGAATGCGATCGCTCATCATTTCTTTTTCCATCGATTTCTGTAGCAACCTCAAATCATCCTTCTCAAGGAAGGCACTGATTCATCGCAGGGCAAGGGACAGTTATTGTCAAATATTAATGCTTGTGGTGCCGTTGTGGACACCATCAAGACGACACTGGGCCCTCGAGGCATGGATAAGCTTATGGTCAATGAGCGAGGTAAAAAAAATAATACACACATTCTTTTAAATACAGCCCCGAGGCTCTTATTTTGTGTACGTAGTTAATCAAACGTTGTTGGCTCTTGAATGGAATAGGTGAAGTAACAATCTCAAATGACGGTGCTACTATCATGAAACTCCTCGATATCGTACACCCTGCTGCAAAGACGCTCGTTGACATTGCTCGGTCGCAAGATGCTGAGGTAAACAAAATTTCTTTGATTGGAGTGTCAGGAATGTGGGGTAGTGGAAAGAGAATAGGTTTCCATTGAGTGAGGTGCTAACTCTCATGTACAAAAAGGTGGGCGATGGTACAACTAGTGTCGTCTTGCTTGCTGGAGAACTTTTAAAGGAGGTTAAGGGTTATATTGAAGATGGCGTCAGCCCTCATGTTATCATCAAAGGATACCGCAATGCCGCTCGATTGGCAATCAACAAAGTCAAGGAGCTGGCTGTCAAGATTAACAAAGATAATGAAGAGTAAGTTTCCATCATGGAAGACCACGAGAGGTGGATATGCATCAATCGGGTTAGGTGGACTGACTCTCATGTTTGCCTTAACAGAGAATTCCGTGATCTTTTGACCAAATGTGCAGCTACTGCCATGTCATCCAAGCTCATCTATTCACAAAAGGACTTTTTCACCAAAATGGTCGTGGATGCCGTACTTCAGCTCGATCAAGACAGTCTGATCGAAAGACTTATTGGTGTGAAGCGAGTACCTGGTGGTGCTATGCAAGATTCGATGTTGGTGAACGGCGTTGCATTCAAAAAGACCTTCTCGTATGCTGGTTTTGAGCAGCAGCCCAAGTCGTTCAAGGACCCCAAGATTCTTTGCTTGAACGTCGAACTCGAACTTAAAGCCGAAAAGGACAACGCCGAGGTGCGCGTTGAAGAAGTTTCCGAATACCAAGCCATTGTTGACGCTGAATGGCAAATTATTTTCCAAAAGCTGGAGGCTATTGTCGCAAGTGGTGCCAAGGTGGTCTTGTCCAAGTTGCCAATTGGTGATCTTGCCACCCAATACTTTGCCGACCGAGACATCTTTTGCGCAGGCCGTGTAGCCAAAGATGATATGGACCGTGTGATCCAGGCTGTTGGCGGCTCTGTCCAATCTACGTGCACCGACCTGCGATCTGAACATTTGGGCATGTGCTCCTCGTTTGAAGAGAAGCAAGTCGGTAGTGAGCGTTTCAACATCTTTGAGGGATGCACACAGGCCAAGACGTGCACGCTGATTTTGCGTGGCGGTGCCGAGCAGTTCATTGCCGAAGTTGAGCGCTCGTTGCATGACGCGATCATGATTGTACGACGTGCTATCAAGAATAACCTGGTCGTTGCTGGTGGCGGTGCGGCCGAAATGGAAGTGTCCAAATATCTCCGCGTCCACTCGCGTACGATTGAAGGAAAGCAGCAATTGATCATTGGCGCGTTTGCCAAGGCACTTGAGGTGATCCCACGCCAGTTGTGTGACAATGCCGGTTTCGATGCTACAGATATCCTGAATCAGCTTCGTATGAAGCATGCTCAAGGTAAAGAATCTAATTTGACATGAAAACAGAGCTTGACAGGAATTTGGTTCTCCTAATTTGACGGTTGCTTCTCGAAACTATAGGTGGCACCTGGTTTGGCGTGGACATCAACAACGAGACAATCGCTGATAACTACGAAGCATTCGTGTGGGAACCCGCACTGGTCAAGACCAACGCAATTGCAGCTGCAACGGAGGCAGCCTGTCTGATTTTATCTGTTGATGAAACTGTCAAGAACGCACAGAGCGAACAGCCTCAAGCAGGCATGCCTCGCGGTGGAGGACCTGGCATGGGCCGTGGACGGGGTATGCCCAGACGTTAAAGCGAAAAATACAAAAAGAAAAACCCAAAGTCTCCCAACAGAAAACAATACAAAAGTATACACCAACCAAATAAATAAAAAAGAGAATTGCATTTGTTTTATTGCCATCAATCGGTGCGGTATCTTAAACTGCACTTGTCATTTAATATGTGAGCGAGAAGATAGCAAGGCCATTTCATCCAGCAAAAATTTAACTCCTTGTAACGACCGCATTTTACCAGCATTCTCTCCACCATCACCTCCACCACCACCGACACTTATGGATTCGGAGGAGTCGTTTTTACACGGACTACCTACCTACACCCCAGCATGTTTACGCTTGACCAATGTGCTCATGGAGCGCATTGTTCGTCTGCTGCCAACACAAGCGGATCGCTACCAAGCATGTCTGATGCACCGCGTTTGGACCACCGCTGCCATCAACATCCTTTGGGAATGGCCGCTTTTTGCGGGCGAGGGCGCCATTCGCTCGTTCATCAACACAATTCGTGTACACAAGCGTTTGGCTTTGGCTGTTCGTCACTTGAATCTCTGTCTAGATATCGTGCCTGTCAACGACCAAGACGACGACGGCGACGCGTTTACACGATCGATGCGCATAACACTGCACCGACATGAAGCCTCTCGAGACAGTCCGCTCGCTGCGCCCTCGGTCATCACGACGGTCCTACAACAATGTGAGCGTATCGAGACGCTGACAGTATATGGCTGGCAGCTTGATGCGTCTCACTTGCGTTTGATTGCATCCTATATCCCACAGCTTCAAGCGTTACAAATTGTCGGATCGCCGGAATGCGCAGGAAGCAACATCAACAGCAGCAGCAGCAGCAACGCTATTATTCTACCTCCGATTGCTTTCTCGCTTAAAAATCTGCACCTGTATGCAGATTATTTAGTATCGCCAACAAGATACATGGAGCTAGAATCATTGCGTGTGTCGTTGCGACATCGAAATAGTCTCGATAAATTGTGTCATGGCCATCAACAACCCATGCCTAAAGTTCGCGAGGTGATGCTGGCAAATGCTGGGAAACTTCACCCTCAAAATATCGACGCGCTTTTCCGCGTATTCCCACAGCTTTTACGATTCGCAATCGAAGATGTCAAACATCCAATCGCGACTTCTCGTATGGTACAATCGACTTCGCTGAAACATCTCATAATTCGCGCCACGATAGATGATGATGATTATGAAAGGGACATGCTACTGCAGCAGCAGCAACAAGAGCAACAGCAACAGCAACAGTCGCCCTTACTTTTGGAGGTCACTGATGATAGTAGCGACGACGCTCACCCGCAAAGCCATCTATGCAGAATATTCATTGAAAACTGTCGGATGGAAGACGAGAATTTTGGACATATTACCTTCAACAGCGATTGTCTGACGCACATAAAGTTACACAACTGCCCTTCCCTGACTGACGAATGCATTAAACGGCTATGCGACGGTATGACACCTCTAGAGGATTTGGAAATAGTCGACTGTATTCACATTGGGAATCCAACCATTCGAGCCTTGACCGAATCGCCCATCATATGCACCCTCAGACGACTTCAAGTCCGGTCCAGCGGTCACCTCCAACCCATAGACGTGTTCGAGTTCATCAATGCCGCATCTTCCTACGAGCTTGAATATGTGGCAATAACAGGATACCCAGACATCAGCAGCTCATTTCTGGGACGATACTCAAACGCCGAGGGTGTCGTCTTGGATAAAGCAATAATATCAGCACTTGTACAACATTCTAAAGCCCCCAAAGACCGAATTTTGACTAGCAACCAAGTAGTTAAACTTGCCAGGGCGCTCAACCTGGATGTGCACCACTTGGAATATTTCTTGGATGAAATCCAGGTAATATTCTATGCTCATAACCTGCTATCATCATCATGGCCGAGAGATAATAACGGGAACGAGATGTCTTGTCTCTGTGTCTTCTTCTAATGATGTGAGAACCATCGTAATAGCTTGACGATGACAATGATGACACGAATTTTGTTACTTTAGCAACACAGACTACCGAGAGCATTGGAGCGATCGCACAAAACAGTAAATGATGATGTCGTATTTCTTTAAAACGCAAACCTCACATTGTGTACGCGTGTATGTTATATCTTACACCTTTTATATTAGCAACTTTACCACATACCCTGCCTGTCTACGACAATTGCACGCAACGGAACAGCAGTTGTTCAGCAGACGATCAACTGAAGTTTACGACTGTAGATTCAGATGAAAGTCAGCAGGATGACGACGACGATGACGACGATGATGTTGACGACGATGACGATGATGATGACGACGAAACTGGACCCTTCAAGTCTACCGATTACACGAATGACATTTATGAGGCACAAGGAGACAGCAGACAGCCATATCAACGGGAGATACAGCAAGTTCAACAAGAACCAAACAAAGACAAAGAAGATCAACGAATACTGCAGATACCATCTCAAAATCAATGTTGTAATCACTCTTATTCCCCTCCACAACAACAGCAACAACAGCAACAAGAGAATCTGCATCTGCATCAGCATGAAACACTGAATCAACATGCATATCAAAATCAACAACAGCAACAATTGTATCAAAATCAGCATGAGCATCAACAGCACAAGCATAAGCAGGAAACCCAGCTTCAGCAGGTTTATCAGAATCAACAGCAGCAGCAAAAACATGAGCAGACATATAATAATCAGCAACAGCAGCTATTGGAACAGCAGTATGAACAACAACAACAACTGCAGCAGGAGCGGCATAATTACTATCATGAACAAAGGGTAGAAGAGGAAAAGGAAGAAAACACTATCCACCTCAGCGATCTTGGTTATGAGGACGATAATGACAGCAGCTATAGCGGCGCAGATATTGGTGGCAGTAGCCATAGAGCTGACCTCGGAGGTTGGGATATGCCAAGTGATCTCTCCTGGCTGCAGAAGAATCCGGACGCAGCAGCTGCCAGTGACACGTCGACCAACAATTCAAATTCAATACCTCGACCACCTTCAAAACATACTTATGAACATGCATGGAAACAGATTGCACACGAATCGCCTGTTGTCACTGCTCAACAAGGGCGTCGTATACCTAACGTTGATACCGTCGATGGGTGGGGGACACCCAAAGATGTCATTCCATGGTCAGATGAACGCCTTGCCTATGCACACGATGTTCTTGAAGAACAAAAACGTACAAAATACTGGGGCAAGGCAGAAAATGGAGAATGGACTGAGCTGCCACCCAATACGCATACATCTCCTCCACCATCGTTTAAAAGCCGAAGCACCAACCCACCTTCCATGAACAACAAGCAACCGATACCAAGAAAGAAACCACATGCACCGGAAGTATTGCGTCGACCATCTACCAGCATGTCAACCCCACGACCTGGATCTGGACGCTATGGAAATACCGGCTCCACGCTGCAGCCACAGCAAGTATCGGCACGTAATAAAGATAATACGAGTGCTGGCAAATGGGCTGCGTTCTCGGCGCGCCAAGTGCAGCAATTTGAAGAGTCCAAAAAGAGAAAGCCACCTCAGTCTCAAGAAGTCGAACAACTCGAGGTCCCGGATTTAATCGAGTTCGACCCAAAAATTGGCGATATGGTGCAACCAATCCCAACGGCGTCTTCGCCCGCACTGAACAGTCAGTCTTCATCGCTATCGTCACCTCGACCATCAAATATCGAACCTCAAAACACTATATCCACGTCCCTGTTGATTGATTTATAATGAAGATATACCAAAAATGAGTTCGCAATCCCTTTTTTCGGGGAGAAAAGCATCCATCTACTTTACACGCTTTCGAACCGGCGATAAGATTAACTTAATTATCAGCGCCACTTTTTTGTTCGCTTTAATTAAAAAAAAAAATGGAAGATTTCCAGAAAGTCAATTATGACTGTATGTATAGAGAGGAAGGGAAAAGGTATGTTAAAGGGAGGAGGAAAAAATTCTATCAAAGGGAACATGCTCACGCCGAACAAGTGCTACTATCAACAAGCAACAACACTTCCCGAGCCAAAGTAGAGACCTTCGAAGATTTAATGACGTTGTCAGTCTTCATGTTATCCAGGGTGGTTTTGATCTCCAAAGCAGATAGCAGATCCGCCACGGATGATGACTGTGTAGGTGCCAAAAACAAAAATTTGGCAATAGCGGCTAGCAATCGATGGATCACCTCTTCATCGGTTTCTTTGGATAAATCATCCATGATGGCACTCACGATTTCGATTTGCCAATCATCGTCTTCTTGTTCAGCCATGCCTTCCAAATACCCGTCCTCCTTTTCCTTTTTCAATCGTTCATCGGCCACAGACGTTGAGCAGTTGAACGCCAAGGATGCCGCCGTTTGTCGTACTTGACTATCGGCTGATAACAAACTGCTCACTAACAGTTGCGTGAGAGACGCCCTCGATTCTGTTGCTGCAGGCAGTGTTGATGTGAAGTAGGTTGTAACGAGAATGCTGTGAGCAAACAAGTTGCACGCCTATGTATTGAAAGGTTTTCTTTTTAATATTATAGACATAATAATTCTCATTGGGTGCATAGACATGTATTCGAAAATCTTTTCTTACCACTCGCAAAGTCATTAGTAGTGTTGCCTTTGGGACATTCTCTTGCTTGTATCCGTTTTCGATTATGCGAATAAGCTGCGTACCTGATTAATGGTCTTGTGTTAATATCTACCATTAATACACTTGCATACATTTTGAAAACTTACAATCATTCATGTAATACTCGGCTGCAGTTTTGATAACGAGCAACGTTCTGAAGACATCAAGAAGCGGGAATTGGTGATCGAGAGGCAGGTTTTCGAGCAGCTTATCTAATAGCATATGCCAGTTCCATTTTAATCTACACTTTTCATAGGATCTCTCTCTTCTTCTGATGCATCAGTATCTATCACATTTAGTTACCTATCAAGGAGCTCCATCCAGCCATGTCTAGTGTAACTTTAGGATCCAATACTGCCTTTTTGCTTTGATCAAATATACTCCGTTCCTTGTCGTCCAGTTTGATCGCATCCTGATCCAAAAAGGATTCCAGCTTGCTGTAAATCATATCCACCTTTCCTGGTGTGCTGTATAACACCGGCTTATTAGGGAGATCCAAAACGCCTCGTAATTGGTGAATCTTCCGGTGTGGATGTGCTTTTCGTAATAAAAGAAAACAGTGTTACTTTGTATAAAATTGCTCCGAGTCGGTAATGTATCAATATAAATAGACCAAACTTACGAGGATATGCTGTAAATAAGAGTAAATTAACAGAGCTTGCCAACTCGGCATAACTGGCTCCTCGGAACTCAGAAAACTATGATTTAAAGTTGATAAAAGGTTCACACATCATAAAAGCCATACCTTTGTCCCATGATGTACCTTCTCGCCATTGTGGAAAAGCATAAAAGTGGGTGTTGCACGGATTCCAAATTTTTGAGCAGCATCAAATGCTATGCCTGTATCCACAGTAACCCCCATCAATTTTATTTTTGTACTGTTCGTATCGTTCTTGTCTTGCACGAGGCGCTCAAAATCGGGTTTGATCGTGCGACATGGAGGACAGGTTGCAGATGTAAAGAATACAACGACGGCTTTGCACGACTGGATCCAGCGTTGGAGTGTTGACAGGTTGGGCGCGGTTTGTAAAACAGATGGTTTTTGTTGTGGTGCGGCCGAAAGGGCAGCGGACGATACATCTTGAAGCATACTCTGTTGCGCTGCTGTCGGTGGAGGTGCTGCTGCCTGTGCTCCTGCTGGCGCAGCAGGCGGTGCAAGTTGTGATTGTCCAAACATACCCTCGATCATTGGGCGTAGCGATTGGCCGAAAGGTCTATTAATGTATAAAAATTATCTTATCAGAAAGCACGCTCTTCTTTTGGGACGACATGTAGTGAGAGGAAACGATGACATACGTGTTGAGGAAATCCGCTGGAAGATCAGTAATATGCTTTGGTATATTGCTGCCTGTTAAAAATTGACAAAGGCTATTGGAAAACGTATTGCAGTTGAAATCAAGCAAATGGTATTTTTCCGCCCTATAGAAATGGTTGGCGCATCGATACATCAATATCAGGTTCATGCTCACTCTATATGCCATTGATGTTATTGCCTTCTTACGTGAAAACACTTCGCTGACTTTCGATGTATTCGATCAACACTTCTTGAGGCAAAAATGTTTCCCCCATATCAATCACTTGCAAAGGTGGTCCGAGGTGAGTTTGGCCTTAGGAAAAATGGATAGTTTGAATGGTCATTCAGTCGGTTTTTTTTTCTTTCTATCGACACTTAACGAACCAACAAAGCATATCGCACAAATCATATCTTACCAGGAGGCGAAGCCAGAATTCCTTGGCCAAAGTAAAACTCTTGACCATATACTACTACGGCAGTATGCCAGATGCCATCTACGTAATTGACAAATATGCCATGATTATGAGCCTCATTACTTTTTCTACCAAAATCTCTAAAACATGTACAATCTTGTTCGATGACCTTACCAATCTGTCTTCCAGTCAATGACATTGACATTTGCCGTGCTAAACCATTAGACAGGTCGTAAACATACAACTTTACTGGTTCACCAGACATTGTATGCGTGTATGATAGTTTAGAAGAAAAGAGATATCGAGTGACTTTTCTTATTACGCGTCGCTTTTTTTCTCCTTTCTTGGAAGGCGCCCCACATGTTCCGGCCGCATCTTCTAGAACTTGCCATTTTCAGTGTATCATGGCACTTCATATGAATACTACTCGATTGTTGTTGTTACGCGGGCAGTTGATCCAATTTTTTTTGTACCTGAATATTGATATGGTACATGGTTGCATGATTTTGAAAATTAACAAAGAATTTCCTGTGTTGATTTCTGGTTGACTTTTTGCTGTAAATGACCACTTTGACGACATCACTGAAAGCATATCGAGTTTAATTGATAGACACCCAAATGATTTGATGTCATCAAGAGCACATCTTTGGAGGGCAGTCAGTTATATACGTGTTTTTAAATACATAGTGAATTTTTTTTTGGTACGAGTTGCTACATCTCACATTGTATTTTTGGCCCATCCTGGCCTGCGCTAATTTATGTCCTCAGGGAAATAGACCGGTTAGGTCATCCTGAAAACACCTATAATGACGATGACGAACCAGCTCCAGAAGCTGCATGAAAAGCTCCTCCACTGGCTACTCACAACCAAGAATATATGTAACTCTCGTATTTGTACTTTACGTCTATCGTGTATACCTCTCTTCTCTTCTTTTATCCCCCGCCCACCACACATAACTTTTTCCCCGCAGGGGTTTTTTCAATTATTGCACCCGCCCGTACATAATACAGAGATATGTATATATCTCACATCATTCTGTACCGCAAAGAAGCGACCACATGCCCATCGGCGCCGGTTCATTTTGTCTTCCACAATAGAAACTACACAAATTTTAACCTATTGTTGGCCCACGATAATAGAATAGTGCAACAACTATGTATTAATGTACATGACATGACTATGAACAAACTGTTCAGCAACACTTCAATATACGTTCCATACTATACCTACTTTTCAGCAGATATCTCGAATGGTATACTCTTATATCAAATGGCATCTTCATCGGGAACGCAGTATTTGATAAGTAATAGTTAGAAGCATAACAACCCAAATTAGTATTAATTTTTTTCTATAGCAACATCTGAGAGAGGGTGTATATTTGCAGATATGGATTGATCATTTATCACACGAGAATGTTGCTCAATCCAGTGAGTTGTACGAGGTTAGATTGACTAGTGAACACATACTTCATTTTGTTATGCTCGGTTGCCGCTCTTCTTTAGCTAGAAAAATAGCCATTTTAGATATACGGGAAGCTGAGGAATCGTCGGCCGGAAAGATCGGGTTGGCAAGGAAGGAAATTGTTTAAAAAGCCGACCTGAAACAACACGGGCCATATGCAACAGTGGGAAGTGCTTTTCTTATTTTCGATCTAGTAAAACACAAAAGGGTAAATGACAGGCCCTAGATCATCTGATCTTTTTGAGAAAGATTATATAGTTTTTTGTGTACGTGCATCTATCATTCGTGATTGTTGAGCAACGTAGTAATGTACCATAAACAGTGATTTGCAGGGACGCTCTGTGCAACAGGTCTTTATTTGCTTCTCAGCAAATTATCTGAGAAGGGCACATTGGGCGAGCGGGGGCAATATACAAACCCTTCTTGCCAAGAGATAAGCGTAGTCCTCATCAAAGGCACGGTCCATTTTCTACCATTTCAAAGTAAGTAGTATAAGAGATAATAGTAAATTGCCAAAGATAAGATCAGGTAAAATTGGCTATCAAAGGGTGCCAAAAAGAGATAATAAGTACTATTGTGAGTGCGTGGGTACAGAGAAAAAGAATGTTGGAAGGCGATAAGAGAGATATGCTGTCTACACAATGTACTACCGATCTTCGCGAACACAGCAAACCTCGCCGCTTCCCTTGTCAGACCTTGCGCAAGATTTATGTTGCTTCCAGTCGGAGATAAGCTTGCGATATATATTTTACCCAAGCATGCGCGTGAATGTTTAGAGTATTAGGGTAGCAGATTTACATTGTGCAGCACAGACACATAACCAACCAAACATGAGGGCATCATCGAAAAAAGAATGGAATTGCGGCTTTTTCGATAAACCAAACACAGCAAAGGTTCAACGGGGTACACGGACAAATCACTTATCATTGGTTTGTCGGAGAGCGATGACATGTCGATTGAGACAAAAGACAGCACCTCTGGAAGGAAAAGTTTTCTGAGTAGTAAAACATTGAAAAAAGGAGCGCTACGAGCCTTCATTCGCATACTTGGGTTTTTTGTTCCTCCACAACTTCTTTTTTGTGACCAAAAAAAAAAAAGAGGGTAACCTCCCCTCTCTTACCTTATATAAACTCTTGTTACAACAACAGCAACAAAACCAACAACCCTTTATTTATTAACGACGACAAGACGAAAAGAACAATGACTTGGGTCGATACCGTTAACAACAGTGTCGCCAAGTCTAAAGTTGGCCGATACTTTCAGCTTGAAGGCTCCGGTGCCTACCGAGAACGTAAAGGCACCCGTTTCTTGACAGAAATTAGAGCCGGCCTTACCACCTTCTTTGCGATGGTACATACAACCGACTACTACGTGTCTTGTGCCTTAACTTCTGCCATTTGACGATAACTCATACATAACGATGTTGATTTCTTTAGGCATACATTATTTCTGTCAATGCCTCCATTATCAGCGAAAGTGGTGGTAATTGTGTCTGTGACAGCACGCCCGAAGATCCTGTTTGCGACAACAATGCCGAATATTCGAACTGTATTTTCTCGTTAAAGCTGGACATGATCATGGCCACTGCTATTATTTCCATGATCGCTTCAGTTCTCATTGGCGTCTTTGCAAATCTTCCGCTCGGCCTTGCTCCTGGGTAAATATTAAAAATTTGCCAGAACATTTGGTTAGCACCAAGTGTTTGCTAACAACGACCTTCAATTATTTGTGTTCTTAAAATCATATAGTATGGGTCTTAATGCCTACTTCACTTACAACGTTGTCGGATACCACGGTACTGGTGGTACGCCTTATAAGGTTGCATTGGCTGCTGTCCTTATTGAAGGATGTATTTTCTTCCTCATGTCCGTATTTGGTATCCGTCAATGGCTTGCACGAATCATACCCATGAGTATCAAGGTTGCCATGGGCTGTGGCATCGGCATGTATCTGTGCTTTATTGGTCTACAATCCTCTGCCGGTATCGGTCTTGTTGGGTTGGATACCTCAACGTTAGTTTCCTTGGGTACGTTAGCTACAACTTCTCTCATTGCAATATCTTCCATATCTTCGACTAATTACGAAATGATGTGTCCTGTAGGTGCTTGTCCTGATTGGGCCAAGGATGAAATGGGTGCATGTACCGGCCATACTATGGAATCGCCACATACCTGGATGGGTATCCTTGGATTGATTATCATGGTTATATTGATGATGTATCGCATTCCCGGTGCTATTTTGATCGGCATTGTGTTCATCTCCATCACCTCCTGGCCCCGTGTAAGTGCCGTTACCTACTTCCCTTACACTGAGAGCGGTCAAGCCATGTTCGATTATTTTAAACAGGTCGTTACGGTTCATTCACTGGACAAGTATGTCATAAAGTTTCATTGTTTTTGTTATTACGATGGGACACGGAAAATTGACACGCGTATTTTTTTTTATAGCATTCTGGCACAATTCGAGTTTGATCTTACTTCTCGAGAGATCTGGATCGCATTGATCACCTTTTTGGTAATAATCTTATTAAGCGAAGAGGATGTACAGAACTTTAAACTCACATGTTTGGTCCACTTTGTGTTACATAGTATGTCGATATTCTCGATACTACTGGCACCATGTATTCCATGGCTCGCTATGGTGGTTTCACCGACAAAAGTGGTGATTTCGAACACTCGACTTATGCTTTCTTGTCTGACGCAATCAGTGTCATTGTTGGTGCCTGCTTCGGTAGCTCGCCCTGCACAGCGTATGTCGAATCCGGCGCTGGTATCGCCGAAGGTGGCCGTACTGGTATTACAGCCATTACCGTCGCGTTTGGCATGTTTATCTCCATTTTCTTCTCGCCTATCTTTGCGTCTTTCCCTCCATGGGCCACCGGAAGTGCCTTGGTTATCGTAGGCAGCATGATGCTTGCCGGTGTCCGCAACATCAACTGGGATTATCCTGGTGATGCTATTCCTGCATTCATCACCATCACTGTCATGCCATTCACCTATTCGATTGCATACGGTCTTATTGGCGGTATCATCAGCTACGTTATTATCAACGGTGTCATTTATCTCATTGACAAGGCAACATTCGGCCGCATCCGTCCTGACTATTCGCTGCGCGAAAACTGGTGGACTGCCGCTTTCAGTCGCTCATTCATGCCTCACTGGATGCGCTACCTCTGGTGCAAGGCTCGCGGTAACCCTATCCCATGGCGCATGGATGACCATGACTTTGATTCTGATGACGAAAAGGAGGAAGATCAAAATCCTTCTGCAGTTATTGTCGGTGGCGATAGTATTAACGATGGTTTGTCTACTAATGACATGTCGGTTCTTAACCATCAGCGGTACCGCGAAAAGGGCGAGCTGTATGAGCCGTAAAAAAAGCATTATTTCAATTTATTCTAGATGTAGATGTATCATTTGTTACCCTTTTTTCCCCTCCTCCTACCTTGTCTCGTCTTCTCGTTCCTTTTCTCGTTCCTAATGTATTTCTTCCATCTCACAAACCCTCCCAATTCTTTATTTTAAATTATATTCACATAATTTCATTTTCATGTAAAAATAAAACGTATATGTAATTACAAACAAAAAGAAATGATATGGTCTTTTAGCGTGGTATACCAGACTAGGTGGATCAACAGGGATTTACGGTTGCTTTTTTCATATACACAACAGGCAAATATTGTTCTATAAAACTGGACGGCAGTACGAATGTGCTTTCTGCTGCCGTTGTTTATAGACGAGTGTTTTATGCAGACACCCGCTATATTCACGGTCTTGGTGTCACAATCTTTGTGGTAAATTCAATGTGGTCAGATAGTAAACAAGAACATATCTTTACTAAGCAGTAGCCTTTACAGTCACCGTGCGACATACGCAATAAACAGAGAAAAACAGTTGTCAAATGGGAACCCATAATATCGCACCATCTAAAATACTGTAGAAGCAGGTAACATATTCAATGCATTTTAAAACCTTGTATTTAACAATATAACAAGAAATTTATCTTCTTGGTGATTTATTGTAGCAGCTCGACTGGTATTTCCTTTTATTTATAGCTTTTACAACCTGGCAGTAGCAGCCGTCGAACCATCGGCCGCACCCAGTTCTTCATAAAGTTCAGCGATTTGTACTTCATAGTGCTTCCGTGCCTGCGGACGCTTGACTTTAAGAGTAGGAGTCAACAAACCGTTATCAATGGAGAAGGGGTCTGTCACCAAACGGATGGCCTTTGCAAACTCGAAACCACGCAGACCACCCTTCTTGCCAACTTGCGTCAACAGATCCAACACTGCCTTGGTTACTTGCTTGTTGTTGCAAAGCTCGTGGTAGCTTAAACCGGATAACGAAGGAAGCTTAGATCGGACCAAATCAGCCAGTCCTTCTGGATCAGGGACGACGATGCCAACCAACGAGTGATGAAGCGAGTCGCCGTGAAGATAAAATTGGGCGACAATAGGATGCTTGGCGTATATGTTTTCAATCTTTTCAGGTGCAATGTATTCACCCTGGGCCAGCTTGAAAATATTCTTCTTTCTGTCGATCAAGATAAGACTGCCACGCTCGTCGAACATGCCCACATCACCCGTATGATACCATCCTTCATCGTCGAATGCTTCGCGCGTCTTTTCCTCGTCCTTATAATAGCCCTTGATTACATTGTGTCCACGGATACACACTTCACCACGTGGGTTCGGCTTATCGGTCGACAAGTAGTCCATCTCAGGTACATCAATCAACTTGAGCTCGTTACATCCAGCAGGGCGACCAACATGGCCAGCACGGCTATCAGCGTGCATGGTCATAGAGCAGACAGCGGCAGTCTCGGTGGCACCATAGCCTTCACGGATATCGCAGGAAAAGACAACACGCAAGAACTGCAGTACATCAACGCCAATAGGTGCAGAGCCACTAATAATATAACGCACATTGCCACCAAGCACCTGCTTGTTGATCTTGTTGAACAAGAGGCGATCCAAGACTGGATGCTCATAGCCACGTCCTTCTTGCAAATTCTTGAGCTTGGTCTCGATAGCCCATCTTAATAAAGCGCCTTTCGGTCCTGGTTCCTGAGCAACCTGGGCAATCTTGGCATAGATACGGTTCAATAAGCGAGGTACAGCTGGGAATGTCGTAGGCTTCAGAACCAGCATGTCCTCCATCAAGGTTTCTACGGTGCCGCTAAAGAAGCCCAAAGAGCCGCCGCCACAAAGGAGGACCAAATCAACCAGACGACCGTAGATATGAGCCAAGGGAAGATAGCACAATTCGACATCTGTTGGCAAAGTTGGGTTGGCCTGGACCGAACCGCTTACAGCAGCAATCAAGTTACCGTGTGTCAGCATGGCACCCTTAGGCATGCCGGTCGTACCACTGGTGTACATCAAACAGGCCAAATCGTCACGCTTTGCATGTCTGTGAGGCAATGGGTTTCGCTTGCCACGCTCCTCAATTTCAGAGTATTGGACCACCTTGACGCCCTTTTCGACGGCCCATCCCGTAATAGCACGCTCCTCCTCGGCATTCAAAAACGGATCCAGGCACAGGATAGCCTTGAGCTGTGGGATCTTTTCGCGAAGCTTCAAAAGATCCAACACGTGGTCCTTGGAACATACCACCGTTTCGATTTCAGCGTGATTGATCACATATTCCACCGTCTCGGGACCCAACGTATCGTACAACGCAACAATGTACTCGTTGTATGCGGCACAGCCAAGTTCGGCAATATGCCATTCTGGACGGTTGACAGACCAAATACCCAGTGGGATTTGGTCAAGTCGGGTATACTGCAAATCGTTTTTGAAAAAGTCCAACAGACCACTGCCGAACCAAGTAATGCGCTGATTTACTTGTTCAAAGGTTTCCCACTCGTAGTGATCGGCGCGTTTGCGAGTGACAGGGTCAATAATGGGGCGAATGCCCATGCACTGTCTGTCTTTGGAGACTTTGTAACCTGAATACCAACATTGACAGAAAGAAGAGCGTCAGACGTTTTTACTTTTTGCTAGTCTTTGATATTTTACACTTATGACATGCTAAAGTAAATTACCATGGTAGAAAAGGTCATAGATATTGTTGATTCCGGGCGTAAAGGTCTCGAGAAGGTCAGGGAAAGCAGCATTACGGCGTACAGCTAAACAGCGCACATTGAATTAATAAGACTCAAGTTGTTCCCCCTCCCCCCACAATAATGCTGCAGATGATGCGTGACACACATACCACTTCCGCCAGGTGCAGCATTTGGCAGTGGGATCGTTTGTTTGTTAAGGTCGCCGTCTTTTTGCATGGTGTACGAAGGTTGGTGAAGGAGAACTGGTGTATATGTGTATGGAAAGAGGTGTGTGTGTGCAAACAGGAAAAAGGGAAAGGAAACAATGGAACCAAGACGTATTATATACGGTGCTGGCGGGGGCAAGCAGTAGTTATGGATTAGTAACATTTGCGCGACCATCGCTAATGACTCCAATCGTGCGAAAAATTCACTAGTTGAATGAAAATAATGAGCTGAACGAAATATCAGCATCCGTTCCTTATTATTTATTTTATCCTCATCTCTAGTTTCCGTATGCTCAAATGCGAGGTTACGGATGACGACTCTACAGCAGCATAACCATCATGGCATCTATCTCTTTCATTGATTTAAGGCGTATACTTTGCAAGGGGTATAGTAAGATATCCAAGCAACCCTTTTTTTCACTCCCAGATATGGGAGCACAGCAGTAAGGGCTCTTTCGGGATTATGTAAATCTTCAACAGCATTAGACACGCTTCGTCCAAACTCGGGTGTCTCTAAACCTGATATCAGCGCATATAAATTCATGAATCTGTACTATCGGCCATCATCCATTCAAAGCGGTATGTCTTGTGTTGTCTTTCTTCTTCGCTTGTAATGATATGATGCATAGCATATCTGTATGCGGGTGATTGTGGGGTACAGCACTTCTCCGCTACCCCGTTTCTCACGCTGACAATTTCCATTACAAAATCCTATCACACAAGTTCTCGTTTTCTTTCACTAAACAAGCAAATATGTGTGTTCCCTCATCGACAAACACATTGCCACTTTATCCACACACTATCTTTAATTTAACGTAATTCTTTTTTATGTGATGAGATTCGATGTGCTGGGCCGAATGCCCGGAATAATTGGTCGAAGCGAGAACAATGTAACCATTGCCTTTTTACGGTCTCCCTTCTTCGGTACCTTTTTACCTTATTTGGTATTTTCGCATGTTCATCATTGGGCCTGTAAGACATGTCTGGGCTTAATAACAGTAATTTTGAATAAAAAAGTAACAACCCATAAAAATACCCAAGAGTACTTACGGCTTTCTACGCACACTGCTTACAGGGTACATCATCCTCACTAAACGGTAATACATAAAGGGTTTAGTCGTTGATAAGAAATTGTCGTCGTGCCAGGTGCACTTACCTAAGTGAAGGCGCCGCCGGGCAACGCAGGACTCAACCAGAGCCCTGCTCCTTACTAGTGGGCTATGCAACCGATTATAACAACGAAGAAATTTATCAGAACTGATAATTCTCGCACGAATGACAACTTCTCACAGCTTCACAGCATAAAAGCACAACTCACATGGCGCTACCCTGTGCAGGTCAGTGCCCGAGAAAGAGAGAAAGAGAGATAGAGAGACAGAGACAGAGAGAGAGAGAGACAGAGCGAGAGACAAGACTACAAAGAAAAAAGCGAAAAGAACGTTAAATTATTAGTTGCAAATAAAGAATCACCAATCGTGAAGATCAAACAGCAACTGCAATGACAGAATGTTGATGAATGCATACGTACAAAAGGCCAAAAACACAAAAAAATAATGCGGGGCAAGCGCGAAGAAAAGCAGAAAGAAAAGCCAACGTCGCGATGAGTTGTGCAGTATGCTACTTATATAATCTTTTTGATCATATCAATCAGAAGATTTCACTAGTGTCGTCAGCAGCATGTTTCATCAATGACCACTGCTGGTAAATAGAGAATGGACTCCTTTTTATCGCACACAAAAAGATCCCTTTATCTTAAACACTGCTTCTTTTGACAGAGCATACTACTACTTAGTCTACCATACAAACATTCTATCAGTGATCAAACAAAACGTAAGTGATTAATCGTGTATCAGTTATGTCCAAATTCATTACGCATTACAAAATAAAGGACCTTGTATAAACAAATGGCATTGCATGAAAGTAATGTCCTTGCACCTATGACCCTTTTTGTAACCCCTGCAATTATTGTCGTTGATATTATGAATTTTGGTTCTTTCAACTAGAGACACTACAATGGCATATGATGGTGATACGACGCGATCAAGTTAAATATACAGCAATGTCATGCACCAGTATTTTGAAGTGTTATACAACCTTCTGATTGGCCAAATTGTAAGCCCAGGAACTTCATCATTGTCCCCCGCTCCCGAGGAGCATAGATTATACTGGCATTATGCCAGTAGGATATCTTATGCGTCGTTGCACATTAATGTACTCAGAGCTATCATCGATAATTTCGCCATTTTTGGATTGGCAAGAAGAACAACAAAAGAAGCCGTCGATATTATATTATCGTATTGGATCTTTCAAAGAAGAATACATCCTTACGTGCAACGTTTATGGAACTCTGTCGTAGAAGGTTGAGATGCTACCAACCTAATACCCGTTACGCTTTACCTTGTCGCAAAGAGGAGATACTGTCTTATACACCTGCAATTGTTCACTTGCTCTCATTGATGGTAAAAGGGCAGTGTAGTGGTGACGCAGAGGCTATATTGTTTAATGGTTTCGTTTTGCTCTTTTTTATTGAGAACAAGGTAACCCAGGTTGGCGCGTAAACTTTCGGCGGTCGAATATCGTTTGAACAGGCCCATGTCTCGTCCTTTTTCCAAGCAGTATGATATTTCCATTTCATTGTTTTAGTAGTACGGCTGGCATAGCATTCCTTGACTAACGCCTTTTCTTGTTCCAGCTCTTGTGACGTGATCCGGATGTCTTACGAAGGGTGGTCCAAGGGCAGGTTTTCTGGCATTTCCAATGATGATTCTCTTGAGCACACTTTCTGGCTAGTGGCAGCGATGCTGATGTTGATGGTTGTTCGTTTAGTGCTCGTTGCGCACTTACTTGAGTTCCTGAGGTATCGATAGCAGTAGGGTGAGTTTCTTGTGACGTTGATGGTGACTCGCTGGAAGAAATGCCTGCAGTAGTATTCTATCAGAATAAGCATCACATAATGACTTTATCTTTTTCGATCCGAATAGACCCCTTCCAGACTTACGTTCACCATAGGTGTACCCGTTGTTTCTTGAGCTGCTAGTTGTTGTTGCCCTTGCTGCTTCGAAGAGAATGTCGCTGATCCTTCCGTTTGCATTCGTTTTGGGTTTTTTCCTTCCAATAAACACGCTAAGGATTTCATAAAGAGTATTAGTAAATGTTAGTATGTGTCTATCACCTTAGTAGCAAAAAAAAGTGATACTATTTCTGCCCTGACTTGCCTGTGCTTTAGTTTTCTGACTGGCTCGTTTTGGCGCCTTTGTCATTAGAGCCGTCTGTATGTTCCGGAATTCGGCCTGGCGAGCGCGCTTCTGGCCTACACGATCCGTTGTTGCTGTTGGCTCTTTTTATGTTTGGGCCTCAGCGGCAGTAGTAGTAGTAGTAGTAGTAGTAGTAGTAGTAGTAGTAGTAATAGCGACAGCGAAAGCAGAATCATCTCCAGCCGAAAGCGAGAACAACGGTGTGTCTACCATAAAATATAAACAGTAACATAAGCATTGTATTCTGCAGTTACTTTTACTGTTCGATTCAAACAGTGTACTTTGATTCTTACCCAGCGTATTGAATTCAACTGCATCAGTGGTTTGGTACTTTCTGGAACCTCCAACAAACGATACGACACTTTGGTCTGAGAATGGATTGATCAAAGAATATTAACCACTGTTGCACTGTCTAGGTTTTATAAGGTAGAAAAAGACGCGTAACCGTGTGCATGTATCTTGTAATCAATGGTTGATAATAATAATACCTGTATCCCAGAATGCGCTGAAAGATGGGGCGTTGAGCTCAAACCCTGTTAAAGTGTTCTGCTCATTATTCCACTTATAGCGTTACTCGATGGAGAATGGAAGAAGAGGTAACAGCTCTGCTGCTGCTGCGGAAACAATAGACCAGCATTGCTATATGAACAAAACAACTAATATACAGCTACACATATTACTACACAGGTACACTATAGTTTAGTATGAGAAAAATGTTTTTAGAAGTTATATACTGTATAAATATTATTAAAATGGAGAGCGACGATACGATGTGAGATGGTGATAATATAGAATATGTAGTTTTCTATTGAAAAAGCGTGTCCAAAAGCGTATCCATTCCATTCGATTCTAAGCGACGAATATAATGCTTATCAGCTTTATGTCATAACATACAATACTTCTATAAAGGATGCTCTTACTGGAGGACACGCAGGACATCCGTATTCTTCTTTTGCCCTTTCATTTTTTGATACCAGTTCTTCTTCTACTAGCGTGGTAATCTCTAAATACTTAAAGAACGCATGGTCGAGATTTTTACGCAACGTTTCATCCTTCTATAACACATCGTAATTAATCGCAATTAGAGTGCCGTTTAAATCATTGTATGATTGTTCCTCGTGCGTTAATAACACGAAAATCATGAACGTGAGATACGGTGCTTCCAAATGCTTGGACAGCTGTGTGTCCAAACCTTCGAAGCGTCGCGTAAAACTCCAAAACACAAAGGTGAAACGCCATTTCTGGCTGCGTAGGTGATGCTGCAAGCAAATGATGTCTCATAAGGTACAGTATACTGGTTCATCCGGATAACATTGTTTGCAATGAATGAGCGTTTCCTTTTGTATACCTACATATCGGAACGATTATTTAGTTGTAATGACTGGATGATGTGGAACATATAGCATACTGATCATATTCACTCTGTACCAGTCGTGTACACGCAATCAACATTACGCGTCACTATTTAGGTTTGGCACATCCATTACAAGGTTCTACTGCGGTATTGAGGTTTGTCGCTTTGTACTGTGGACCGTCGCCCCCAAAACAGACAATATAAGCTTGTATAAGCTTTGGCATTAGTTCTCCCTAAGCTTCCTTGGCTCTCTCTACGCGGCCTTGATTGGTACGTGTGGGTGGCGAAGTGAGAGGAATATTCTGTCACTGTCGTCATAACCGTCATACTCCGCTGCATACAGTAATCATCCCACGCAAACGCTAAACGACATTACTGTTAATAATTAGATGTTACATGAATGATATACACATGCATCATACCATCTTGACTTGTCGTAGGTCTAGAAGAGGTCTCAGTGCGAGGTCGTTTCTCAGCGCTCACATATGCAGTTTGCACATCGTCTGGCTGTGCGCGTCGCTTACTCACCGGAACAAGAACTGGCTTCCCTTTCTTAAGCACTGCGTCACCGTTTTTGTTTCATTTTTGCTCGTACCCAGTGCTGAAATTCTCAGGTTAAATTTCATGATCCTTATATTTGATTGTATATTGTAACTTTTTAGGTGGCATTGCGATAAGGGAAGAGGATCAGATAGTAAAAAAGTAAAGATAGTGGAAAAGAAGCAAGAAAAGGGTGTAGCATACAATTTATTGACAAGCTATCTAAAGACTGAGAGGAACAAAAAACTCATTTATTCTGTTTCATCTACCTCGTGAACAATAACTTGTTTAAATATGATGCTCACATCAACGTCGAAATCTGCTCCTCCATACAATCCATCAAATACGTTTACAAATACGTTTATAAAGGCCACGATCGTGCATCTGCTGTAGTGTCACAGCGCCAAACGAGTAACAACAATGATGAAGGTGAACCGATAGACGAGATCCGCACCCACCTCGACGCTCGCTATGTTTCCGCTTCGGAGGGTTGCTGGCGTTTGTTTTCGTTCTCCCTCCTGCGCACCAGCGTTTGGCCGTCCACTTAGAAGATGAACAAACTGTTCATTCTGATGAGGATGATACTCCAGGGAACGTGATCGAAGGCCGTGTCCATGAAACAACTTTGACAGCATGGTTTCAGTACAACCAAGAGAACCCAGACGACACCATTGCCGCTAACCTTCTTTACGTCAATTTCCCGGAACAGTTTGTATTTGTTCAACGCACACGTCGCTGGAAAATACGTGAACGAGGATTTGGTGGTACGATCGGTCGTGTCTACGTTGTTTCCCCCCGCGAAGTTGAGAAATTCCATCTTCGACTTTTGCTGTATTATGTTGCCGGTGCCACCAGCTTTGAATTTTTGCGGACAGTAGACAATGTATTGATGCCATCATTCCAGGCAGCAGCACGAAGACGTGGCCTGTTGACGGGACAAGAAGAATGGCATCAATGCCTTAATCAAGCTTAAACGTATCAACGATCTCATGCTCTTCGCCGCCTATTCGCAGTCATTGTGGCTTTCTGTCAACCCGAAGATCCACATGATTTATGGCTTCGTCATCGCGATAGCATGGTTGAAGACTTTCTGTACACTGCTCGCCAAGATTTAAACGATCCAAATTTGCCCATCACGGATGCCATTGATGACCAAGGCCTCTTGGATATTGAATTAGTGCTCTCTGGATTGTCAAGATCGCTTCTTGAATTTGTTGATCCGTGAGCACCGTCGACTTGCGGAACGACTTGCATTGACGCCTGCTGCTCAACAAGACTTCAACGAACATCAGCAATCTGTTTTTGATGCAGTCAATGCATCTTTACGCCAAGTGACAAATCAGCCAAAGGTGCATTTTGTGGATGGCCCTGGTGGTACTGGCAAGACATATCTTTTCAATGCACTCCTTCAACATGTTCGTCGTGGCGGAGATATTGCGCTCGCTGTAGCTACAAGTGGTACTGCCGCTTTGTTACTCGATGGTGGACGAACTGCACACTCAACGCTCAAAATACCTTTAGAGGTCAACGAAACAACAGTGTGTAGCTTTACTTCACGTTCCGATACCGCGCAGCTTATACGTTTGGCAAGATTGATCATCTGGGATGAAGCATCTATGATCAGTAAAAGCGTTATTGAGACTGTAAACAGGAGTATCCAAGATCTCATGAGATACGACGATCCCGCGCTTGCCGATGTTCCATTCGGTAGAAAAAACATGGTCTTTGGTGGAGAATTTCGCTAGGTATCCAACATTGTATCCTCTCTTCTACTTTGCATGTTTTTTACTATTAGGCGGTAGTACTCACAGTAAAGTATTGATATGCGTGGGTTCTGGCCCTTACCTTCATGATGTTTGCAAAGTGTGCGCTCACTCTATGGAAATTAGTTATCCTAACAACAGGACTTTGGTTTATTAATTTTTTTTTAAAAAAAAAAGTTCCTTTTAGGAGAAAAGAAGAAGGTTGCGACATGGGATATGATAGAATGCGCTTCACTTTACGCAGTCTAATGGTCTTGTTGTTGCTATGAAGAAAATGTCAATAAAACGGCAGTGAGACGCTTGATACTTTGTCTTTTGAGATTATAAGTTTTCTTTCAAATAGCCTAATTCAGTAACACGAGCGAAACTTCTTGGACACCCATTTTGTTCCGATCGGATGTAATAAATATTTTAAGATGCTGAGCAAACGCGGGAGTTTGAAGGAAATGCGCTCGTTCGTTTGAAAGTATGAAATATTTACTTGTGCTCAGATTATATACAGTCTTTCCGGAAAGTAAAGTGAATTCATGTCGTACTGGCCCAAGAGTGAATGTCGCGAGTTCTAAAAATAAATGCCGCCAAGCTGACAAATCAGATGTCGTATTTTCAGGATGTGTCGTTGCACAAACCTTAGCGTCCTCTCGGACTATATAAAACGCACCAGGATTATTCACCTCAGATTTTCTTCTTTTACCACAATTACACCGGAACCTCTTGTCATAATGAGCATTCAATTTTTGTACGAAGATGGAAAGGGAACAGTTGTCTATGAGTATGGCAGGCCCGAGCCTATGGATTATATTGTTGATGAGGAGCAGTATCGTCTTGAAACATTGAGCTCGTATACACAGTATTTGTCTAAACTGCGTCAAGAAGATGAGACAGAGGCCATGCAGATAGAAGATAGCGTAGAGCCTGAAACCGACGTTGCAATGAGAGAAACATCGATCAAGCGTAATTATACACTATACACTGATCAGGATAAAGTGAGATTCTTCAAGCTATTGTTTGAAAAGTGTCTGGACGCTTCTACCGCTGCAAAACAGTTGGGAATACACGTTCGTACGGCACAAAGATGGGCGAAACAGTATGAGAGAGACCCTAATAGCATCTTCGAGAAACGTCAGAAGACTGGTCGACCACGTCTTCTCAATGAGGAGCACATAAAAAGGTTATTCTAGATTGTATTGATGAGAACCCATCAACCGTCTTGGAACAGGTGATGGAACAACTGAGGCAGGTATTCACGGGACTCAAGGTATCCAAGAGCACTGTACGATTTTATAAGAAAACATTGCAATCTATCTCTCAAAAGAGCTCAGTTTCAGCCTGTAGACAGGAACAGCGAAGAAAAAATCAAAGAGCGCCTGGATTGGATTCGTAAATGAGAGAAACTGACATGGACTTTATGAGAAACTGCGTCTTTCTAGATGAATCTGCCTTTCATATTAACATGAAACGTAGTATGGCCTGGTCAAAGAAAGGCTCACCCGCAGTGGTCAGAGTGCCCAAAACACGAGCACAGACAACTACCATCTTGGGTGCGATTTCTGCTGCAGGCTTGATTAAATGCAGCCTGAGACTTCCGCAACCGCCAGCAAATAAGAAGAGAAAGCGAGGAGATGACGCTGTGCATACGAGCAAAGGGACAGTAACAGGACATTATATTAGTTTTCTAAAAGCTGCAATGGATGAATGGACCAGTATTCGCACATGAAGGGCTATTATCTAGTCATGGATAATGCCCCTATCCATACTTCTGAAGATATAGCCAGATATATCATATCCCGAGGTTACCGCTGTGCTTATTTGCCTTCATATTCTCCTGAGCTTAATCCAATCGAGCACTTCTGGTCAGTTGTTAAGAGTAAAGTAAAACGCAACAAGTTCCTGGAAAAGGAGACGTTGATGACGAGAATCAGTGAGGCTTCTAATAGCTTGAAGCTGAGTGACTTTAAAGGTTTTGTTTGGCATTCTCACAAATGCTTAGATAAATGTCGCAACAGAGAGCAACTTTAACGTATGTGGTTTATTCAGAAGAGGATCGTATAACAAACACATAAAATGAATAATTCAGGTAGCTAGGTTAAAAAAAGGATGACAAGAATGGGATATACAAAAGCAATTCATGATTTTAACGATCTTTCAATGGGAGCCGGGCGAGAATCAAATTGCTGTAGCACTAATATATCTGTAAGAAGCTGCTCTCTGGTGAAAGTGTAAGTTTGATTGAGGGCCTCTATGTTGTCAATCAACACAATCTTTACAATTTCGTGATCCCTATATAGAGCACATTAAACTCACATAGAGTACATTAAAATATACTTGTACCATACGATTCAACTTACCGAAGCCACTGGATTAAGTCATTTGTATTAGTAGTTAGTCCGGCAAAATCAATTGCGACAATCGCGATTGGCTTGCTGGTGGTAGACAAAAGTCGCAACAGGTCTATATTGCATGTTAGACTAAGCAAACGCGTTAATTTTTTTTTATTTGTATATAATACCTTGTGTGTTTCCCGAAGTCTTTGGCACATGGATGGGATCGGTTCTGTCACGGTCTGCAAATGGTTGCTTGGATGTAGAAGAGTACGACGCGAACACCATGTCCACAGAAGAATCTTTGATCAGTCTATCCACCATCGAATCCAAGAGTCGAAGTCTCGTACTTGCATCCTCCTTTCCTGGTGATTTGCGTACGTAGCCAATTACTTGATATTCATCCTTTTTTAAGTCTTCAATTCGCGCTTTGTGTTCTCGGCCCACATTCAACATCTTCTTGGCTATCGGTTCTGCATATAAATATATAAATATATGAATATACGTTCACGTGCTGCGAGAGTATACTTACCCCGGTATCCTTTCTTGAGTACCCAGAGCAAACGACGCCTTGTCTTTTGTTCATTTTTTTGATACTTGCGCTGTTGTTCGACACTGACAAAGTTAAGTTTGGCCGTTCCACACCAAGTAGAAAACGATTTCACGGACTTGTCATCAAACAGATCTGTGATGAGGATTATTTCTGAATAAATTTCCGTCATTGACATTAGCTTGCTCTCGAAAAGTTCTTGATCAGGTGGTGTACTAGGTAGATACACTTGATTCATATAATCAATAACTTGGCTGTGGTTTTCTAGTAAAGTTATAAACATTAATACATGGTGTGTGCCATGATTTGCCAAAACAATATTCATAATCACTTACTAAGTATCACTTTATCCACAGATGTCTCTGGTTCTGGATGGTCATTGGCATAACGATGATAATAAGCTGGGTTGCCATTGATCTTCACTTTTGTTTGCAGCATCGGTTTCCTTGGATCTTCGGCGTAGCATATATCCAACCCACAGAGCGAATCAAGTTTCACTGCGAGTCTTTTGGCAGCTTCATCAGTAATTTCTTCGTTGTAGAAGATGCACAGAGCATTGTTCCGGGAGACATTTGTCATAGAAGGTATCGATGAAGGTTGGTCAATAAAAAAAAAGGTTGGTCCACGAGAAAAAGGTTGGTCCACGATAAGAAAGGTTGGTCCACGAGAAAAAAGGCTGGTCCACGAGAAAAAAGGTTGGTCCACGATAAGAAAGGTTGGTCCACGAGAAAAAAGGTTGGTCCACGAGAAAAAAGGTTGGTCCACGAGAAAAAAGGTTGGTCCACGAGAAAAAAGGTTGGTCCACGATAAGAAAGGTTGGTCCACGAGAAAAAAGGTTGGTCCACGAGAAAAAAGGTTGGTCCATGATACGAAAGGTTGGTCCACGATAAGAAAGGTTGGTCCACGATAAGAAAGGTTGGTCCATGATAAGAAAGGTTGGTCCACGATAATAAGAAAGGTTGGTCCACGAGAAAAAAGGTTGGTCCACGATAAGAAAGGTTGGTCCACGAGAAAAAAGGTTGGTCCACGATAAGAAAGGTTGGTCCACGAGAAAAAAGGTTGGTCCACGAGAAAAAAGGTTGGTCCACGATAAGAAAGGTTGGTCCATGATAAGAAAGGTTGGTCCATGATAAGAAAGGTTGGTCCATGATAAGAAAGGTTGGTCCACGAGAAAAAAGGTTGGTCCACGAGAAAAAAGGTTGGTCCACGAGAAAAAAGGTTGGTCCACGATAAGAAAGGTTGGTCCATGATAAGAAAGGTTGGTCCATGATAAGAAAGGTTGGTCCATGATAAGAAAGGTTGGTCCACGAGAAAAAAGGTTGGTCCACGAGAAAAAAGGTTGGTCCACGATAAGAAAGGTTGGTCCATGATAAGAAAGGTTGGTCCACGAGAAAAAAGGTTGGTCCACGATAAGAAAGGTTGGTCCATGATAAGAAAGGTTGGTCCACGAGAAAAAAGGTTGGTCCACGATAAGAAAGGTTGGTCCATGATAAGAAAGGTTGGTCCATGATAAGAAAGGTTGGTCCATGATAAGAAAGGTTGGTCCACGAGAAAAAAGGTTGGTCCACGATAAGAAAGGTTGGTCCATGATAAGAAAGGTTGGTCCACGAGAAAAAAGGTTGGTCCACGATAAGAAAGGTTGGTCCATGATAAGAAAGGTTGGTCCACGATAAGAAAGGTTGGTCCACGATAAGAAAGGTTGGTCCACGAGAAAAAAGGTTGGTCCACGAGAAAAAAGGTTGGTCCATGATAAGAAAGGTTGGTCCATGATAAGAAAGGTTGGTCCACGAGAAAAAAGGTTGGTCCATGATAAGAAAGGTTGGTCCACGATAAGAAAGGTTGGTCCACGATAAGAAAGGTTGGTCCATGATAAGAAAGGTTGGTCCACGATAATAAGAAAGGTTGGTCCACGATAAGAAAGGTTGGTCCACGAGAAAAAAGGTTGGTCCATGATAAGAAAGGTTGGTCCATGATAAGAAAGGTTGGTCCACGATAAGAAAGGTTGGTCCACGATAAGAAAGGTTGGTCCACGATAAGAAAGGTTGGTCCACGATAAGAAAGGTTGGTCCATGATAAGAAAGGTTGGTCCACGATAAGGAAGGTTGGTCCACGATAAGAAAGGTTGGTCCATGATAAGAAAGGTTGGTCCACGAGAAAAAAGGTTGGTCCACGAGAAAAAAGGTTGGTCCACGATAAGAAAGGTTGGTCCATGATAAGAAAGGTTGGTCCACGAGAAAAAAGGTTGGTCCAGGATAAGAAAGGTTGGTCCATGATAAGAAAGGTTGGTCCATGATAAGAAAGGTTGGTCCACAAGAAAAAAGGTTGGTCCATGATAAGAAAGGTTGGTCCACGATAAGAAAGGTTGGTCCACGATAAGAAAGGTTGGTCCACGATAAGAAAGGTTGGTCCACGATAAGAAAGGTTGGTCCACGAGAAAAAAGGTTGGTCCATGATAAGAAAGGTTGGTCCATGATAAGAAAGGTTGGTCCAGGATAAGAAAGGTTGGTCCATGATAAGAAAGGTTGGTCCACGATAAGAAAGGTTGGTCCACGATAAGAAAGGTTGGTCCATGATAAGAAAGGTTGGTCCATGATAAGAAAGGTTGGTCCACGAGAAAAAAGGTTGGTCCACGATAAGAAAGGTTGGTCCATGATAAGAAAGGTTGGTCCACGAGAAAAAAGGTTGGTCCACGATAAGAAAGGTTGGTCCATGATAAGAAAGGTTGGTCCATGATAAGAAAGGTTGGTCCACGATAAGAAAGGTTGGTCCACGAGAAAAAAGGTTGGTCCAGGATAAGAAAGGTTGGTCCATGATAAGAAAGGTTGGTCCATGATAAGAAAGGTTGGTCCACGAGAAAAAAGGTTGGTCCATGATAAGAAAGGTTGGTCCACGATAAGAAAGGTTGGTCCACGATAAGAAAGGTTGGTCCACGATAAGAAAGGTTGGTCCATGATAAGAAAGGTTGGTCCACGATAAGAAAGGTTGGTCCACGATAAGAAAGGTTGGTCCACGAGAAAAAAGGTTGGTCCACGAGAAAAAAGGTTGGTCCAGGATAAGAAAGGTTGGTCCATGATAAGAAAGGTTGGTCCACGATAAGAAAGGTTGGTCCACGATAAGAAAGGTTGGTCCACGATAAGAAAGGTTGGTCCACGATAAG